CGCCGCGCAATAGATGGTGGTGGTGGCGGCATCTGCATGTGCAGAACATGAACAACAAGTGTCATCCGCAGGAGATTGTACAACTTTTTAAAACATTTTCCGTGTTTAGTGTGCATGCCGTACAACATGCTTGGAATCGACAGGAGTAAAGTTGGACTTACGAACAACTCAACTTACGGACGGACCTCTGGAACCTAACTCGTTCGTAAGTAGAATGCCTGTAATTTGATTTCAGTGCAGTAATTTGCAGTGCCAGATTGCAATGATCTCATTTCTACAGGAGTGCAATCTTGATTTGAAGCTTTCGTGACTGCAGGAATCCATACTCTCTGCAGCAATCCATACTCTCTGGTTATTTCGGTAAAGTCACGTAGGTAGAAAAAATAATAATAGATCATGACGTTTCGATCGCAACAACAAGCGACCGTCTTCAGGTGAAAGGAGTGTGCATTTGTGACCATTCTCAGTGCAATTTCATGCACAGCCCACGAAAGATAAAATTAAATAAAAGGTAGTCAAATGACCAGAACTTTGGATGTTATTCGGGATGATACGTGATGCATTTGTGCTGTGCAATTGTACTCCCGAGTAGCACGGTTGGCTACGTACGGTGCGAAAGAAGTTCAACATACAGTCCATACATTACTCATTGGTTTTTTCGGTAAAGTCACGTATGTAGAAATACAATAAAATTATATTAAAACAAAAAACAATCACGACGTTTCGATCACAACGATTGTTTTTTTTTTTATATAATTTTATTGTATTTCTACATACGTGACTTTACCGAAAAAACCAATGAGTAATTTTATGCAGTCACGAAAGCTTTAATACTTGATTAGTCCATACATTGGCAGTTAATGTATTAGTTTAACGGTGAATCCAGCAGTGGATGATGTCTACGTTTTGATCAAAAGAATGACCCCTGAAGACGATGCCACACTACAGCCACAATAGCGAAGGCAGTGTGTAGACGTGTTAAAAAAAGACCCACGATAAATACATTTAAAGCATAAGCCGAGCACAAAGTAAGTGGAATACAAAGCATTGCTTTATGATGCAGAACTTTACGCTATGTGGAAATTAAAATTGTGGCTATACGGGGTAGGTGGGGCACTGCAGGGTCTTAGTTCTCCACTTATTTCGTGACACTTCGCTCATTCCCCAGGTTACACATGGAATAAGCGGAGTGTAGCGAAACAACCACGCCGAACTATCGTCAAAATATACGCACCCGTATTGTAAAGAGAGGGGCATTGCCTTGAGACATCTCGGAAGTTCACCAGCATTGATTAAAAGCAAGCCTTGACCTCTGATGGAGACACCACCGCTCAAGCAAACATGCAACGTTGGGCTAACGTTGGTATGCGGTTCGAACCATTTGCCTTTTGACGTTTCACGTTTACTGGGCGCATGTCGAAACCGGTCCAGAATGTTGCTTGTGCTGAATCAATCCTGCAAAAATGATACGGAATGCATGCATGTGATGGGTTGTGTAAGCAATACTTGCAACAACAACAAAAACAACAACAAAAAACATGTGCAGAGACGGATATACGAAGGAGAGATTATTTGCTAATTTATTCTCCCTAAACTCGCGTCTTTGTGTTGCTCGAGTAATTTTATCCGGACTATACATGGGTCATGCATGTCACGGGTGTGTTTACTCAAAAGGCTGAGATGCGCATCACCATTATATGACGACCTGAGCGGAGTTTTTACTCGAAAACCTGCAACGGATCTTTCGGCAATGAGGAATGGATTCGTTAAACAAAACCACAAGGTTCAGGACTTTAACTTTAAAGTTATTTTTTTAAACGGTAATATTACGTTTGGAAACGGTGCGTGAGCAGACGCAATTAAATACAACTCCACTGCTGGATGACTACCTTACCAAGTCGGCCCCATCTCTCCACGATCCACAATTCAAGTAGCCACACGTTCAATACATTCGTCCATAACACCGTGCCATTAAAAGGAAAACGATATTTCATGGGCGACGTTTCGGCCAATGTCCCCTTTTAGTAGCACATGCATCGAGAGAGGCCACAGACAGACGGCGTGAATCAGAGTTGGAGACTGCAATCAGTGATCCGCAGACTACCTGCTGGATCTCCTCTCTGTTTCAAAGAACAAATTTGATCTCAGGTCTTCGTTCATCTACCAGCTTCACATTCCCTATTGCCGTACAAAAACCGGAGGAAGGGCCTTTGCTATTGATGCCCCCAAGGTCTGGAATGCTATTGCCAATAACTGCAACTTGAATCACTAGCTATGAGATCTTCACTCAAAACTGCTCTAGAGGAGTTGTACACCCCTAGCTGCCACTGCTATTCAGTGGCCTAAAATAAAATAAAATGTTTCGCTCCGGATGACCGCTGCAAAGTATTATCTGTATTTTGATTTAGTGTGCTGATCTTAAAGGTGCATTGAAAAATGTGATACTCTGACTGATGCTTCTGTTGTTTGTGGAGTGACTCATGCAGCCAGCTATGGCTCTAGGGTTTGGTGTTACATGTTGTTTATGTAGTTTATTGTTTAAAATGCGGTCACAGTTCCTATGATCACTGTTACATTGCATTTATGGCTTTATTTTGGTGATTTCTAAAAGTGGTTTGGTTTGGCCATGTTTTTGTTTATTGTAGTACGGAGTTAGACTGATGGCCTTAATCTAAGTTTTCTTGTTGTTGTTGATTGACTTGCATCCCACTGGGATTTTTTGCACACAGAGTTGGTGTACGGTGCTTTTTCTGGAATATTTTGCTGTATTTTTCCTGGATTTTCTGTTTGCACAGTCACATAGTCACTTTAAGAAGTTTTCTTGTTCATGTTTTAGTTTTTTTGTGTTGCGGTTGCACCCGATTCAAGAGCCGAATGGTTCACAGGGCTATACCAAATAAATGAAAACTATGAAACTACTCTTTGGTTTTTCGTTTTTTTCGGTAAAGTCACGTAGAAATAAGAGTAATTGCTGCAGTCACGAAAGCGTCAAATCAAGTTTGAACTATGAAACTATGAATGAAATGAATGAATGGATTCGGCTCCGGGCTCCGTGAAGTGGTGGCTCCGTTCCACGTGTTCCGTCCCTCCCAACGCCGGCGCCCCACAGTTCTCCATGCTGGATGCCGGCCGAGTCATCATCGGTCTCACAATCAACACCTACATCATCCTCCTCCTCCTCATCCTCCTCACCATCACCACCACCTCATCGCCTCGCAGGTAAGGCGACAACACAGACGCGCAACAACAACAACAAAAAACGGCAAACACCGCGCCTAGGAGACTCGCACTGCATCCGCCGTCTTGGCCAACATGTCTGCTCTGTGCAACGGGGGCTGTGTCCCTGCTGCTGCTGTGTGTACTCCGTGTCCCTGCTGCTGTGTGTACTCCGTGTCCCTGCTGCTGTTGCTGTGTGTACTTCGTGTCCCTGCTGCTGTGTGTACTCCGTGTCCCTGCTGCTGCTGCTGTGTGTACTCCGTGTCCCTGCTGCTGCTGCGTGTACTCCGTGTCCCTGCTGCTGTTGCTGCGTGTACTCCGTGTCCCTGCTGCTGCTGTGTGTACTCCGTGTCCCTGCTGCTGCTGTGTGTACTCCGTGTCCCTGCTGCTGCTGTGTGTACTCCGTGTCCCTGCTGCTGCTGTGTGTACTCCGTGTCCCTGCTGCTGCTGCGTGTACTCCGTGTCCCTGCTGCTGTGTGTACTCCGTGTCCCTGCTGCTGCTGTGTGTACTCCGTGTCCCTGCTGCGTGTACTCCGTGTCCCTGCTGCTGCTGTGTGTACTCCGTGTCCCTGCTGCTGCTGCTGTGTGTACTCCGTGTCCCTGCTGCTGTGTGTACTCCGTGTCCCTGCTGCTGCTGTGTGTACTCCGTGTCCCTGCTGCTGCTGCGTGTACTCCGTGTCCCTGCTGCTGCTGTGTATACTCCGTGTCCCTGCTGCTGTGTGTACTCCGTGTCCTTGCTGCTGCTGTGTGTACTCCGTGTCCCTGCTGCTGCTGTGTGTACTCCGTGTCCCTGCTGCTGCTGCGTGTACTCCGTGTCCCTGCTGCTGCTGTGTGTACTCCGTGTCCCTGCTGCTGCTGCGTGTACTCCGTGTCCCTGCTGCTGCTGTGTATACTCCGTGTCCCTGCTGCTGTGTGTACTCCGTGTCCCTGCTACTGCTGTGTGTACTCCGTGTCCCTGCTGCTGTGTGTACTCCGTGTCCCTGCTGCTGTGTGTACTCCGTTTCCCTGCTGCTGCTGTGTGTACTCCGTGTCCCTGCTGCTGTGTGTACTCCGTGTCCCTGCTGCTGCTGTGTGTACTTTGTGTCCCTGCTGCTGCTGCGTGTACTCCGTGTCCCTGCTGCTGCTACTGCTGTGTGTACTCCGTGTCCCTGCTGTTGCTGTGTGTACTCCGTGTCCCTGCTGTTGCTGTGTGTACTCCGTGTCCCTGCTGCTGCTGCTGTGTGTACTCCGTGTCCCTGCTGCTGCTGTGTGTACTTTGTGTCCCTGCTGCTGCTGCGTGTACTCCGTGTCCCTGCTGCTGCTACTGCTGTGTGTACTCCGTGTCCCTGCTGTTGCTGTGTGTACTCCGTGTCCCTGCTGTTGCTGCGTGTACTCCGTGTCCCTGCTGCTGCTGCTGTGTGTACTCCGTGTCCCTGCTGCTGCTGTGTGTACTTTGTGTCCCTGCTGCTGCTGTGTGTACTCCGTGTCCCTGCTGCTGTGTATACTCCGTTTCCCTGCTGCTGCTGTGTGTACTCCGTGTCCCTGCTGCTGTGTGTACTCCGTGTCCCTGCTGCTGTGTATACTCCGTTTCCCTGCTGCTGTGTGTACTCCGTGTCCCTGCTGCTGCTGCTGTGTGTGCTCCGTGTCCCTGCTGCTGCTGTGTGTACTCCGTGTCCCTGCTGCTGTGTATACTCCGTTTCCCTGCTGCTGCGTGTACTTCGTGTCCATATTAAGTCGCTCTCAGCCGTAACCCAGCTGTGCCTGATGTGTTTTCGGGTTTTGGGTTCTGCATGATGTCCCAAGCGGATTGCGAGCTTCAGTAAGTGGAGCAACCCCAATGTCCGACGGTTCGAGCCAGTAAGCATGCAACAACGTTGGTCCACAACGTCAACCCAACGTCGGTACAACGTCAGCCAACGTCGTTGGGAGCTTCTTTTGAGTTCACAGTGCACGTTAGCGACTCCGCAAGTTGCTTGCCGTTCCTGGGTAAGCTCACCAGCGCGTGGTGCGAAACGTCGGACATCGTCGCGCTGAGCAAAACGCGCGGGCACAACAATCCCGACAAAACGCCTTGAGAGCTCCAATACACAGAGCGGTGTTCTTTACTCACATTCAGAAGGGGTGGAGATGGATGGGGGGGGGGGTCACGTTCGCCGATAAGACGTCGTCGGTGTAAGGAGGGACCGACACACGTTTGGAACCATTGTTGGGTTTGACGAGCAGCACGAGGATGATGATGATGATGGTGGGGGGGGAGGCGGTGTTTTCACACACGTAGTGTCTTGTCGGGAGCCGCACTAAAGGCCACCAGTGGCCACGAGGGCCTTGCAATAAGGAACACTGGCGAACAACACCAACAACACCAAACGCCGTCCTAAACGCTTTCACATATTCGCCAGGGTCCGTGATGGGGGGGGGGCTCCATTGTGCGTGTGTCACGCTGGCGTGCTCCATCCACTCCATTCATCCCTTACCAGGGGGGTCGTCGTGAGCAAGAGCATGGCCGAGAGTGGCCCTGCGCGGTCACGTTGTGGGGAGCGGTGGCGCTGTGGTTAGCGCTGTCGGTGCACGAGCGCGCGCGCTTACGCGCGCGCGCCACGAACCCGACGACCCAAGTTCCACGACCGATCTCGACAGTGACGGGGAATGTTTGAACCCAACCGGTTATGGGCCTCACCTAGTTCGATTGAAGCCTTAAAGTGGGTACCTGCTGCGGTGTGTACTAAAACAAAGCATCAACACTGGGGGAGACAAATTGAATCCGGGCGTGTTTGTGCGTATTGCATGTGTTGACCTTTTTTCGTACCGTACGCTGCCAACCGTGCCGATCGGAAGCGCGGTGCTAATCGGGCAACACCCACACCTTGGCGTGGCGTGCACTTTTCCCCAACAAGCATGTCAATGCTACACCGGAGGATCTTTGTCTTCGTGTGGCCACGTGGGGAGGAGGGGTGGCGCAGTGGTTAGCGCCGCACTGCACCAAGAAACCGGCGGCCCGAGTTCGATTGCCGCTCACGACCAATTGTAACGGATGGGCTAGAACCACGTCCACCACCAAGGGGAAGGAAAAAAAATCGCAGGGGATGAAGGCCCGGCTGGCTAAGCAGAACGCTGCAGCGTAGCGAGCTTTCAGATGCGCTGCTTCTGCGGCCGTCTGGAACTCTCTTCCTTCCGATATTCAGAAGCAAATTTTAAGTCGTCTCGATTGAAAACTCATTGCTTCAGAACTGCTCTTTTGTGTTTAGTTTGTTGCCCTTCTCCCCCCCCCCTCCACGCACCTCCGATTAGCACGGTTGGCTACGTACGGTGCGAAAGAAGTTCAATATACGTTCAGAGCAAAGCATCCCCCCTGTCTGTCCCTACGACTCGTGGATGTGAAGGGGTGGGAGGGGGGGTGCTGGTCACCCACCCCCGCGTGTGCCATGCCGGCCTTCACATGTGCTACTCGCTAACAGTACTTGCCCCAACAGCTTGTTAAGTCTATACGGGGGATCTTTGTATTTGGGGAGCACGTGCGCTGACGGGTCACATGACTCGCTCGCTCCGTGGTGATTGACGGCTACGGGAGCGTGCCACGTGACACGGGTCAGAGTTGTGACCTGGGTGGGAGCAGAGATTTAAGTTATCGTTCAGATTAAAGTCGCGTCATTTATTCATTTGAGCGTTCCGATTTATATTGTAATTACAACTTTAACGTTATGTTATTTATTGAAGTTGTTCAGCCAGTCGGGGCCTTACTTTTGTGTCTGAATTAGACTTCTATAGTTGACTCGGCCCTCGATGAGTGTCTGGTTCGGTGCGTGAGACAAAGGTGGTGCAGGCTACACAGACTCCCGTGTGTGTGCTGTGCCAGCCTTCATAGCTGCTCGTTTACAGCACTGGCCCCAACAGTCTGATTAGGCTATACGGGGGATCTTTTGTCTTGCGTGGCCACATGGAGTGTCTGTGCAACGCCACGGTAACTATTTCGCAGCTATAATAATAGGGTTTTCCCCTTTTTTCTGGCAACAAAACTGAAACCTTTTTACAAGGATTAATGTCTGCATTAACCACAATACCTGCAGCCTTTTGGCGTCATCTGGTCGATCACCAATTGGGTCGAGGCTCAAAAGAAAGCCGTCCCTTGGTGTGGACCAATCAGTTTCAACGACAATGCATATATTATCATAGTATGTTTTTTTGTTTGCATTTTGACTGCAGGTATTGTGGTTGATGCAGACATTGATCCTTGTAAAAAGGTTTCAGTTTTGTTGCCAGAAAAAAGGGGAAAAACCCTATTACATTTTGGTACTGGCAAAGGAGGTTTAATGATATTTTGCAGCTATTAACGATGTCACCGAATGTCATCAACTCGTCATCCCCATTAGCCATGGTAAACTAAAACTAAATTTTACCAGGTAAGGCCCACTGACCTACAGAAGTGACCTGGCCACAAACGATAGCTCAACGAACTGGGTTATGTAGAAATATATAGCAGCCAAATACTCTAAACACATGATTGTAAATGTGGAGGGAAAACCAGAGGACCCGGAGAAAAATCCATCCGACCAGGGGGAGAATATGCAAATATACATGCGTCAGGGTCGGGATCAATCCCACGACCCCCGACATACCAGGTGAGGTATTTAACTTCTCGCCATCGTGGCACCCAATGATCTGGCCATTGAAGACCTCAAGCTGTTGAAAACTCTCACGGTCACGCAATGCAAGAATAAATCCAGCTCCTGCACATAAGCTGATATCATCGCTCCATCTCCGCCATAGATGTTGCTCTCGGGCTTGCTCCCTCCTTTGGCTACCACTCTGTCATTAGTCTCGATCACCGGTCATCATCCCTTGTCGAAGAGCGTGGATACAATGTACTGCCAGTGCAAAATTACACTCAAGCATGTTACTCCTCTATCGTTCGTGTGAACAATTAACTGTACGTTTAAAAAAAATATACGAATAAAACAACAATGTTACGTATTGACGTAATGATATACCGCGTTACGAAAACCTGGGGTGGAGTGGTGGCACAGCGGGTAGCACACTGAACCGTGGACCCGGCGATACAAGTTGGATTCCAGGCCACGGCTAACATCAGTGTATTTCGCGAATGCTTTTACACGTGACTGTCATACAGTTAGAGCGCCAGATATGAAAGTTAAAATTAATAAAAAAAAATATTTTCAAGCTAATATCAGTGGTGAGTGATATCTGAACCGTCCCTCTTCCATCCAAATCCCCTGCCCATTCTACCAACCCACGCTGAGCAGCCTGGAGATGAATTGATGAACAACGAGCTGTACATATATTTATGTTGTATTGAGTTTTTTAGCCAGGCTGGCCAGGATTGAGCAAGGACATAGCGGAACTTTTCACCCAGGCTACTGGAGAGCACAGACTTAGATATTCCATGATTTAAACAAATACGTAACAAATATACAATTACGAATAAGAATTGTTGTACTGTACCATATTTTTTTACTTAAAATCGTATCAATGATTCTTGTACTGTCTGGGATACTCTTTACAGTGTAGTATCAGAAGCAAAATCTGAATTTTAAGTTAAAGAAAATACATAAGTCATCAATGCTCAGTGTGTGAAATTTGGGGCAATTGTATATCTCAATGTGACTCAGCCAAAAATGAATGTGGGTGTCTTATGTGTTCAGCATTTCTAATGGAGGCACGTCATCGTTCCAGAGGGCATGGTCCTGGCCCCACCAAAAAAAGGCACTGTCAGCCTCAGTAGGTGCTCTCTTATAACACTTGTCCTGACACGCTCCAAAGGAGCACCTGATTGTATCTGCACGTGACTGTGCATGGGGGCAAAGTGGTTTATGCTGCGCCATGATTGCCTGTGATCTAGGCTCGATTTCCGGTGATGCACAACATCAGTTGGCAGGTGGTGTCTGAGCCTGACATGATCCTCTCCTAGGTCAATGAGGATTTACATTAATACCTGATGAGTTATTTGATCATAAGCACTTTTGAGACAAAGGGGGTCAAGTATGGTGGTGACTACACCACCCCATCATCTTCCATGCTGGCCGTAAGTAGGTGGTGGGCAACAGCACTTGCTTATGGGGTCTGTAATAAGGCATTAGGGGACATTTTAAATGGGTGTTTCTCCGTGGCTTATAAATAAATATAATTAACTCGATTATCTGTGAGTGGATGAACAGGGCTGCAGATTAACTGCGTCCGTGGAACATTCAATTCAATATTTTTACGCATAAGCTGGTTCTGTCATTCACCTATCTTCACTCGTTGAGTGATTCAGTGCCCACCTGACTCTAAATGTCAACAAGGAAAAATATGAGAATCGGCTAAACGCACTTTCGGCGCACTACATCAAACAGGTGGAACGCATCGTGAAGCCGTGTTCACTGCGGGCGATCTTTCAAGGCCACGAGTGGTTCACACTCGTTGTTCTTCCCCCGCACCTCAGTTTTAGCGCGGTTGGCTACGAACGCTGTGAAAGAAGTTCAACATGCATACTTGTAGTCCTCTGAAATCGGCAGCTGGATCCACAACCAAGACATTGATTATTATAGTTGTTACTCGATTCATATTGAGGGCGCCGTGGTGGAGAGATGTTAACTCCCTCGCCTAGTATGCAGGAGGTCGTGAGTTTGATCCCGACCTTGATGCCTGTATGTTTCTTTGGAGTTTGCGTGTTTTCCCCGTGGATGCATGGATTTTTCTCCCGGCCCTCCGGTTTTTACGTACACATTTAGAAACGTACACATTTAGAAACGTGCGTTTAGAATATTTGGCTGCTATACATTTCCACGTGATAAGCCACTCCGTTGAGCTATCATTTTGTGGCCAGGTCGCTTCTGAGCTACATAGCAGCTCAGTCGGCCTGACCTGGTAAAATAAAAAAAAATATTTTGTAGTTTATATCCAGAGTAAAGAAGCAGATTACCACGGATAATTTGAGAGTTGACTGTAGATTTGACTTCGCAGATCTCCGTTGGAGCACGGCCGAAGTGCGCATGGCAGAGACCTCCGACTCCTCTGTGAGGCAGAGATGCTTCAAGAAGATATCGGTGGAAGGCAACATAGGTGAGTGATTTTGTGTACCGTCTGGAGATGGTCACTTGTGAGTGCAGCTGATGTGGCATAATATCAAGCACGTCTGATTATCGCAGTTGGCCACGTACGGGTGCGAAAGCAGTTCAACATGCATATAACACACATGCATGCATATACATCCCCACGGTTGGCATGTTCTAATGAATTCACATCAAACACGCAGCCCTGCTTTATTTTGAATGTCATGTATTTTAATTGCTGACGTTCAGCCAATGCATTCGTCTTTGTTTTGGCAACGTTTAAACTTGCAATGGCAATATCACTTTCTTGGGGAAACGATATGCTGGCTCAGCCCATTGGTTGTCAAGTACTTTATTCGGTAATATTTGGTCTAAGTATTTTCTCCGACGCAACTGTGCTTTGTTTAAAACGGTTGAACAGTTAATCACCTTTGAACTTTATACCGAGCGCCAAGTGTGGCGTGTGATCAATATGTGCGCCGGGGGCACCGTCATTGATCGGCCTTCTATACACGTGTCACTTTTTTATCATTCAGGAATCTCTCACAGTACACAGCTCTGCCGCATGTTCACGGGTTGTAGCGCGAGTTGTTCGGCACGATGTCTGACCTCTTCGCTCCACGTGCTGGGAACGTATATAGAGTTAAATCTTTTTCCCGATGAAGCTCTCCGCACGAGGAGCCAATACGTCAGACATCGTACAGAGCAAAACGTGCGTTACAACCCTAAAAACACGTGGGAGCGATACACGTGAACGACGCTTGACGTTGCTCATGCTTGACGTCGCTCATGCTTGACGTCGCTGCTCTTTCTCTCCAGCGTGCGGGAAGTCAACGCTCGTGAAGGTGCTGCAGAAGTTACGCCCGAATTGGCACGTGGTCCCAGAGCCTCTGGAGAAGTGGCAGAACGTGGTGGGCAGAGAGTCTGGATCAATGGTACCGTGACCCCCCCCCCCTTCCCAGAAATCCTGGTCCTTACCCTCACGGGAGCGGAGAAGCATCCCCCTCACTGCAGGATGCAACTGGTCAAACTGGATTTGCAGCTCGTGCATAATTTAACCAATCTTTGTTCATGCTCAGCCCTCCTTAAGTCATCTAGTTAGTCCTACTCTATCTCTTAAGTTGCATTTGGAAGGCGTTAACAGTACGAATAAGAAAGAGAATATTAAACTCTGTAACGTTATAATGCCCTCACCTGCCCTTCTCGCTAGCCGGCCGAAATGGGGGCGGCATCTAACCTCCTGGGCTTACGTCTGGGCGACCCCAAGCGCTGGGCTTATACGTTCCAGACGTGGGCGACTCTGAGCCGTCTCCATATCGCTCTCGCTGCCAGCCACCCTCCCGAGCGTCACACAGTCTACGAGCGCTCGGTCTACAGCAATCGGTACGGAAGCCGACCGCTGGCTCAACCCATTGGTTGTCTCTTGTCGGTTCCTCCTCTTCCTCCTCCACCTCCCGCTCCTGGGCTGTGGCAGGATGTGGGGGGCAATCTCCTGCAGATGCTCTACTCGGACGCGTCGCGCTGGGCGTACACCTTCCAGACGCTGTCAGCGATGGGCCGAATACGTGCGCAGCTGAGCGTACCGCCCTCCGCACAGCCAGTACAAGTGTTGGAGCGGTCCATTTACAGCGATAGGTGTGTGCCCGTGTACACGCCACCTCCGGCGTGCTCGAGTTCGTTAATTTATTATCTTAAAATATATTAAATTACTCGATTGGGATTGTACGTTGCAATTATCTTTTACCTTACCGTGAAAACTTGCCAGGACTCTCCTAAAAATCGAGTCGTGAGACTCAATCGTGAGGCTCTCCTGGGTAAAGAAAAGCATGGTAATAATAATAATGAATGATATTATAAAGAATGTTTCAGCCAACTTTCCACCTTTTCTAAATTCCATGATTTACAAAGTCTAAAAGCTGCCGCGGCAACCGATTTACCGTCGCATATGGCGCACGTCAATGTTTATTATATTCTACAGTGTTCAGATACAGCCATGGCAGTTGAAACAGCGTTACAGTTGTAGCAGTGGACAAGTATTTTTTTTAAATCCCTTCATGCCTGTGTCCACCCAGCAGTTGGGTACACCACGATTAATCGATCGGCAGGTCACACATGCGGCGGGGTAAAAGTGTGGGTGCTCCCACCTCTTTCCGAGACATCTGTCAGTGGGGACGAGTAGGTGCTGAAATTTGAGGGCGCTTTGTTTCCTCTCACACAGCTTAAAGGCCGTGATCTGAACGTGGCTCTTTCACTCCAGCGCTGTCCTACCAGACAGTCTCGCCCCCCTTCACCTGATGAAGGCCGCTTGTGTTGTGGCCGAAACGTCGTGAGAATATTATTGTGTTATTTTATTTTATCAATTTATTATTTTATTCTCATTCTACGTGACTTTACCGAAAGAACCAAAGAAGAGGACAAATACTCTTCATAGATGCTTTCTAGATGTCCGTCCAGTGGCGGTCCTTCCGTCCACACAGGCGCGAGCAAGTAATAGCAGGGCTGCATAAAAATATTTTTGACCTTTCAGAGCACTCTATAAAAAGTCCTTTATTTCCAAGTCAGGTTCCGTGCAAGACACGTACTCGGTGTGACCTCTGTGCTTGTTGATGACGGCTTGGAGTTGCGTACACGCCAGTCGTTATGCTCGTCCGGGACGCTTACAGTCGCGCGGAATAATTTTGATGAGTGTTTTGACTAATTGACTTTCTTCCGAGAACTATGAGACCACTTGAATTATTCGCCGCGAAAGCATCGTTGCACAGCCAAGGGAGATTTTGCTCTCCAGAAGCCACTCCACATCTTTCATCGTCCCTCAAGTGTCATATCTGCTGTCCGACTCGTTGTCATGAGGATGTCAAGCTCGGGTTACCTGCCGTACTGGGAAAACAACTTTAGGAGTGCGCTCTTATGTCATGGCAATTGGGAGTACATTGTGGTACATTTTATACCATGGAAGTTATAGAATTTTGAAACGGTGGACATTTTTTTGGAAGTAACATTATCTGGTGTTTTGTTTTCCAAGAGAATGTGCTGTAACGTTGACTTGCAATCCAGCAGTGGTGTGAGGATGTTGCTCAGCACTTGCGCCAACAGTCTGTTAAGGCGATACAGGGGGGTCTTTGTGCCCCCAAGGTTAGATTAAAACGTCACAATGAGCAGCGTGGAGTTTTCTGACAGCTTTCATAAGTGGCGTGGCTTGAACATTTTTTTTGTTCATGCTCTACGTAACTAACTGTAAATGTTTTAAAGGCGGCATTGGATTTTTATTAAATTAAACTGTAATGAAAAACCCCACATTTGTATTGTTGTTCTAACTCAGTAAACTTTACATTCAATTGTTTTATTCGCCATGCTATTATTTAACTCCTTGTTGCAACGTTTACCGTGATGCAGCCACAAATTTGTGTCCAGCGCAAACCAGTGTTTTCATTTCCAGTAAATGCCAAGTTGAATACATACATTTTTTTGGTCAAAACCAAATGATTCCTTGAGATAATAACTCGTTCAATTGTAGGAAATATTTCAGAACGCGTGCAACTTGATTACAAACCCCGGCTAACTTTGTTAAAAAGAACCCCCCTCCGCACTTGTTTAAGAATAAGGACACGTGCGCAGATTTGATGAATGTGCTGCGCATTGAATTCGAACAAAAAAAACTAAAATATTCCACAATTTGCGGTACAACAGCATTCCGTTCTCGCCCGACAAACAAAAAAAACTTTATTTTCCTTTCGCCGATGCTCATGCCATCGCGCCACGCGTCGTCGATCGTTCCGTGTAAACGGAACGGTTTGCAAGCTGCCGCTGTGCTCCCTCGTGGCAGGTACGTGTTCGCCGCCAGCCTGCATGAGCAGGGCAGCATGAACGACACGGAGTGGGTGGTCTACCAGGAGTGGCAGGTACGGCGCGCAGTGCACGTATGTTTTTTGTATGTTGGACTTCTTTCGCACCGTAACGTAGCCAACCGTGCTAACTGGGGGTGCGGGGGAAGGACAAACTAAACACAAAAAGCAGTTCTGAAGAAATTCGTTTTCAATGGAGATGACTTAAAAGTGCATAGATCCATTGGCTTCCTAAAAGAAGAGCGTTCCAGACGGCCGCAGAAGCGCATCTGAAAGTGCGAGCAATGCGGTTATCGTCTTTGTTCAATGGCGAGCCAAAAGCCGCTGCTGCAAGGATGACTGGAGTCCTCATCGGGGTCAAAGGTCATAAATGCAATCGACAAGCAGGTCCATTTTTTTCTTTCTCCGCTTGCTTTGAGGTCCCCAAGAGGGAACTCATTGCGCTCATGTTGCTATAAGGTGTTGAAGCTCTCTTAATTGGGCTTGTAGTGATCTGCCCTAGATAGAGATCAGGGAATAAGAGCAGAACAGGACCTGCAGGCAGTAACGCACGGAGGCAGCAAGAGGAGTTGTGCCCCGCACAGTCGCGAAGAGCAAGGCATTGAGGAAGAATCAAGAAGGAAGAAGATCCATCCTCTCCTCCCCAACGGGGATGTTGTGAACAGCAATCATAATTTAGAGTTGTGATTTGTTTCAAGAATCGTATTTTTTTTGTCTTGTTTGTTTTCACCATCCCATGTCGTTTCTTCTTTGTTGTGAGACGGTCTCATCCTCGCCATCAGCCTCGCCGTGGCAGAATACAATGTGCACACATTTTGCGCCGATTTTAAAAGACTCGGATCCTTCAACGATTCAGTCAGTGTGTCGTGAGTGCGAGCGTTAAGTCATAATTCCATGGATCAATCCAACGTTCCATGCCTCGTACCTGCGGCTCTGTGTTCCAGCCTGTCTGACATAAGTATATCCATTTGACACAAGTGTAAAGCCTCTTGAGAAAAAAAGTTTTTCTTACATTAATAATAGTATAAACTTACAACGCGCACAGTATTGGCTCACCATCAAAGAGAGAGAGAGCGAGAACGACTCAGAGGCGTGAGGAACCACGGACAAGCAGCAAGGCGTCATGAGCTTAGCCGGTGGCAACAATTGCCCAAGCTCTGCAGTTCTCTGTATATAATCGTGTTATCAGTCCGTATAATGCATGTTTACACTTAAAAGGAAACCGGAGCACCTGGAGAAACCCCACGCGTGCGAAGGGAAACAACTTTCCCGTACCGAACGGAACAGGTGGAGTCCGCATTTTTGTTGCCGTCCTGCGATGAATCGCGCACGTGATGACGGTACAGTACGAGACAATAACAGTGACGTCGTAGCAGCAAATTGCTGAGAAAGGTTCAAAGGTTTCGTTCGGAGTGCGGTTCTGTCAATTATTTGTCGTGAAAACCCGAGGTCGGGAGAAGGGGGGGGGAGCCGTTGTGCAAACCGCGTCACGTGAACCCTGTACCCCGGGCGGTGTGCCTCCAACGTGTGTTGTTTGCGTTTTGGCAGGGCTGGCTGCTTTCGGAGTTGGACAAACGCGTCGAGCTGGATGGAATGGTTTATCTTCGCGCCGAGCCGGAGGTCAGCGGTTCCAGCGGTTCCACGAACACGATACGCCCAAGTTGCGCTCGCGAGTCGGATACGCGTGCGAGCGGAGGGACGTTGCGTCAACTTTAACCTTTTAATTACGTCTTGTACCTTGTAAGGGCCATCATCTTCAGTTACGTGCACATTTTTTCGACTTTGACATTCCGAATTGAGAATTTGCACAAAGCACACGTAATGATGCAATGTGCATTATGCAATCGTTACAGAAAGTTCCTGTAGCATCAGATGTTATCTTTATCTTGATCTACACTGGGCCTTTCATTGTAATAATTGGAGTGTATATGCATTTGACAGTTTACCCGCTGGATGAAGGCCTCACCGTGCTGTGTCAGTCGTGGGGTTGTTTGACCATACTTCACCATGCTGGTCAGTGGGCCAAAGATCGGTTTAGCTACGATGCATTAATTATTTAAGCCGAAGCCGGGAATCAAACTTCTCCCTTTTGTGAGTAGGATGAATAAAATACGATGCAAACCATCAGTCTTATAACCTTGCAAGTTTATCGCTTATAATCATCATTATTATTATTATACAAATGCTGTCAGACCATAAGTAATTACACAATTATACAAACTGTAAAAACAAGGTGATGTCACCACTATCCTGTAAAATACTCCAGAAAATAGCTAATGGCTGTCTACTTAGAACGTTTGTCAGGAAGTAAAATGTAATACATTATGAGCAACAACAATATTGTGAGCAAAAAGAGTCATGACATGACGATCCAAATCAAGCGGTATGGCGACACTGCGATATATATCGTACCTCTGATTTCCCGCACCTACCATTAGCGTGCTTTGGCTATGTCCGACGTGCAACAAGTTCAGCATGCTTGCATGCACATCGTACGGTACCAGTATATTCCCGGGTAAACATGGAACATTGGGCCAACGTTTGTGCAAAAAAAAAAAAACCGGTTCCAACCACGTGCCAACGTTGGCCCAACTTTGCACCTCGACCGGGTTGTGTCGTCGGATAGCAGCACCATTTCTCTGTCGCAGCACTTGCCCACGCAGTCGGTGCGACCGAACTGAGCGGGATGTTCGGCTTGTGCGCAGGCTTGCCTGGCGCGCATGCGAGTGCGGAATCGGGAGGAGGAGCGAGGCGTGGGGCTGGAGTACCTCGACGCGCTGCACAAGCGGCACGAGAACTGGCTGGTGGATCGCACAACCGTGTACGTGCGAGGTCGCTGATCGGGGGGCGGGCGAAGACATTTTAAGTGAATCGCGACAAGAGTGGTGGTACGGGTCCACTGGTGAAGGGAGATAATACCAGGTTGGGGCATTGGGTCGGCACTGCTGAGAGCACGCGTTCAAATCCGGGTTCAACGTGTGTTGAAATCTCGTTCTCAGGTGTAGTGAGCAGGTGGTCTCTGCCTGGTAATCGTTTTTTTCAATCCACTGCTGGGATGAGGGCCTCCCTTATTCTGTTCGGGTTGTCGGGGTTATTTGCCCATACTTCACCATTCTGGTCTGGTGGGTTGGTGAAGGTGGGGAGCGGAGTATGGTACAGTCCTGCATCGTGGGGCTACATTGTCAGCAGAGGGCAATCCATTGTTGTACTATACTTATGCCCAGAGTCTATGTTCCTCGCCTTCACCAATGCGCACCGACTAGCACAATGACGTATGGCCAAGTAACCCTCACGACCTGCATGGCTTAGCGAGGGCCCTCATCAAGCTGTGAATGAACAAAAAATCTGTTCACGTACAGAATGACATCTTCTGCTGTAGTCGAGCCAGCCTTTAGCCGATTGGAAGTCTGGGCGCAACTGCTGAGGGGGGAAGTGAAGTGAAAACGGAGTTGTCTACGGGGGTTGTCTGCAGTGGCGGTCGTTGCTATTTTGGATCTGATGACACATGCCCGAGCATTTCCCCCTGCCACTGAATTTGCAATTCTATTGTTAACTTGCCGATCGGCCAGTCCACTGCCAGTCCACCGCTGGACGAGGCCCTCCCCATGCCGCGCAGGTCATCGGGGTTATATGACCCCTTCTTCACTGCGCTGGACAGTGTGATTTGGTGAAGGTGGACTTTGCTGCATTGATAAGATGAGAACGAAAACATAAGGAAATATAAATTAAATTAAACTGATTTCCTAGCTTGAATCAGCATGCAGGACAGCTCGTTGTTTACAGGCCTGAGCCAGCTTTATGTTTACATTCCTATGACAGCGGCAGGTTTATGCATAAGACAGCCAAAACATTCATAATAAAGTAGAATTTCTCTAATAGTCTCCATGATTAGTTAAATATACAAGTGTCTGCTCACCCGTAACGTGCTAACAGTTCTGATTAATGTGTTTCCATGGCCCCTATATCCCTGGTGGAAAACGGTGGGCTGCCAAACATCTGCTAAATTTACACATGCAAGGGCAGAATCCCTTAGAAACATGAGCAATCAAAGGGCGAGTTCTCTCCTTGGGTTTAGATTTGGAAAGCGTCGTCGTAACATTCAGGGTGATGTGATCAAAAAAATCACCCGGGATGCTCCCGGTCTCTTCAGAGCTCGGAAATTAAGCCGAGTTGAGCCTGGACATTGCCTGGATGGGCGATTGCTGCAGGGCAACATTGTGGACAGCAGATAACGGTGCAGCAAAATCCGTTATTGCACTGTATTTATATGCTCCCAGGCTTCGTCAACCCACACTGACCAGTGTGGTGAATTATGGTCAAATAGAAAAGAGTGGCTGTTAATACTTATTATTATGTGGTCTGCGAATCAGCCCACCATCATACAATTAATTCAGGAGTCTCCCCTTTTCTCGACCTTGTTTACATTGTGAAACATGCAATGTTCTTAGACAATTATCCGGTGCCATGTTGTGCTGTTCCGTTCAATTTTCAAGAAACCATATATATTTTAATTGTCGCAAGGCCCGGCACAATTGCGCTCTGCTGTTGCTTTTACAAAGAAAAGCCGTTCTCACTCAGACGACAGGGAAACAGTGCATTACGATGTTCATTGTGGAGTGAGGAAGACAAGGCAGCACAACTTAAAATCGGGGGAAGATAAAGAGGCAACCCGTGGTGGCACTGCTGCGTTTGGTTTTCGCGGTTGTGCCACAGTTCTCGGATGCCTTTTCCTAGTCGTGCCGCGTGTTGTTCGGCACGATGTTACGACAATTCGCTTCCATACCGATCAACCCCCTTATCAGTGCCTTACCTTATTACAGACCAATTTAGACCTTATTGGTCACCCTGTGCCCTTATACATCTCAACATTCATCCTACAAAGTCCCATCACAAGGGAGAAACACAAAGACAAAAACATTTTTTTGCCCGTATTGAAACTGCTGTACGCCATATGGATTTGAAAACTCAATTTCCCTGTACAAGAATACGGGGTGAACCGCATGGGTTGACACGGCATGATGATGATGATGATGCATCTCCACTGGTTTCAAATGTTCTACCTCGTCAACGCTCACAAAAAAACACTTTATTTTCATGTCAACTGCCTGCCAAGTCCACCCCTTATCAGTGTCCTACCTTTGTACAGACCAGTTCAGACCTTATTGGTCACCCCGTGCCCTTCTAAATCTCAACGTTTATCCTACAAAGTCCCATCACAAGGGAGAAACACAAAGACATGTTTTTTTTGCCCGTATTGAAACGGCTGTACGCCGTATGGACCTGAAAACTAAATTTCCCTGTACAAGAATACGGCGTAAACCGTATGGGTTGACAGCTGTGGATGGTTAACTGGCACCTCGACAATTCTCTCTTTGCAGGGTCCATCACCCGTGCAGCAGTGACACTCCCGTCTTGGTGCTCGATGCCAACCAGGACTTTGAGTCAAACGAGGAACTTCAGGCTGAGCTTATCAACCAGGTGAGATGCTTTGCGGTCCTTTTCTGCCACGCGGGGGGGGGGGGGGGTACGTTGCGTTTGTGCGTGTGTAAATATTGTGTACGTTTGGGTGTTTCGTCGGTGGAATAGTGCAAATGGCATAAAGCCTCTTTGTCCAGATGTTTCTTCCCACTCGTTGTAGGCCCGGCACCCAGGTATAGTTTGCAGCGTGTACTCACTCAATCACTGTGCCCCCGAGTGTTGATCTTGTTTTCGTCCTTATTGTAAAAAACAATTGATTGCAGTAGCATTTATGGAGTTTCTGACCTTGAGTTCTACGTCCTGTACAGGATACATGTACGTACACACGTTCTTCATACTTATCAGATAATCATGGGCCCTTTAAATTACATTGAAATGCAGCGTTAATATAAAAAATATAATTTAGTACATTTCGTATTTGCGCCGTACATATACCACAGGGCTATCAAGAAGGCACTGATTCAGTTTGCAGGACTTCCACGGTAGGTGGCGATGTTTTCTGTGTGTAATTTCTTTTTTCTCTCAAAATTAGACCACGACACTGACACACAATGGCCTTCTCTTTTCAAATTATAACCGGGGCATCGCTAACTTCCACTGTGAAACGGATGGCTCGAATTTTTATGATTAACGCACCCTGCGGTAATAACCAGGGTGACTTGCCGGATGCAAACCACAAACGCTGGGCCTTGTCACCACCCCTGCCGTGTTGTTAGCAAACGCCCTGATTTTGAAAACAAGCACACAGAAATTCGCAGTCCATACAAATGTTAATATATTATATATTTTTGTTTCTATCTACGTGACTTTACTGAAAGAACCATGAAGAGATAACACCGATTATGGATTTTACTTGTGTATCTCAGCTGTCACATTCTTTTTTTTGTTGGCTCCACAAGTGAACGTGTACACTGGTTTCCTGGTGTGTAGTGCAGTAAAGCTGAAAGAGGAAATTGTCATTGGCCTTGCTGATGCTCATTATACCACGTTGTTTGCATCACATTAGTCGAATGTGCCTCAACTTGACATCATATACTTCACGACCACTCCTGTAAGCAACTAATCGCTTAACGACGTGCCTCCATAGAGCCCAATGTGTTCGCTTACCAACCATTCCCCTGCTAACGATGGGCTGTTGTAGGAAGAGTAAATATTAATGCATTAACCATGTTCCTTGTAATATTGTTTCTTGTATCTTTATGTATTAATATAATTGTATAAATATTGTATGTATTAATATAATTGTATAAATATTGTAAAGTACGTTTTTGGGTGAACTTTCGATGCTATCAGAACGAATTAAGCCTTTTAACATGCATTTCCGATACTTGCTTAACCAAATCACTTAATGATCGGTTTCATGGAACCAATTACCATTGAGGGCTTCTCCTCGACTTGCAACTCTCACAACCAGGAAAATATTATCTTGTTGATATTTGTTGCAATCAAACAATAATGATGCACGCTGGCGATTTAAAGTGTTACATGGTGAGTTATGTGGGCACAAGGTGAATTACAACGCTAAACAGATTTTCCTTTTGCACAGATTGAAGACTTTTTAGACAAGATATGAAATTTCTGCTTATCGAGAATGGCAGCGATGGTGTAAATCGTTTCAAGAAATGGTCAAATTTTCAACTGGTGCCGAGCACGCTCTCAAAGGTGGAAGTAGATTTACACGATATTTGCACTTCATGAGTTATTTATATTTCCTGAAATAAAAAAAATATTTATACTAAGTGCCCCCTTTGAAAAAAAAACAGATGTTAAGTTTACCATTGACATTGTAAGTTGGTGTACCAGTATTATAAATGAACTTGTTGGTTATTCTAATATCTTAAAAGTGTGAACATTTTTTGCTTCAGTGTATTGTATATGCATTTCACACTGCTTGTGCTTTTGTTAATGGAACTGCAAGGCAATAACTCTTCCAACTTAGGAAGGCAGAAAAGGGTTTACATTTATTGAATGTAAAATATGTACAGAAAATCAAATGCAATCCCAACACTAGTGCTAAACACTCTCCATAAGGTCTGTCAATTGACTGTACAGTGCTAAAATAATGCTTCCAGCTAAAATCTTGCACATTTCCAAAACCAAATTCCAACCTCTGATTACCATCATCTGGCAGAGCTATTAACAAGCTATATGTACAAAGCTTGGCCTCTGGAAGGCCTCTACAGGTCAATGGGTAAAAGTGAAGAAAGTTACGTTCCTGTATGAAAAACGGAACATGAATAAAAACCATGCAATAGAATCACACGCATTTTCATACAAGCAAAACATGATTAATCATAAACACTTTTGAGAAGCAAACTTAATTAAAAAAAATTGCCCATGGGAGTGAGAGAGATTTGCCGAGGTGAAAACTTGCCGAGCGCCTTAAAACGAACGTTCTCTTATTGCCAAAATATGGTTTGTACAAAAAGGGGGAAACCCCCCCCCACCCACCCACCCACCCCTTTTTTTGGGAAAGAATGTTTCGAAGCAAAACGTAAAGATCCATTTTTGGAGCGCGTTTTTGCTCACCGCCGACACAAAGGTCACCAATAAATACCGAGCGAAACTCTGCGCGCCGTATTGCCGGCACGGAAAGTACAGCGGTCGGCTACCCCTCGAGTCGGACTTGCCCTGGCTTCGCCGTTAAGTGGCACTTGGAAAGATTACATCGTATGGCGAGGTCAGGCGGCGGAAAAGGGTTTCTGACGCGACGTGGAAAAATGCGAAGATTCTTGGAATAATTAATATTATATATACTGCAATTAATAAGAAAAACCAGTAGTAACGAATTGCGGAATAAGCTTCGATCTTTACGCAACATTTCTGCAGCTATAGATAACGTATCACAAATGTACCCAGTTGGGGAGAGATGCGATGTTAGGCTGGATACAATATTTACTGTGGTGGCAATCTCACAACAATAACTTAGTTACTGATAAATTATGCAAAATAAGAAAAATTCACATTGTGTCATGTTCACTTAAAACCTTTTACTAAAAGTATGGGATTTAAGTCCTCTAAGTTGCAGAGCCCATTTAATTTTTTGACTCGCAGCCGTGTGGCTCTGTGCAGCTGAGAAACGTGAACGTCCCATTTTAGCCTCTTCAGTCTCGCTAATGCCAGACCCACAAACATCAGAATGCCAACAGCCTGAGTTGATTCAGAAGCACCCCCCCCCACCCTTCCCCACCTCCAAACAAAATATCATTTTTAATAACTGGCCAAATAGAGTAAGAATTTCTCTCCCCGTCCCCTCCACTAACCTATCATGCACGCGTTATCGTTATCTCCAGTCCACTCCACACCATGTCTACTATTCACACAAAAGGCAGGGCTGTTTTTAGATAGCAGTGGCCATAATAGATGGCCATTCTGAAAACTGCAACAACCACGGACTGCGCGAGACAGTAGTTCAATATCACCGAATGCAATGCAGATCCATAGTGAGATAAGTGTGCGCTCACAAAGGCATTTTTATTTTTCTAAATCTGTTTAAATACCTTTAAGCCACACGTCCATTAAATAAGTAAAGCAATAATTAAACAAATTCCTTTATATAAATCGGAGAACTCAAATGGTATTCTTTAAAATTGTACTTACATAAAAAGGGATTCATTTTACATATCTGCTGCCAACTTGGGGATAGAATGACTATTTCGCCTTTAGCTTACAAGAATAGATTTTAATGGCTTACAATTTTCAGGTCTCAAAAGGAAAAACAATGCATTATTTTTTAGCTGTACACATAGAATCATAGATATATCACCTTAAAAAACTGTCCACATTACTTTTAATTTAGTCAATTCAGCACATTGCACACTCACAGTCTACTCTAAGCAAATCAACTGCACAGGTAGGTCACATGCAAATGAAGATTTGACATTCCAAAAACGAATCCAAACAAATGCAGAATGGACCTGTCTTTGCAAAGATGAGTAGAACCTCGCACGAGCATGGATCTAGTTGGTCGCTAGCGACCGGGTACGACGGAAAACCGCGCAAAACTCAAAATCGCGGATGTCAAGCAAAAGCGCGACGATGACACGTGGGGGCCAGGCGGCTCAATGGTGGCAGTGGCGGCGGCGGGTGCTAGCAGCGCTCCAGACACTCGATCACGCGTGCGATAGACTTCTGGCCTGTCGTGCCCACGGTGCTCTGCAGAAGCAGCAGCAGCAGCAACAACAACAACAACGGTATGCTCGGTCACGCGCGAGGAATCAAAACATTAACGCAGGGACATGGAGATGGCGCGACGGCATGTTACTACGCTTCGTTAACTTAAAACTACATGCGCCAATGTTTTTTGTGATAAGCTTAAAATCCCATGAGCCTTTGTGGGCATTTGATAGGAAGTTTATTGATTTGCAGGCACTATCGATTCTGCATGCTCAACAAGCACAACAAAATAATATCATTTTTTATATTAAATCATGGCAACGACTTGATGGAAAAGTGAACTGTTGCACGTCAAACAGTTTGAATGAAGGCAAGACACGCACACCATTGTCTGTTCAACTCTTAAGGATGTGCAGAAGCTGCACATGAAGTTTCACTGCCAGAGCAGAAGCATTTAACCGCGGATGGGAATAAGAGTGAAGTCTCACCGTGAGGTTCATGAAACACAGGAATTTCTGCAGCATCTCTGTCATACTTGAGAAGTCTCCCTTGGGCAGACACTCGCGGATGGTCTGCACAGTCGTCTGGTGGCGGCAGGAACACGAACGTGGGTCTGGGTTACCGTGTGGAGACGCGCGTACTGGTGTGCGGCTGGTATGTATGTGTGTGTGGTTGTGTGTAGTGGGGAGCGGTGGTGCAGCGGATACCGCGCTGCACTATGAATCCGGCGCGCCAAGTTCAATTCCTGCTCGCGGCCGACACCAGTGACGATTATCTAAACCGGTCCTGGACTTCCCCTAGGTCGGCTCAGTCTCAAATGAGTACCTGGTGTGGTGTGTTGTAAACATCACCACCGGGGAGACAAATGCGGCCGGGCGTGGTGCTGGCCACCCACTCCCTCGTGTGCCGTGCCGGCCTTCATAGGTGCTCGCTAACAGCACTTGCCCCAACAGTCTGTTAAGGCTACACAGGGGACCTTTGTGTGTGTGGGGCTCTTGAGTGGACGTACCGGACTCTCGTGGCACAGGCAGCCAAGCACAAGCGCTGTGTAGGACGCCACGATGCAGTCCTCCATATGCTTGCCCGCCTGCGCCAGCGCTGTGGTGACATGCAAGGCGAACGCTTACAACACCCATTGCAAAACATCTGGTTATCCCGTCTTTCTGATAAGAGCATTATACAATTACGTCATGCTTTGTGCGAATAGTTACCACATGTACGATTATGGCGTTGTTGCTTCAATTTGGTACAAATAACGGTGGTGTGTGAATTTGAAAGCTGCATACAATTGAAGTTTTAGTTTAGTTTTCAGTCCCGTCAATCCGCTGCTGGATGAAGGGCTCCCAATGTCAGTCACAAAGTTGTTTGAATCTAATCTCGCTGGTTGTAGGTGCCCGTGACCTGTTCAGATATCACTTGCCACAGATGTCAGCTGTAACTGGAGATCATTACACAGGCAGCCGAGCTCATAGTGATAGGGACCACTGCCACTGTGATCAGTTTTTTTTGTGTTTGACAAAGGTCTTATCAAATATTCCATACGCAGAGGGCAAGGGCTTATTTTATCAGGTGGAACAGGTCATTGTGGGCTCGGGGCAGCAGTATAAGTCCAGTGTTTGCATCCTACAACCTTAAATGAGCCTCCACTTTCCAGTCCTATATAAAGGTCAACATGGCGAATACGACGGGTGCATGCCACTCAATTGGTTGGTTGCTAAAGAATGATATAGCTGGCGCGTGAAGACCGAATAGTGCGGTGTTTTGAAAAAAAAACCCCTGGGTCTAGCTATGGAAAGCAAATGTGGCTCAATAACTTTGACGAGGTATACCTCTGGCATGGTCGGGCCACAAATGAACTCGGCTCGAGAAACCTGCGTGCGTGCGTGGTTTCTCTCGTGCCGCGGTCAAACCTTTTTTGAGGGTGTCCATCTCCTCTTCCTCGGCGGCCGCTGCCGCCTGCTTGGCCGAGCGGATGTCCCCAGGGCGGCCCGTCCTCCCGGGCTCCGGCGACGCCTCCACCCACTCGAGGCCACTCTCCGACTCGTGCCACTCTCCGTCGGGGTCGCTGCCACGGTGCTGCTGCTTTTGCTGCTGCGTCTGCTGCTGCTGCTGCTGCTGCAGCTCCAGCTGCTGCTGCTGCTCCTGCTGCGTCGTGGCCGTCGTCGTTGACGAGGGCAGAGACGCCGACGACGTCGTCGCCCCCTCTGCGGCGGGCGCTGCCGCTCCGCCGGGTTGCGAGGAAGCGGCGGTTTTCATCGCGCCCTTGATGATGTCGTCGGTTTGGGTCTCGGCCAGCTGGGCTGCGTGTTCCCGCTGCAGGTAAAGCTGCGTGCACACGGGGGAGAGAAAGAGGCGTGAGAGTGGCAGTGTCCTGTGTGTGTTTTGACTGCCCCAACAGTCCGTTCAGGCTATACAGGGGATCTTTGTGTGTCGACTGTAATCCCTATCCAGGGCGCATGGGTGCTGACGTCATGAGCACACTCCGCTTTGTGGTTCGGGTCTCGACATTAAAACCCAAACCAACTTCACACCCACGGCTTGCATTGCTTTGACCAACACAGGCCATCGGCTAATGATTGTGAGCGTGGCACCGCGCAGAGGAGTGGAAAATTGCGTTCTGATGCCTCATTTACATAATCACCCCAACAGAGCGCTAAAATTGGTCATGTAACGTCATCCTAAATGCATCTGAAGACGGATGACCTTGTGTTTAGCTTCGTGCTTCCCGACATTGTTTCTCATGTACCTCCCGACTAGACATATCAACTCTCCATTTTTATAACCATTTACACAAATTAACACTGAAGACATTGAGTGAACGCTGCATAACAATTAACCGCTTACAATTTAATATTTACACTTAAGCAATGCAAAATAAAATCACTTGTTCAGTTTAAGCCGAGTCACCATGAATGAAGCAGGGGAAGAAGGCCGAGTTCAGTGGATCTGGAAGGTTACAAGAGATTGAGACTGGCTTGAAAATGTTATATTGTATACGTGATATGAGAGTGCACTGAACAGAGCACATAGATTACCAAGATGAACGAAATGGGTTCAAATTCCATGCAAGTAGCAGCTTTAGAACTGTTAATGCATACACGTGCAGTAGCAACACTTAGTATTCTCACATCATATCCCACGTCAAAATCTGAATATTTATCCTGGAGAAATCCGATGAGCTATAAAGCTCTTCACAGATGTCCAGTAGGGGTGGATCAGAAAGAACAATACAAATAAATGAAAGGAGTGCAAATTATAGCAAAGGTAAGCAAATCACTGAAATTTAATAAATGAAATAGATAAAATATGTAAGTTGATATTGCATAAGTCTTAATTTAAAGCTTTCGTGACTATAGGCATTAATATTCTTCAGGAATATATTTTTCCTGCCTCACCTGATGACGATTGCTTGTGTTGCGATCGAAACGCAGTGATATTTTATAAATTTAATTATTTTTCTATCAACGTGGCTTTACCGAAAGACCCAAAGAATTTGATATTGCATAAGCGCATCAATTCCCAAGCTTTGGAAATCCAGCAAAACAACAGAAAAAAACAGTCCCAGACCATACGAAGACAACAGTCCCCTCAATACAATTTAACTATTGAGATGTGGGCAAGGATGAAAGTTGCAAATCATATTTGCAATTAAAAAAGGTCACGTGACCTCGTGTACCCCCTAGAGATGTCACGCGCAGGTTGGGGAAAAAACCACTGTTCTGGGCTCAGACATCCACGAATGCACGAGACTTGACCACGGGATGTGGATGACCCACCTTGCCACGAATGTCCCCATCGAGCCACAAAAATAAACAACACGGGCAGCGTGACTCAAAAACCGCGCGGTACCTGCACGAGGGCTTCCAGCGCCGGCACACAGCAGCCCGGCCCCGTGTCGGCGATGCACGACGAGTCAGCCGAGACGCCCTCCGTCTCCATGGCGACGAGACACTGCCGGTTGCGGGCGCTCAGCTCCACCAGGTTAACGAGCAGCGCCAGGCCCTGGGGTCATGGAGAGGGTCCAGTTTCAGCCCTTGCTGCAGGTTTAAAACAAGCCACTGAACGATGTCCAAATGACGACGCTTCTTGTGAGACCTCGGGTTATATTTGTAAATGTCCTGAATGTTGCCGAAATAAACCTAAACCTAAATGTGAGAGCGTGTGGCTTCGGATCCCGAGGGTTCAGGTTAATGCACGTTGCTTGGTAAGGCAGAAGATAGCAACAGTTTGGGGAGGCTTTCATCCATCAAGCCTCAGAGCAAATGACGAACACACAAGAATCAGACAAATTTGACTTTTTTAGTGTTCAGTGTAAATGGCCTAAGTATCCGAGGCCCTCAAAAACCAGACCTAAAAACCTTAAGATTCTATGTTATTTCCAAGGTTCAAAGAGTCAGACTAAGATAATCTTGGTGTTCGTGTGGTTCGGGGTTAAAGCGCCAAGTTCACGGAGCTACAAAAGGCAACGTTAGGACCCTAAAGCCGTCCAGTTAATGCCTGACGTGCACGGGTAAAAACAAGGCTGCGTTCAAAATAAGTGCCCAATGCTGAACAAAAGTAGATTTTCACCCTCCGTCAAACACCCCAGCTCAGGCTCCATGTTTTTAAAAAGGGAAACAAAGTGCCGTGCTGCGCTGTGGCAGTGGGCGGCTGGCTGGCTGGCTGGAGGTGGCGGCGGCGTGGGGGGATTACCAGCACGCGGATGTCGAAGCGCTGCTCGGCGGGCAGGAGGGAGGGCACGTGCAGCACGCAGCCCAGTACCGAGCCCACGAGTCGGTCCTGCTCGCCCGCCTTCGTGCTGCCCCACTCTGCACGCGCGAAGAAAGGGGGGCATTATGGCCTTTGGTTGCTCAGAAACTTCTTCGCTACAAAGTAAAAAAAAATAATGTTTTTTCCCTTTTCACTCAATTTTTTTATTCTGATTGTACTGCAGACGTCACGTCATTAAGCAAAGTATCCGTTCGGAACTCTTGGACAACATTGCAGGCTTTCTATGTTAGACAATGGCCCGTGGAAGCAAATATCACGGAACTACTTCCGAGGTCCCTTCTAGTGACCTCTGGTCCACATAATAGTTGGCAGCACTTTCCCACGCACCCTGCCACACAGTAATGCAAATGTGTAAAACAGATATATTTAGTGCTCATAGCTGGAATTTAGCAAAGTATCGAACCAATTTAGACATGATGGAATTAATGCGGCCACTGGTGACCAGGCTGAGCTCACTACACTAGAGAACCCTGCTTAAGCACAGGCACCTTCCCTGGATTCAAGGCCAGGATGTCAGTGGTGCCATCTGTGCTCGACTTTTGAGCCACCAGGTCACATTTCCCACGCCATCGCATTCACAACCGGTTGCATTAAAGATGGACGAAATTCAAAATAACAAATAATTCTTGTACGTCCATAGAAAGGATGTGGATCAAGAGCTGTCTGACAAGTTTGACGTTTCCTTAATGAGAAAAAATATATATAAATATTATGGCCAAGTGCTGCAAATATCAGGCCATGGTGACGTCACTACGCTGACGAGTGAATGGAAGCAGCGTCCCTGCAACATTATCGTGAGTGCAATCATGGCATGCTTGACTGTTTATTTCTCATTGTTGAAGTTTTACTTGTGTCGACCAGCCCAGGACACACAACCCCCGTGTGTATGTATGAGAGCCATTTGTTTTTTTGGGATTATTTCTAACTTTAAGCTCATTCTCATAGAGCAATCTTAAGTGTGGTTTGAATTTTTTGTAAATTGGCTTCCATGTTTGGTCAAACGAATGAGAAACGAACATAGGCATAACATCTAAATAAAGCTGTGCAGACTAAAACGTTGACTTTTCTCTCAACAATTTCCCTATTTTCCAGAATTTGACCACGAACACAAGGCCTGTTTAGACAGCCCTCCAAACCTTGTGACAGCTCCAGGCACAGATAAGGTAAACAGTTGGATCGGGGTTACATGTGTTATAGCATGTTATAACACGGCCACACTCACAACCCAACCACTACAGAAATCTAAGGAGGCACTCTATTTAAAATTTTGGATGATCACAGCCTTGCAGTTCCAATTTTAAACCGGTTAATGCAGTGCATTGTAAGAATAGTTTAACCCTACAGCGTAGGCCTAGAGTCCAAGAGACCGACCCAATGCGGTGTTTTGGATACCCACGAACAAGAGAAATTTACATCGTATTACGTAAAATTATTTAACAAGCCATCTTATGTGAGCAAACATACAGCTATATTGTTTGTACGGGTCCTTCCAGACCCAAATCATTAGAAACAAGTAAAATATTAACTAGCCATCTTATGTGAGCAGTGTTATTGTTTGTACAGGTCCTTCCAGACCCCAATCACTGGAACCAAGTTGCATATTTTCTGGCCGCATCCCAGGACCACACATCACACTGTGCTCGGCGTGCCGACCGTCACGTGGCACGGAAAATCGTGCGTTGCGTGCCGTACCGTTGTCGTGCGTCAGGTTGAGGAGCACCCCAAATGATGCGCGCAGGCAACCCTCGAGGGCCTTCAGCAGGGGACTCCACTCGGCGCCAGCATTGTTCACGGTCCCCTCTTCATTCCTCGTCTCCGCTCTCTCTTTCCGCAGCAGCAATACCTCGCACAGGCCCAGAACTCTGCGTACGGACACCAGGGACAGAGATTCCCCCCACCCCCGTGTACTCATTGCAAGGTTGTTTCGGCAAGGGCTGTTGATGACCACCTACTGAGGGTGCTGTGAGCAGCACCACACCTAGACACCATTGTCTACCCAGTGCTTGGTGCTTACACCCCCGCATCAGCTAAGTTGACTATTAAGAGACCAGACCAATTCTCAAAAATTGCCACCGATATTATTCCAATGGCCGGGGATTGAACCCAGGTCGCCCGGTTTATAGTGAAGTGTACAAAACACTGGACTATCTCCCCATACAACAGACATCCACAGGATGTTTTTTTCCATATTCTTTTTTTTTTGCATTATCGATACAAAAAAGGTGATTATTTGTTTACCAACCATAACTAATGCACACTGACCAGTGTAACCAAGTATTCAAAACACATATTCGAGCTTAAAGAGGCCTTCATCCAGCAGTTGACTGGCAATGGGCTGTAAATGTATTTTATATACACATATTACTACTATGAGCCAAGAATGTCTGTTTGTGTCTCCCGTGCGTGACGTCACTCCACATGCACCTCCCCCCCCCGCTCATTCATATTCATGAGCGGGTGGATTTTTACACTCGCGCAGAAGGTCGAGCGGAAATATTTATTTTTCGCAAATTTGCTTTAAGTTTGACATTTCTTTATTGAAAGTGAATCAAATAAATAATTATACGCAGCAACAAAGTGGATTTGGTGTCTTTATTTCTTCAGCACTTGAGACAAGAGGTAAGTCTAATTTATGCTTTTACATTATGGTAAAATGGACATTTCTCGGCGATTTTCCAGATATTTTATCGAATACCAATTTATTTCAACCTCAGCGACCGAAAGCAGAAGAGAATAAAGTATCAGAGCAGTGAATTTGAACAAATTGAAGGTCAGTTATATACAGTGCTACAGTGACATGAAGTGAGGTGTTTTAGGACTTCGTTTTGTGCCAGAATCACTGCCATTAATACAGGGCTACAGTGAAATGCAGTGAAGTGTTTGATGACGTACTTTTGTGCAAGATTCACTGCCATTAAATTTACACAAGATACAATAATACTCTGCTCAATTTTTTTGGTAAATATTACAGCTTCCGTCCTAGGACGGGCAAGGAAGCTAGTAGAAATATATTCTCTTTGTAATGGGCTGTCTTTTGACTCCTATTGGAACGCGCCATGCAGGGCAGTTTAAACACTGCCAATCGGTTGGATCATTACTAAAATTAAATTGGATTGGTTGGCGGAATCGATAATCGATTTGTAAATGATTATAAAAAAAAATCAAGAACTGATAAACAACTCCACCACACTCACATTTTTCCTCCTTCCTACCCCTGTGTGTGTGTGTGTACTGTTTTTAGTCATCCTGAGTGAATCATCCCATTGGGTTCAGGTTGTGTTAATGGTGTGAAGTCAGGAGAGATATGCTTTCCGAAGAATGCTCCCGTGTGCAATTCCACAGCATACGTACATTGCTGCTGAATGAGCGCATAGCAGTAATGTGCACCATTTCCACAACACAAGGAAATTAACCTTCCTAAAAGGCTGAATCTCAATGCGCAAGCATTGATCGAGCAAGCTTGTGCTTTTTGTTTTGTCGCTACAATCGGCAAATCCTTAAAATCACAGGCCATGTTGTACACCACAGCCTCCTGCATTGGCTGCAACGCATAAAATATGAACGTTCGAACGTACCGGGCTGTGGAGACAATGAGCTGCGAGTCCTGGTACGCAATCAGGTATCCCTGATTCTCCGGATTGTGCACGGTCACCTGTGGGAGACATTGCAGTTCACAAACAAGCAAAGCGGTGGTACCCCCCCCGCACTGCTAACAGACACCGCCACTTTCAACCCAACGGGTGCAGCGTGAGAAAAAACTCCGGCGGAAAGGGTGCCCCCCCCCCCACCACACACGTACGCTCTCGAGGACTCGCAGGCACCGCTCGGCACCCCGGAGAGAATCCACCAGCTTCTCCTCCGCCCCACGGTCCGCGCTTCTGAGCTTCTCGGCACAGTCCGCCACTGTGGGGGTGGTGGGGGGGGGGGCAATGCAAACAATTGCCCGAGAGGCCGTGGGCCCCCGACACCGCAAACACCCATGACAAAAAAGTGCGCAAAAAGCCCCGCCTGCCCCATGTTAACATTTTATAGGCGACACGATACCTTTGTCCACTATGTGGTCGAGCCCTCCGAGGAGGCGGAGTTCCTCTTTAAACCAGTCTCCCGCGCGCCGGGAGGTGAGTGAAAGCAGGGTCTCCATGGCCAAGTGTCCTGTCTGCACCGTCATCAGTCACACATCGGGTGTCCAGGGCAGCAAGGTTTATATGCGTTGGCAGCTCCGTAATCGGACGTAATCACGACCACTTTTCACCATGACTGTGATCGGCTCGTTTTAAACCAGGCGTGTAACAATTCATATTCTCGTTAATATCAATTCCTAGGATCACAGTACGTTTAAGGAATCGATCGAATTGATTATACTTGGTTTATTAAAATTTGATGCAAATGTTACATGAGGCTCATGGTCGCCAACGGACAGAATGACAAAGAAAATCTGCGTGAGAAAGACAGAAATTAAACAGTACGATAGTACAACGGACATCGTACATACATACAAATAACTAATTCTTGAACTAGCTCGCGATTCCAAACTGCGACAATTCTTGAAATCGTGAGGGATGTTCACAGTTAAATGCCTGATTTAAAGCTTTCGTGACTGCAGGGATTCATATTCTTGGTTCTTTCAGTAAAGTCACGTAGAAGGGAACCATAAAATAATAAAAATATAAAACAATAAAATTCTCACGACGTTTCGACTGCAACACAAGCAATCATCATCAGGTGAAAACCACAGCAAGAAAATGTGAAAAAAGTGGCGTTGCAGTCGAAACGTTGTGAGAATTTTATTGTTTTATATTTTTATTATTTTATTGTTTCCCTTTTACGTGACTTTACCGAAATAACCAAGAATATAGTTAAATGCCTCTTTTAATGCCCAATTAAATAAGCCTCTTTTAATACTCTGTTTTAAATTCAGTTTTTCTTAATACACCATACAACAAATTTAATCAATAGCATGGAGAGGTACATGAAATCAATAACTACCATTTAGCAGAGATGTAAAAAAAGTGCAAAAAAATCACGACCCGGGTCTCAAAACATTAATTCAATGACAGTCACAACACTCCCGCCACTATAAGCACACAAGGGTGTCACTCTTGGTTTGTGCCGAAGTGGCGAGATGTTAACTCCCTTGTCTGGTATGCAGGAGGTTGTGGGTTGATCCCAATATTGACTCTTGTATATTTGGAATCGACATGCGTTTCAAGTAATTGGCTGCTATACATTTCCACACGATAAGTCACTTTGTTGAGCTAGCCTTTGTGGCCAGGTCGCTTTTGAAAAAGAGCTACATAGCTCAGTGGGCTTTACCTGCACCTCCCATTTGCATAGATGGCTATGTACGACACGAAAGAAGTTCAATATACACAAAAAAACAAAGATCCCCCCTGTAGCCTTAACAGACTGTAGGGGCAAGTGCTGTTAGCGAGCACCTATAAAGGCCGGCACGGCACACAAGGGGGTGGGTGGCCAACACCACGTCCGGTCGCCTTTGTCTCCCTAGTGGCGATGTTTACACACCGCACCAGGTCCTCATTTGAGGCCGAGTCGACCGAGGGGAGGCCCAGGAACGGTTCAGACAATCGTCACTGGTGTTGGCCGTGAGTGGTAATTGAACCCGGGTCGCCTGGTTTGTAACGCAGCACGCTAACTGCTACACTACCACTCCCCACCACATACATACAACATACATACACACACACACCTGGTAAAAAAAAATGTTTTGTTTAGTTTTAGGATCCACAGAGCGGACGCGCTTGCGAGGATCTTTGGTGCCGACTCTCACCGTCATGTTCTCCAGGTCCAGGTGGCGGTTGTGCACCTTCTCGCACAGCTTGCGGATCCTCTCCCGGAGTCGGTCGCCCTCGCGGATGTCGGCTGCACGAGCTGCCGCCGCCCCCCCCGCACCCACCACTGCTCCCTTCCTCCCGCCCGCGTCTTCCTCGGCCGTCCCTCCGGCCCCGCCACCCTCCATCTCCAGCAGGCGGATGAGTAGCTCCAGGCAGCCGCGGTCCAGGTCCATGTTGAGTCGGTCGCGGCTCAGCACGTACATGAGAGCGGCCGTGCACAGTGCCAAGTTCTGTGTCGCGACGGTCGCGGTGCAGCGAGCGAGGCGTAAAGGGGCGACAGAACGGAAAATGGCAATTTCAAAAGGAAACACAAGCCAAAGAAGGGGAAAGAAAAATCACGCACATGCGTGGTTCCTGTATGGCTTTCCCACGTGCGTTTGTATTTGGAAGTGTATAAATGGTAGTATAGAAGCTGACGGGTAACTGAATCAATCTTTATTTTACGTGCCAATATCGCCCTCAATAAAGTGGGCATCAGTGCACATTACAACAGAACAGGAATGGTGCAGTGGCATACATGGGCATAACTGTCCGTGCGAAACACATTTGCATATTTACAAAGTGCCATTTTGCTCTCATTTTTGTCTCCAGATTTTGGTCAATTGTTTAATAAATGTATAATCTTTTTTCAATTGGGCAAGTCCCCAAGAGCGACCAAACTTTTTACGAAAAGTTTTGCCCGTATTGGATCATCTTACAGAGAGTTACTGCAACCCGTTATGGACGGCCAGAGCAAATATATGAACATAACTGCCATTCTCTTTGGTTCTTTCGGTAAAGTCACGTAGGTATAAAATAAAATAAATCACATAACTGCCATTGGCTATGTCATGGGCGGTCGACCGCGAGGTTACAGCATTGCTGGGAGGCAGGTAATGAATCACCCCCATGAGGTGTGCTGAAGATGTCACAATTCAATGCAAACTGGTGTCTTGTTTTAAGCTTGTTTTCATTTTTAAATGTATCATTTGTACAGTTTTGTCTGCTCCATTAAACTTTAATTCAACACGAGTATATAATTTGCATACACCTTGTGTGGACCGTAAAGAATTCATTCTCGTCGTCACAATTTAATGCATTTATTGCGAGTGCAAAAGTCAATTTTAATTAATCAATAAATGCCTCATTACATGGCTAATACCTAGGCTGTCTGAACCAAGTGTGGAGATTTATCATGAGCCAAGATCAATTTACTGCTGAATAAAGGCCTCCCCCAAAGCTGTCGCCATTTCAAGTGGTCCTCCCATGTATAAATCCACCTAGCAGCTGCGCACACAAGACAATGTTATCGCTCGGTCTGCTTCAGCTTAATGGAAACAATTATTATCGTTCAGCCACCTTATAATGACGTCATTGCAATGATTTCACAATAGAACGAGGAGTGACGCCGTATTGACATCACCCGGGCACGCTTGACCGTGCTTTTTTTATCGTTTCGCTAACGGAGCCCTAATCTTGTGATGGCCAGCCAGAGACACAGACAGTTATTGTTTTAAGATCGAGTCTTATTTTAGATCATGCTCTGCTCTTTCGCCTACAAACAAATCGACCATGATGCACCCAATCTCAGCGGAAATTGAAAACTACGCAAGGTTGAGCCCAGGCAGTGCTTGGATGGGTGACCGCCATGCCTAAAACAGGTGTTGTAGGTTGCTGTGGGGTGACATTGTCAGCAAAAGGCAGTGCAGCAAAAGCTATCGTTGCCTTGCATTCCCCGCTCCAATGTCCATCTTCACAAGCCCGCAGTGACCAGCGACAAGCGTGGTAAAATAACGCCCACGCACTGCGCCGCATTGTGGCTGTCCTCCTACAGCACTGGATTGACAGGGTCGTGCTCACGTGCTGTGTAACACCAGAAAATAAAAACGTGGAAAGCATGGGAGGTTAGCCGGCCGAGGGTACGGACGCGGGTTACCTGGTTCTCCTGCGCATCAATGAGCAGCTTGAACACCTTAGCCACCTGACCGTGAGCCCGGAGGTGCATGCGGAAGCCAGGCATTGCGCACTTCATGGCCAGGCTGATCACACTGCAGGGCGCATTACAAATATATTAGCATAAAATATATTAAAACATCCAGCCTTTTAAATTTGAAAATAAAGTTCAGAAAAATCATGCATATGTGTGGATTTTGTAACACTTTTCAATGTGCATATGTCTTTGAAAGTATTTAATTAACAGTATGGAAGTCAACAGAGGTAGCTGACTCAGAAAAAAAGGCATTGGCAGGAGTAAATAGTCCACTAATCTTGATTATGGGCACTCCTTTCAATAAGTCCCTCATAGCAACACAATTTTATATTCAAGTTTTGTTCGTATTAGTTGATGTTTACACATCAGTGCCCTCATCTTACAAACGGAGCTAATTCATAAAACCTGAGTTGGAAAGCATAAAAAAATGCAATTCTTTCTCGAAGTTTCTATATTTCAGCTACAGGAGGATATTAACATTGACGGCAAAGTATTGTCAGCATGCACTTCGGCAATCCAGCCAAGTTGCCCCTTACATATCAAACAATAGCGAAAATAATTTAATATACCTCATGTCTAATACTAAACAGATTAAGTGCTTCGACACAAAGCAGTCCGAATCACTCATCCACAACACACCTTTGTATGTTTATAATAGGGAGACAATAAATAGTTTTGCGTCACAATCCCCTTACACATGCATCTAAAGTCAGGCTGCGTAACCCAAGGTCATGTGGGGCCGTTCCTGACCCATGAGCAGCAGGAGTCCGCGAAAGCTCTGCGAACGACTCAGCGGGGCTGTTCACTGCGAGCAGGCTATGACGCCCACCGCTGTTCACGAACGCTGACGTCACGGTTGCCAAACGCGATGCCCCCCCTCGCTAATTTGACGTCACGCGGGGGGGGGGGGGAGCTAGGAGATCCGTATCATGGCCCCCCCCCCCCCGCTTTGAAAAAAAGGCTGCACACTCCTGGTCTGTGGAGACGCAAGTCCACTTCAATGGTCGCAAGGCTGAGCGCCAGTGGTGGGAGGTGGGGGGGTGCATGCGGTGGCGTTGGGCCGACCTGAGGCAGCGGGTGCTAAGAGGCTGCCGTGGCTTGAGTCCGCTCATCAAGTACTCGACGTCGTCCGTGTACTCCTGTGTCTCTCCGAACTCCAGTACCTCGTTGAAGTGCTTTACCTGCCGCACCACCGTGTACAGCTGTGCATTGTGGGGCGGCAGGGGGGGGGGGGGGCGGTGCACATTATGAGGAGGGCAAGGCGTAATAAATTCAAAGCCACCTTGGCTTCAAGTTCTACTTAAATAAAATAATGTCTCAAGGCTCCTCAAGGAGGTTCTTGGATTACGTTTTGTCAATTCGATTTTAAGAAGTGTTCTATGTGTGGGAGGAAAATATAATTCCCGGAGAAAACCAATCATGCATATAGCGAGAGATAATATATTCCAGTATCTGCAGAGATGGGGTCATGAACCTGGTTGCTGTATTTCCAGCATCTGGGCACCATGCGACCCAGAGGGATTGGGAATTTCACAAATTCACGTGATCTACCTACCCATGCATCCGTAGTGCTAGATTACATAACTAGCTTAAAGCACCTTCCAATTATGTCCAAGAGATTGTCAGTAAACAACTTGAATATACCATACTATATCTACATTATAAAACGGCACATTGCACTATACATAATAAGATTGATACGGTAGCTATATTTATACAATTCTTCTGTTGTATGTCTTTGTCGGTATGTGCCACTTTGAACAAACCTTATACAAATCCATATTTTTTAGAATACGTATATAGATTTGGTATTGATTGAAAACCCACATGCAAGCAGACAACTTTTGTTTTCTACGACCTTTCCTTGCCGGGTGAAGGGAGCGAATCAAAAAACGTGCTCATGTGGACCACAACTTTCAAAATCATGGAATGCTTACATACTTATGTAGACTACAAGATCAAATGTATGCTAACCAACCATCAGCCGAGCAACAGGCATTCCGAGCAATGGCTGGGCCTGCAGGAAGTCATATGGGAGCATCAGAGAGCCTATCGGAATGTTTGATGCAAAAATGAGAATGACTGATTGAATTGAGAATGAGATTGGGTTAATGGGTATGAATGAGGAATGCGTGATTGGATGAGGCAAGATGAGAATGAATGAGTGATTGGAGGAGGTAAGAATGGAGTTGAGACCGAGCTGAAACGGGGACCGAGCCGATGAGGAAAATAACCCTAACTGTAGGACGGGCTGCCCTCTCATATCATACAAGTTAGGCAAGTAACAGTGCATTCATTCACAATTTAAAAGCAATTTTTCTCGACCAGAATATACGCAATGATTGTACAGATGAAAAACATTTACAATGTATGCAAATTATATGTAAAGGAAATGCTGTAATATTTAGGCTAATGGAGCGAACAAATACTACAAAAGCCATAATAAGAAACAAGACAAACAAGGCTGTGAAAACGAGACTAATGAATCTGTGCTTGAATCTAATCGCAACCCCAAGTCGGTGGTGGAGGGTGGGTTAAATCGTTACACGCCAAATATTTAAGATAGACAAACCCAAAGAGCATCGTCATTTGCCTCGAAACTTCATACAGCCACATGGCCGCACATGCCATTGCAGAATGGACAGGCAGCACGTATTGAACACTTTCCCGTTCCAAGATGTCTGCAAGTTGCAGGGTGGGTCCCGTTCACTGCTGAATCTCCGAGCACGCAAGCGGTTCGCGCTCATTTTATTTCGAGGCATAGCGCTGCTGTTTTTAAATACATTTAAGTTCCATGATAGCTGGCACCAATCTGTGCTACACGCCCTCCCGCATGGCTTTTTACTTCCGGTTCTGTTCGAAATCAATTCCATTCCGTTCGAGAATTAGAAGAAAAAACTGATGACGTACACGTATGTCAACCGGAACAGGAAAGGGTTAACATTATTTACGACGAGAAGACTACTGGCATGCCCAAAACATGAGTCGGGCTATCTCGGAGGAGACCCGTCTCTCTCTCGTCAGTGCCACGCGTGCGCGCGCCTTCCCCCCCCTCACCTCCTTGTCTTCCTTGTGGCACTTGAGGGAGGAGACACCCTCGTCAGAGTCTTGGCTGGGGCAGGCAATGCGCCGGAGGCGTGCGGGCGGCGGTGGCGGTGGCTCCTTGAACACGGATCGCTCGCCCTGCTCGGTCTCGCCGCTGGGCGCCGTTCCCTCCTGCTCGGCGTTGCCCTGAGCAGCTGTCACCTCCTGGAGCGGCCGCACAGCCGGTGGGGTTAGCCGACAGCTCCACGCAGCCACTGCCCCACAGATGTAGGTGCTGCGGCTTCTCTCATGCGTCCATTTCACACTTATTATGGCACCATCATCATTCGTCACGATCTATCCGATGCCGGATGGAGAACTCGCCAAGACGTTTGCGCCTCCGATGGCCTTGCGATGGAAAAAATTAGTTACTGCAATAAAGCCAATTTCATCGCTCCATATCCGTGATAGGGTGCATGTTCACTCCTTTGGCTGCTATGGCACCACCAGCAATTAAATGTGCCTATGCCAATCTGTATGCAAATATATACTTCATAACTCTTTTCGGTGAAAAGACATTGTGTCCACATGGTAACACCAGGTTTTGGAGAATTTAACAAAATTACCCACTCACAGTGAGCTTTCCTTCAATTTCGACCGGGAATACAATTGCTTGTACTAGCTTGTGAAGAACATACCCTGTAGGCCAAATTGGCCATAATAAATATTAAACACACAGATGCGATAGGTCACTGGATGTGCAAATAACATTGGCTTTAGGTGTGAATATACGCTACATTTGCAATATCAGAGTACGAAGAAACACTTGTCAAGTGAACATTGCTACCCAACACCATCCACGACAAAAAGAAAATATCGATGAAATTGACAATTGAAGAAGATGCGATGCATTTCAGAAATCATGGGCGAGTGGGATAATGACCGCTGGGTGCTGCTTCTCCTCCCCCCTTCGCGTGCTGCCCTCTGGGGAGGCGGCGTCCGCGCGTCTCTCCCCGTCCTTGCCAGGCCGAGCATCGCCCTCCCGCCGGCTCTCAAGCTCGCCAAGGACTTTCCGCTCCCCCCTCTCGTGCTCCTTCTCGCGCTCCCTCTCTCGTTCGCGCCCCACGGAAGCCTTCGGGCATGAGACAAGACGGCGAAAATGAGTCCCGGCGACGCCACAACCCCCGACGCGCACGCTGCCGTTATCGAGTGTGCGGGGGCTTGCGGACCCGAACGTTGCGTTGCCGCACGAGAGACACTCACGGGGGCGCTGGACGCGCGGTCGAGCCGAGGCGCTTTCATTTCCTCCTCGGGATGGTTCCAGTGCCGTGCGTTATACACCGCCTTCCCAAGCGGCTGCACCATCGCGCGAGCACAACAACACGACAAGGGGGTGCTCAATGTATCGCACGAGCAATATGCACCCATGAAGGTGTGGGTGTGTACACCGTAGTATCTTCATCGAGGATATATATACGATGTGTAATTTCACAGTATTCTCCGACTCTGAGGCTGAGAATTACTCGGAGGCATGAGGAATTGCAGACAAGCAGGAAAAGCAGCCAGGCAATGAGCCAATGCCAAGGGGAGAAAATACAAACTACACGCAGAAAAGCATCCAAAGCAAGAATTGAACCCAGGCCCTTCTTGCCGTGAGGCTGTGTTGTGTGTAGTCAGTTTAAAGGAAGATGGAAGCCAAATAAGAGCATAACTTGAATGTAATTTTTCTCTCATCAACATAGGTTCACATTTGTGTCGAACAGCTTGGTGACACAAACGAGGTACAACAATACAAGTGGTGTGTGTGTGTTTTGGTTTGTTTCTTCCTCTAGAGGCCTCACCTTCTTGGGGCTGTGAAAGATGAGTTTTTTGCCGTCCTCATTCTTCCTCTCGGCGTTGTGTTTGGCAATGCTGCCGCTCCGGGAGCATGCGGACCAGGCACCCTCCTCGCTGCCCGATTCCAGAATGTCTACACCCGCAGCATAAACAATACAATCAGCTCTCTAAATCACTATTGTTTGGCGGGGAACCCTTCAACCCATTCTGCTAAAAAGCAGTTGCAAATGCAAGCTACTTCAACTGCAGCATACGTCTTGTGCCAATATCAAAATTCTGGAAATGCTGGCATTATTTTTGGGCGTAAGCCACACATGACCGGATTACAGCCTTTACTTAAAACCACCCATGACGTAGATTAACAGCCTTGCCTGGTATAAAACGCACCGCACACCACTCGTCCCACTACAAAGCAGCACATGCTGCAAAGACACGAACCGGTGTCTCTGGAGGTCGTGCTCTCCTGTGAGCTCTGTAGCGAGTCCTGCGACGTAGCCACAGTGCTCGACGCCTCCCCGGTTGCATCGGTGCTGCTGCACCACCAGTCCCCTGCACCTCCCCTCGCCTTCACCTGAGGACGGCAGTGGGTGCTCAATGTGTGCAAACCACGATATCATTACAGCATCGCCTGCGTCAGCTCGTCAGTCCGAGCATATGAGTCATTTTCATCAGTGTTGAATAATGGATCATTATGACCGGAGGGACCCAGGGACTTATGGTACTTAAGATGAGCTCTGCACACTCTATGATATTTGACAAAAAGCCATAACTGACATTTTGTCCAAACTTAGCTCAGAGACGCATTGCTGCTGTTCTGGCTTTACCTGGGAATCGTTGGCGATGGCCCCGGGCCTTTCTGAACCCTAGTTGCCGATCCCCCTGTACTTTGCCACGTTGGCTCAGGGCTGTGCCGCAACGTTGCTCTCTTTCTCTCTCCCCTCTCATGAGTGTCTCTGCCATCGGCCCCTCCCCACATCTTTCCATTTCATCTTCTTCCTTAATGATTCTTCCCTAACGTATGTAAATCATCTTGAGATGCTGCTGCTTTTAATCGAAATGTAAAGTTAAATTGTTGCTCCTATTTCTAAGATTTTTTGTAAATTTAATTTACTAACTTGGCAATACAGACAATACAATGCATGTCGTAGTTTTTGTCAAAATGGCCATTGCTTAACGATTACATTTGATGCAGTTTTCTAACTGATTATGATGGGTTGGTACAGGCTTGCTCTACAAGCTAAAGATATCTACGATTATATTTTACGGCCAGTTTTTGCTCATGCTTCAGCCCAGTTTCTCTCCTATGTTTCCAATTATAAGTATAACGTACAATAATTTTACCTTACCATCTTTCTTCCTAACATTGCCTTATAATAGAAAAAATACATTTCGCAATGGCCCTGCTTCGGAGTAGAAAATATGCAGTAAGTTTTTTAGAATACATGGGTCACACTGCCCAAACCATTAGCCATTTAATATACCTCTGTATACAAAAACTCGTGTTTTTAATGAGGCAATTTTGTAATTAGTCACTTAATAAATCCCTTAATCTTTTACCTAAAATTACATTGGTATCAGAAATTTCACATAATGGCCTTCCACCAAAACTGAGAATACATCTGACCATGTGGCCATTAATACAACCAAAAATTACCTGTACATAATACAAACTGCGGATCTCAGTGGTCATGCCCTTTGCGCTTTGGCACCTCACTAAAATTAAAACCAGCGTCCAACAAAAAAAGACGAAGCCATGGATTAATTTAAAGGAGCAGAGCGGGACCATGTACCTCCACTGCGGGGATGTCCTCCCCCTCCTCCTCCACCATCTCGTCGAAGCCAAAGTACTTGATCTTGTAGGCGGCGCAAGGGGCAGCCCCCTCACTGGAGCCCCCCTCTTCTCCGTCGGAGTCGTCCTCGAAGCCGAACATCTCCAGTTTTGCCTGCCGCTTGCTGCTGCTGCCACCACGGCCCGAGGGCCGGCGGGCGCCCCCAGCGGCGGCGCAGCCCCCCCGCACCGATGCGGGACCCCCGGCGCCGGACCCAGCCGCACCAGCGCTCGCCTTGCGTACGGCCAGGGCTGAGTCGACAGCCACCACCGGCGGAGCTGCGCGGCACACAGGGGCACGGCGTACGCGTGACGTGAAATATGTCGCTGGCATAATGTGGTTGGCTTGAGCCCTCGTGCAAAGAATTCAATTAAATGGGGCCCTTCTCTGCGTAATAAAACGACACATGGGCCCCCTCCAACCTGTGAGCCCTGGTGCAGTTGCACTGCCTGCACACTCGATAATTATGCCACTACATGCCATGAAAGTTCAGTAATTTGTCAAATTCCACCATTTTGTAATTGTCAAAATAACAAATGTTAGCTACTTGTGATAAGCTGTGAGAATTACAACATTAAAATCCGAGAACTAGAAATTTGGTTTTAAAATATTTTTCCCATCTAGGTCAGTGTAAACCAAGGTCACATAAGTTGTTTATCACAACTGGCCAAAATTATTTTTCATGGAATCATCATCCATGATCATTCAACTGCTGAATGAAGGAATCCGCTGCCTTTTCGTCATTGGGGTTGTTTGACCATACTTCACCATGCTGGTCAGTGCGGGTTGGTGATGCGCGGGACCCAGGATCGGTTCAGACATGACTCGCCCACAGATGCTAGATGTGGCTCGGAATCGTGGGATGTTGTACAAAAATACAAAACAAGACCTGGGGCCATCGTACACCTTGCAACAACACCATGCCAAACGCGCCGCACTGCCTCACCCGTGGCGGTGGACGGCTTAGGGGGCTCTCCCACCTCCTGCAGAGTGACGCCGGTTGGCGAAAAGAACGAATTGGGCAGCGTGATCGGGTCCCGGCTCGCGCACGCCTTCGGAAACGCCACCTCCACCTGGGGGTTCCACGTCAAATCTTTCTGCGACTGCGGTGGGAGCTTTGAGTCTCCGAGCAGGCCATCCACCGGGGAGTCCGATTTGCGGCCCGGACGGCTGTATGTGCGGCAACTGCTGGCACGGAACGAGAGATCCTCATCTGGCTCGACAGCAGTTTCGGCCGCCTTTGGAGGCGCGCTCGATGCTGCAGGCGCTTTCTCCGTGTCGGCGTTTGCACCTTGCGCAAAGTTGTCAGGCTTTGGCTTTCGTTTACCAGCCGTGGACCCTTTGTCATTTGAACCTTTAGTTCCCTTAGTCACAGTTTTCACCAGTTCCCCTGCATGGGGCTTCTTGGATAGCTTTTCAGGAGGTTCTTTCAAATTAGTTTGGCTCGTGTTGGAACTCTCTTTTCCCCTTTTGGCAGTTCCTTTGCTTTCACTGCTCAGGTTCGTTTCTGCTTCACCATCAGCGAGATTCTGTTCTGCTTCCAACTTTGAAACTTTACATCTTGTGCTGTTTGTAGCATTGTGTTCCGGAACGTTAGTGGATTTCACAGCGACACTGACGTGATTGCACGAACTGTCCTTTTCTTGCCGAGCTGCATCGAATTGATTTTTGGTATGATCTAATGTCTTCGACGGTCGTTCGTGAGAGATGGCAGGTGGCTTCTGCTCTGTGACAGTCTGAGAGTCCGGCTCCAATGCTAATTCATCTGTCATCTCCACATCATCGACTGGCCTATCTTTCTCTATTGGGCTTTCATCCTTTTTTGCATCCACAGTAATGCCCTTTCCTGCATGCCACAGCTTTCCCTTGCCTGTGGACAAAAACAGTTACGGAGGAAAACATTACAAGCATATAAACAAAAGAACAATTTGACATCATGAAATTTAAACAATTATTATACATCAGCAACATATTTAAAAGCACACCAACCTGACAGGGCTTTCGGATACTTATCAGTCCACGACAAGAGGCCGTTCTGATTCTCATTCTCCTCATCACTATCAAAAATGTCTTTCATGCAGGAGAATCGTGAGTTCTTTCTCGCCCCCGGGTTGTCCCCGGCGCCCTGGGTACCCCCGTTGCTTGGCTCCGCGGCTTTGGGCTGAGGCTTGAGCCGCGCCTCTCCGCTCGGTTTCGCCGCCTGCACGCCGCCCCCAGCGCCACCGCGCTCTGCCTTGCTGCCACACGGCGCTGCCGCCGCCTTCGCCGCATGGACACCGGCTCCTCGACCTCGCCCCGGAACCTTCGCCTCGTGTTTCTGCTCCGCTTTGCCGCGGCCCGATGCGGTGGGGGTTGCCGCCGCCGCGGCGGCAGAGGCGGCGGCTCCGCCAGTGGCGGCGGGCTGCCCTCCGCCTCTGCCACGCCGGGACTTGGGGCGGCACGCGGCCTCCGCTACGGACGCCTCGCACGAGTCGCTGTCGCCCGAGTCGAGGCGGCGACGCTTCGCCGGCACGGCGGTGGCGAGGGCGGTGGCCGCTGACGGAGTGGAGGTCTCGTCGTCCGTGAAGGCGTCGAGCGCACGCTCCCGCCAGCCGCCGGCCTCCGGCGATGTCTTGGACCCCAGGAGCTCGTCGAAACGTGATGGGGCGCCGGGGCTCTGCTGCTTGCGACTGTAGGTGCGTCCATACCGCGACGCCATCGTGCACACCAAACGACTCCTGCGTGCACCAGACGCCACCGGCAAAACCACACGAGAATTAATATCACAATATACTCCGGGAAACAGGACACTGTTCTTGATGTACCTTACAGCCCTTGTCAAATAAATGCTAGATAAGGGTTTCCCCATGCTGTACTGGTACTAGTAAAAATTATTGATCTATACCTCACCATGCTCATCAGTGTGGGTTGGTAAATGGGAGCCCACAACCGTTTTAGACATCACTACTGATGTTAGCCGCAAATTAATATAAAACTCAGTCGCCGAAAGCAATGTGCAGTGTGTGCTAACCACTGCACACAAAACATCTTCATCTTAAAAAAGGTGATGACTTCCTAGACCAAATCTGAAAGAAAAACAAGCCCTCTGCACACGTGTGTATGACAATGCATGTGCTAACTGCAGGACAGACACTTGGCATGATGCTACACATACCCGTGGGAGGGCCCCCAAGTCCGCAACATTTGGTCGTTTTAAATTTTAAACACCAATGGCTGCATTGACATTCGAACCAAACATGTACGACCTGACCTAACACAGCTGTAATCCGCTTCGCTTGATCTCCTTGTGAACACAACAAATCAATCCTATGTTAGATACCAGGAAAAGCCTATCCGAGCGATTTTTTTTTTCCTGGATGGATCTTGCTGTGGGATGTTTTGCCAAATCTTATTCTGTGTATATTTCTGTTGTACGAGTAAAACAGCTCCGAGCGATCTCTCGCATATGTTTGAAGCACAGAATCCGCTGCACGGACTGGCGTAAGCCTACTTGCTATATAAATACATCCTGCTATTAGTACCACCTCGTTTCAACCCAAGTCCATGTCCCATTCACGTACATGAAAAGTGTAGATATACGTAATCCTGCAAGCTGGCTGCGACTTTAAACCTTTTCTCGTTCCCAAAGCTTAAAACTTTTGTTTGCAATCTCAAACCACAAATCTTAAGTTTAAAAAAAAAATATTTCCTCAGTCAAAACGTACTACACCACCGCTTGCAGCCAAACCTTGGTGGTTACGAACAGAGTATGTTGCGTCCCCTCCCGTCATCTGCAAGCGCAGACGAATTTCGCTCATCTATAAATGATATAAAATCCCAGCGATGGGGGCACACAGCGTCAGATTGCACATATGACATCACCTTGAACGACCCCATCAAAAATCAACGCAGTCACTCACCCAACCCCGTACATGTCAAAAGCATTCAACGCGGCGACGTCAGTAAGGCGAGCCACGGGCTAAGTGTGACCGCGACTTGATGAGTCCTGCTGCTGCCACAGCTTTCTACTTCTCGACATTTACCGGAGGACTCCCCCCCCCCACACACACACCACACTGCCTCTTCCTCAGTTTCGCCCTCCACACGGCCGTGTGGCCACGGGGGAGTTGGTGGAAACTGTTCTCCCCCCCCCCCCGTCGTCTCAAGCGCCGCAACGGGGCCCGGGCTCTTTAAAATTAAACCGAAACCCAGCGATTACAAACATCGTACGCCGTACAGACAGACACACACACACATACATATTGCGATATATTCATGTTACTTTGCACTGCGATACGAGCGGATTTGCGATGCGTTTAACATTAACAGCTACAATGACAGCAGCATTTTTTTTCTGAAACTGCAATTACAATGTAATTTTAATCAATTACGTACGACACAATGTGTAACTGTACTCGACCGCCACTGGGTCTTGGGAGTCCTTACTTCGCAAAGGTTTCACCTTTAGCGACCCACTCAAAAGCGACGCGTCGCGAACCGTACAATTCAACACATGAACGAGGAGACGGCCACACGACCGCAACTTTTAAGTATTTCTCTCCACCCCCCCCACCACCACCACCACCCTCCGCCGTTTGGCCTCGTGGCTACGGGACCCGGCCAAACCGTCTCGGCAACGCACGGGGCTCTCTCCCCTGAAGACACCGATGGGGGCTCCCCGGCCCCCCTCATCTCGCGGTGCTCCGCTGGGGGCCTCCCCCCCCCCCCAATGCCACCCCCATAGGAATGAATGGGGGCCGCGCTGACAGCGCGCCTCGACTCGACGCGCGCTTTAGGCCGCGGCCGCCGCCAACCGCTGACACGACTACTACTCACAATAATAAACCCTCAAGTTCCGCTCACTTGTTAAGGACGCTGCGCGCCCATCAAGGCTTCGCTCCCGCGGGGGGAACGCGACGAGAGCTGGCGAGAAAGAGAGAAGGGGCGAGAAGGCGCTGGCCAAAGCGGGCAGTTGTTGTTTTCACGACGACAAAACTGAGCGACGCCAACTCGAGGCGGCCGCTCCAAGAAAAAGTAAGGGGCTCGGCGAGGGGCGGGGACACGGGGTGTATTGGGCGGGGCCACGCGGGGCTGGGGCGGAGTTACGGCGGGGTGGAGGGGCGGGGCCACGAGGTGGGGGCGGGGCCACGAGGTGGGGGCGGGGAGACAGAGACGGGGCGGGGCTACGGGGGGTCCGGGGCGGGGTTACGCGGGTGGAGGGCGGGGCCACGTGGTGGGGGCGGAGACACGGGGGCGGAGCGGGGCCACGGGGGAACGGGGCGGGGTCACAAGGTATGAGGCGGGGCTTATCGGAAGAGAGGCGGAGCTTAGCGCGATGGAGGGAGGGGCCGTTGGCGAAAAGGGGCGAAATCTAGAGTTGAGGAGGCGGGACCGGGGACGAGAGGGCGGGGCTAATAGCGATAGGGGCGTGGCTCGCCCACAAGAGGTCAAGACCATGGGGGCGGGGTGTGGGGGGGGCCAAGAGCAGAAAGGAAGTAGAAATACGTCACGTGAGGGGTGCGTAACCAATCGCATCCCGCGTCTCGCGTGATCGGATCCCGCGCGTGTCGCAATTTGTCGGATGAAAAAGCACGTGGAGTACAAGTGGACCAATCGCGAGGCGCCTTGCTGGGGGGTTGGTTGAGTCGTGCGCGAGGGCCGCGCTGCCATTGGATGCGCGCGACGCGGGCGCGTGGTTGGTTGTCCTAAGAATAAATTACTAGGGACGTAAAATTTGTTTTAATGCGAATTTAGCGTTAATAAAACAATAGCTGCGTGTAATTCACGCAGTGAGGAAAACTGTTAAGATTTCTGATATATATTCTTGGTTCTTTCGGTAAAGTCACGTAGAAGGGAAAAAAATAAAATAATAAAAATATAAAACTGTAAATATTTTTATAAAACAATAAATATTTTTATTATTTTATTTTTTCCCTTCTACGTGACTTTACCGAAAGAACCAATAATATGAATCCCTGCAGTCACCAAAGCTTTAAATCAAAATTTCTGATATAATAAAATATCTCGCAGCCACTTTCCGTTGCTAGGAGACCCGACGACGAATGAGCGCGCGCCTCACTGCGGTGACGTCACGCCACAACGTCATTCGTTAACTTTTCGCGGGAAATTAATATTATTATTGTTACTAACGTTGCTTCAATCTCCATCATCGCAATTACGATTACATTTTAAACAAATCGCCTTCGGTAATCCCCCGATAATTTTAGGCGGCGCAGTTGATATAAGAGGCAACGGAAGTCGGCGTTGTTGGGTTTGTGCCAGAAATCGCGAGACATTTAAACAAACATAACGGGGTCGCGCCTCTCTTTAGAGGAGGCCGCGAGTTGTTGATTCGGCGCGGCGATGAGCGCCTTCAACCTGCAAAGGTTTCGTTTCGAGGGACGGAGCCCCCCTCAGCCGAGGCCCCGCGTTCCCGCGGACTCTGCCGGCACTACGACGCCGCGCCGAGAGGCCGGTACGGTCGGAAACGGTGACGCCGTCGGTCAACGAACGAGGAGGGGCCACAGTCGCCGTGGTTTATTCATCACTCGCCGCGTGCAAGTCATTCCATCATCACGAGGAGCTTAGCAACAGTGTCATCAACCATCGGGGGTAGCAAGCGGTAGCAGCAGGCGTCCTTTGTCCGCTCCAGGATGAAGGATTAACTAGACGGACCGCCGTTCTGTCGGGGATTTTGCTCGCGTTCAAAAACGAGGACAACTTGTTAAGCGTCGATTCGAGAACGCACCGTCGTTTGTTACCCCCGTCGAGAAGAGTCCATTGGGCGCTGGGCGGAGACGCGGCGTTCTGTTATGGGGTTTGATAGCCGGTTTAGTCGAACCTAGCGGAGGAGTTGGCTGCCGAAGGAGGAGGAAGGGACATCCCATCGGTTTCGCGCGTACGGCGCTGGATGGATAAGTGAGATGGCGGAGGCTTGGGAGATGATTGCCTTCATCCAGCAGCAGTGGATTCGATCACGTATACTGTACTACTGACACGTAGACATCCACATCGTTTATATGGTTTTTATGTGCACGTGTATATAAAAAAATAATACGAGTACAGTGGTCGTCGCTCCATCTCCGTGGCGCTGTTGCGCAACCCCCTTTTGGGAGGCTCCTTTTGCGCTGCTGTTCCTTTACCAGTTTCGTCTAATCGGCCGTCATGCTCTCAACCCATGGTTTGTCGTTTGTGTTAAGTTTAATGTGATATGCTCGATTGACGTGTTATCGTCCATGTGCTGCTGTCGTGATTGTATTTGTGTTGAATAACACTCGATAACTCACTACTCTAAAATTGTAACAACTCGTGAAGCAATCTTTTATTAGCTATGCTACAAGTGAAGCACATCTCGACAGTTGAATAAGACACTTGAATTGGTTAAACCATTTTGTTCTCTCTTTAGAAGCAGTACAACATAGCCTGAGCGATTAAGTCTGCTGTCATTGCGGTATCTTGAGGGATGGCGGCTTGCAGAGGCCTCCATCCGGTACAATAGGGAATCGATCATGCCCGATGGTGGTGGTAAGTAAAGGAAAAGCAATCACTGCATGTCATTGATGCAATTGGCGTCTGGTTAGAGTCCCATAAGGTCCGTCAACTCAGCCACACGACTTAACATCCCTTGCCCCTCTCTCCTCTCTCTATGCCATGAAGCCGAGGGCCCATTGCTGGAATTGCCCTGTCATAAGTTTGTGTTGTGTAAGGTTGTGCGTCCATATAAGCCACGACGACAGCGTTGCTTTTGGACGTTGCTTTTAAAGCGCCGCCGACGTGGCCAACAGTTCGGATTTACAAGGCGTGTAAATGCAGCCACATCTCAAGACGATGTGCAGTAACGTGGTCATATTCATGTGTGGGAGAGGCAGTCGGGTTCATAGGCGGCTGAAGTAAAACAAACAGGAAGGTCTTGAGCTTTGACATGGGCAGAAAATTGACAGTACCTTTGGCGATGTTCGGCTGAATCAAGGTCGGCTGGTACCTTCGACATAAATTGATGTTTCGAATGGAGTGTGCGTGTCGGAGAATGTGGGAGGATAGTTGGGGCAGGAGTGAGTACCCGTAGAGTGCCTTTAAAACGGTGAGTGCGATCTTGAAATTGGTCCGGAATTAGATTGGGGAGCCTGGAGGTGAAGGGTATATCCAGTATTCGGGTGGTGTTTTAGCTGTACAGGGAAGTGATATTCATGCTATTACATAGTGCGTGGGTGTATTGTGCTGCGTTGCTTTTAAACCACCGTTCTGCCCTTGCCAATGCCAATCGTTTCCTGGGCCGGTGGTTCTCAGAATCACCATTTCCCCCCCAAAAAACAACTTGGGATGATTGGGCAGAGTTGTGCTAACTTTCTTGCCACCCTTAATGTATTGAGTAAATGTATTATTCTTGATGTGCGTATTACATCCAGTACAGAGACACGTGTGACATCAAGTTGCCGTGTCCCTGTTGTGTTATGTAAACCTATACAGGAGTAGGCAGAAAAGCCCAATTTGGTTGACAACGGAATAAAATACTGTTCTGTCATAGTTAACTTCATCACATCGTGGGGCTTCTGAACCAATTGTGTATGTTGTATAATTATGCTTAATTCGATGCAATATTTACTTTCATACTATTTCGTACATTTCAAGCACTTGCTTTGAGTTTAAAGAGACTGTGCTTGAAGTTGTATAATGTATCACATCTTTATGTATGCATTTGTGTTTGTAGTTTTCTTGATTGATCTATATGAGAAGCCATTGAGATACAAAGTGAAAGTGATATGCAGGAGTAACTACGGTCAATAAGTGACAACAGAATAAACCCCAAAAAAACATTTAATTGCAGAGTAGCATAGCCTGAAGTTGCGAGTTATGACTTAAGAACTTGATTAGAGTGTGGCCTTCCAGCTTGAAGAGGTTGGTGGGATTGAATGGGATCGAGGGAGCTTGAGGTATGGAAATGCCTTTGGGCGGAGATAATTTGAGAGGGAGAGGTAGCATAACATCCTGAAACTAAAAGAAATAATGGAAATTAGTTGAACGGTGGAGATTTCAAATATTGCTGTGAGAGGTAAAAACAATAAACCAAAATGTGAATATTTCTTGAATTATATGTTTGTTCCTCGCAGTGATCAGCATACCCGAGACACCAGAGTCAGAGCGAAAAGGCTGGAAACCTCCAACCTTAAAGAGCCCTCTGAAGGCGTTACATTCGAACTCCAACGGTGAGAAGAACAATCAGAGACCCCTGGCATCCCAGCTCTGCACGCCCAAAAATAAAGGCCAACACCACTCGGCCAAGGGTGTACATTACTCCGACTCTGACAGCGATGGAAAAGACGATGCCCCGGACACCACTGCCAAAGCGAATTGCACGTCTTCCAAGCCCAACAGCGTGCGGTACAAGCTGCTAAAGATGAGGGAGATGTTCCCTCAACGCACCGACGACGAGTTGCTCGAGGTGGGTATGGTGGCGTGGAAATGGGAACTTTTATTTCTTAACGAAAAAAATTTTCCCCTCCAATTTTTTCAAATAAGTTATTATTTGGCGATATCTTCTGGGGCCTATTTTCAAGTAAATTGTATTTATAATTAGTCTGGTACCTTTCTAGCTAGAGCTGCCATGGAAATGCACTACTAGCTGTGATAATTGTGTGATGAATTTATGCTGATAGCATAATTGGATAAACAAAACAAGTTTCTCGGAATGGATAAGGTTGGTCAAGTTTCTCTCACTGCCAATGGGCTTTTAAATCTTGAACGCAATTGCCTGAAATTGTGATATTAGATGTCCACAACTTGATCACCATTGTCAGCCGGTTACGCCTAGCTGGAGCGTAGTAGCCCCAACGAGACACTACCAGGTGACCATATCCTGAGCACGAGGCCACGCTGAGCACAGCCCAAGAGATCGTGATGTTTGACGTACACCTCAACACTGCGCGTCCACGTCAACCGTGGGCGACTTGATCCTCCCCATTTATTTCCAAATTTCTGTCATCCATTTCAAGCACTTGCTTTGAGTTTAAAGGGAATGTGCTTGAAGTTGTGTAATGTATGACATCTGTATGTATGCATTTGTGTTTGTAGTTTTCTTGATCTAAATGAGAAGCCAGTGAAAGTGTTATGCAGGAGTAACTAACGTGGTCGGAAAAAGCATTTTTGTTTAAGTGTTGCGGTGCATCATGGTTCAATGCTTCCTCATGCTTCGCAGGTGATCAAGGTTACAACTACACTGGACGGAGCCGTGGCATCTGCCCTCCTTATTTTCCCCCCGGATACCGACTCAAACCGCAAGCGTAAACCCATCTCACAGGAGTCTACCTCAATGGACAGCCACACAAAGTTTTCACAGCCCTCCAGCAAGCGGATGAAGGTATCGCTTCTGCTTAAACCATTTTACACAGCCACGCATTGCATGGTTTTGGTTATGGTTTTGAATTTTGTGGACAAGCTTTCAAAATAACCTTGGGGGTCTTTGCTTAATCGCATACATGTGATGCTCCTTTAGTTATTTTTACATTACAATAGTGAATAATATTACTGAATTGTTGCACCTTGTGCACAAAACTTGGTTTGTGCTTTCTTCTCTGTGATATGCCCTTTGTAAAATGCAGAAGCATGATGATTCAGACTCGGGCAGAAATGGTGCACAGTCCTTGAAGGACCGGAACCGGATGGTTAGTAGGTTGCAAGCCAAGTTCCCTGACCTGGACAAAGAGGTCAGTTATACTAGATTGGCTTACTTCATCGCATGGCAGCACTCACTCACTGCTACACAGTGTTGAAACAAAGCTTCATGTGAATTGTGTTTTTGTGTCGGTGTTGTCAGGAGCTGCGGGAGGTGCTCAGCCAACATGGCTGGTCATATGAAAATGCCCTAATTTCTATTCAAGCGTTTGCTGGTGATGGGGAATCTGGTAATTGGCTTCACCCTGCTTTTATTTATACATTGGGCAAAAGCTCCGAACGAATCTATTATTGCAAGTGAATATGCTGCATCTGACGTGGTCGGAAAAAGCATTTACGAAGTGGCTGTTACATTATTTACTTTCTACAGACTCTGACGATGAAGACATAGTGGAGAGGGAGATGAGAGTTGAGAAGAAAGAAGAGAAGTTTGAAGAGCCAGCAGTTGTCCATAAAGTGAAGCCCAATAGCGTAATGGCAGAGCGTGCTCGGCAGAAGCTGGCCATGTTTTCACACAAGCCTGTGTCCTCTGCCTCCTCCAAAAAGTTCCTGTCGGGGCCAATCGTAAGGAATGTTTACGTTATTTTTTAAAATATTTTTTCATTTTGAGTCATCAGTCAACTTTTCGTGTTTCATGGTGTCCGTATCTCCCTTCGTTGCGTTTCTCTATGCAGCTACAGAACGGCACTGCCAAGAACGGCAGCCCTAGTAGAGGGGCAGCACCGGTCAAGGCCAATTCCAAGTCGGTCAAGGGAGGCATCCGGGCCAAGCAGCCCATCAAGGAGGCTTGCAAACCCAAAGCAAAGCCCAGCTCCATTCGTAAAATGTCTTCCTCCGTGAGTTAACGCTTACACTCTTCCCTCGAGCAAAGTGGTGTTGATTTTACCATCTCCTTGCCCCCCGTATGCTGTAGACACCTGTGGACCTGGGCAGTTGCTTTAGATATCACGGGATTGACGTTAAGCCTTGGTCGATATCGATGCATTCCTTAAATGAACCTTATGGCGGTACCCCGGTGCACCATAGTACCACGACTCTCGCATAATGTCTGTGATACAGTCATTTTTAGTCTGTTGATGGTTGGCGACACGGCAATCGACTCATCTCGACGAGCTGTATACGATGCACTATTCAAAGTTGAATTTTTCGATAACGGATTTTTTTATGCTATTGTTTGGCGTTTCGACATCGCGGAGTAGCACTCATTTCGGATTGATTGGTACCCCAGTCGCGGAGTTAAGCACACCCCTGGAAAAAATAGTGTCCCTGAAATAAAATATTTAATTGCCTCGGCCATTGTGGATTATTTGGTACTCCAGGGTACGGCGATAAGGATCAAATTTTGAATGTAAGAATATCCTTGTTTTATACTTCGGCTAATGGATTGAACAGAGCTATGCTAATAAGTCAAAAATGTAAACAATACAAATTAGATTAAAAATATATTCTTAAGTTGAATCGGAACCCAGAGTGATGAAATCACTGAGGGGGGAGAGTGGGTTGATTAGTTGCATGCATTATGATCAGTTATTTGATATTAATATTTCTCTTGCCTAAAATTTATCTTCTGAAGTATGTTATCAAATCCTCCTGGGATCTTATGAGTTACTATAATTTCGTAAAATTACGGTAAATACATGCGTACCTCAGGGTGTGGAGTAAACATTGCATATATTGGCCATTTTCGATGAAAAAAATTATAAAAAGCCTGTTCTTGAAAAACTATGTATTATTTTAATGAAAATAAGATGTAAAAATTGCTGGAAATGCTTTATACAATGTGATTTTTAATTCTGCTGGCAGTGTACATGCTAGTACAGTCTTTCGTGCCTTGACTACGAAGCTATTCTGGGCTTCACTTAGGATGATTCAGTCTCTTAAATCACTCTATCGGCAGTTTTGAACATAAGCACTTGGGAAACAAAGTTGGCCAGGTGTGGTGCTAACCACACATACCCCTCCTATTGATTTGGCCTCAATAGGTGCTCAATAACAGCACATGTCCAGGCAGTCTTTTGTTTTCCATATGAAGGATCTTTGTTTTTTTTTACGTGTACGACAACCCAGTCCGCATCGGAGGATGATGACGAAAAGCCAATGACTACGGAGAGCGACACAGACTGCGACGACGTGGGTGATGAGGATGCGGTTACCGATAACGACGACTGTGGTCTCAGCGTTGAGAAGAGGGCAAAGGTGCTGGCATTCTTCTGCGATGCGACCATTGAGGAGTTGACACTTGTGCACGGCTGCTCCAACAAGAAAGCGGACCTCATTGTGGAGCTGCGGCCCTTCACGAGCTGGGATGACCTGGTACGGCCAGTGGCATGCGCGAGTGTTTTTATTTGCTCTTTTGATCACCCTTGCACGTTAAGCGGCGATGAGAAAAAGTGTTTGTCTGCCAAAAACGCTTTTGAACCAGTGCTTTGGAGGCAAGGGTTGTTGGATTGCTTAGCCCTTGTGAGAATCCCAATCCTTGCAAACTTTTGAGTTGGTCAGAAGGTGGCAGTATAGCAAGTGGGTTTGTTGACCTGTCGTGTGTGCACCTAGGAGAGTGTTCTTCATCTTTGTTTTTTTTCTCCTTGTCCTCTGGTTTTCCTATACATTCATCGATCAATGCACTGCTTGATAAAGGCCTCCCTGCACCTCCGATTAGCAAAGTTGACTACGTACGGTGCGAAAAAAGTTCAACATATATAGTGCCGGAAGGGGGGTTGTTTGACCATATGTCAGCATGTCGGTCAGTGGAGGTTTGTGAAGCAGACGGGAGGGTGGGGGGGTGGCAGGATCATTTCGTATGTCAATTGCCTCAGCTATTAGTCATGGCCAGAAATCGACCTCAGGTAATTAGGTTCACAGCGCAATGAGCTAGCTACTATACCCCATACATAAAATTCCGTAAAATTAAATTAATAAAACTTTATATTTCAGGAGCACCCTAAAAAAAGTCTTGAGATTCAATGATACTTTTCCGCTATATACATTATATTTGTTATTATTGTTAATTAATTTGCCCAAAATATATACTCGTGATATTGACCGTCTGTAGTAACAGATCAGGGATGAGTAACGTGCATCCCTTGGACCCACAACTTTATTTCACATGGCCTGCGGACACACAGGCCCTACCTCTTCGAAACGCCCCGCAAAAAGCATCTTAGCTGCACCAATTGGTTTACTAGAGGGGAATATTTTCGACCTGACAGAATTGTGTATATAATTTTAGTTTTGGTTGGTGCAAGAGGCCCTTGCAGTGACAGAAGTGTGGTGCAGGAATGTGTTCTTTTGTGGTCTACCAAAAGTATTTTTAAAAGTCTTTAATCTGCTGTCCATAATGAAACGGTTCCCAACCCCCTTGTTTTAGATGAGGAAGCTGACAACCAAGAAGGGGCTCTCAGACCTGGTGTGGGAATCGAACACGGTGCTGAAGGAGCGCGAGGTGGTGCTGCGTCTCATGGCAGGGTGCAGCGATGTGGCTGGTGGACTGGAGAGCTGTGTGAACCGCCTTCGCAGGAAGGAGTTGGCCGACGATGACAAGGAGCATCGTATGCTGCGTCAACCCCCCATCCTAAACCCTGCGTGAGTCGCCTTTAGCAGTCGCTCGGGCGCCTGTCGTCGCCTGCTTTAATCAAGATGTATGGCTCACCGTCGTGTAACCTAACAAGGGGTGTAATGATGCCCCCTCCGTTCGTCATTGCCGAAATGATTCATCATTTGAATAATCTTCAGTCATGCATAATTAATGTTATATTCTTGGTTCTTTCGGTAATGTCACATTTCAAATGTTCTTTCCGTTGGTTTTCACACCTGATGATGACTGCTTGTGTTGCAGTCGAAACGTGATAATTTTATTGTTTTATATATATTTTATTATTTTATTGTTTCCCTTCAACGTGACTTTACCGAAAGAACCAAGAATATGAATCACTGCAGTCACGAAAGCTTTAAATCAAAATTGATGTTGTTGACTGGTTAAAATGTCCTGTAAGCAGCTTATTATCTGTAGTGCTGCGGGTGCATTTTATAATGTGTTTAAATTTGATTCCTCAAATTTTTCGCGCACCAGTGCATTCATGTGTGTTTTTGCAAAAAACTAGTGATGCAAAAATGTCCATTTCTATTGTTGACGAATTATCAGGGGCTGAGGATGAATTAAAAGAAGATTTCCTTTTCATTTAAATTGTGGCTTTACTGTTCTTGATTTATTCTCTGATGTTTTCAGATGCAAGATGAAGTCCTACCAGCTGGTTGGGTTAAACTGGCTGGCACTTCTTCATAAGCAAGATGTGAATGGAATTTTAGCTGATGAAATGGTAGTATTTTTTTGTATATCTGAAAGCATGTTGGTATTATGCTGTATCTTTCACCCGTGTTATTCTGTCTAGACTTCCTATCTTAGCTTATGTGTACTTTGCTTACATATATACTTTGCAAAGAAATCTGGCTGGTTACAAAAACAATATTGACAAAAACAACTTAAGTTCAATCTCCTTACTACTGTTGGAATGTTTGTGAAATGACTGCAGATGTTGCTGTACCATTTTTAACATGTGCATGGTACCCCTTTGAAAACACCCATAAGCAAATGCCGTCTGCTTTAAAGTGCTTTCAGTATGCGGTCTGTGTGGTTCTCGACAGGGTTTGGGTAAGACAGTGCAAGCGATCTCATTTCTGGCCCATCTGGTAGAGCTGGGCGAGAAAGATCCACATGTCATCGTTGTACCATCATCGACATTGGGTAACTTGCCTTTTTCTTACTTTTTTGAGTTTTTGTTTTGGTTTTTTGCATGTATTGTTAGTCTTTTTTTTCTTCTTGAAGTTGTCTTCGAATTGTGCTTCCCGCGTCATGTTATGAGACACTCCATTCAGATATCTCACAACAGCCTACTGCATGAGCACAGACCACATATTTCACATTTTGGTAGCACCGCAGGTGACATAACTTTAGTGGTTTCAATGTATTTTTGTTGCTAATAACGGTGAATAATGTAAATCATTTCAAATGAGCCTGTTATCAAATAAATAACTTAGATGGTTTGACACGGTCAAACTGATGTATTTTAAGTATTTTAATTCTCAGAGTTGGAATTTATACAAATGAAGTGGGAAAACCAGATTCGGCATAACTTTGTTGTGCATTCACTGGTGACTGGGGCTGAGATGATCAACTCGCTACACTTTAAGAACCCAGGTTAACCACAGGCGGCTAAACCTTCAAACCCAGGAACCTGGCGGTACCTGCCCAGCCACCTGGCCACCTCGAGTAGAAAGTTTGCTTATTGACTCGTATTACTCCCATCATAGGTGAAATGATGTCCCAAATTTGTATTTGCAGCAGTGCTTTTGTGCATTTTACTATGCGATATCTTGCATGATGTTTTGTTGTGTAATGATTTCCATTGCATAAATCTGTCTGCTGTTTGTGGTTATAAATTACACACAGCTCTTGTCTTTATAGTTGTCATCATGGCGACCATTTATTTCACTTGTTTTGAACAGATTCACCAAAAGTGTTTTTACATTAATCTGTTTTACATATGTATGCAATCATGCAATTGTTAGTGTATTGATATAATTCATTTGCTGCTTTGTATGCATTGCTACATGTTGACATAACATCCATCTTCTTACCTGCTCTCGTGGTTTTCATTGACCCTTGCCATTTACGATAGAAATGTCAGCAATAATTATTGTATTGGGCGTATCATTAACACACATGTACATATATTTGAGAAATTTGTATTGTTGAGTGAGAAAAATGTGTTTTTTGTTTTTAGACAACTGGACAAGGGAGCTACAGAAGTGGTGTCCTGACCTGAAGGTGTTGCTTTACTACGGTAAAGACACATTGCAGTCGCAGGGCTGTTTACCATTCTGAAGTGTAATTGAGAATAGAGTCCAATATTGAGAAAGCGGTTGAAACATCACTGCGTATTTGACCTGTAAAATGTAATGGAGGCATCGGCCCATTTTCAGCAATCATCGGACATGAGTGAGATTTCACCAACACGTGACATTTATAGTTATAGGATGAGCATACTGTAACCACAGCCTTGCATTAGGTCGTCGGCAATGTGATATCGGCACGTGTCATTAATCATAATCTTATCATCTTATATATTAAGGCCTCCCAAGTCTTGAGATGGGGAAAATAACGGCTAGTTTTTGCACGCCACCTAAAAAAAAGCTGAAGTTACAGTCAAGGAACTTGTTTTAATGCTCTAGTGACATCACTTTATTTACGTTTTACATTGTTTAGGAGTGATGTTGAAGTCATGTCACGGAGTGCTGGTATCTTTCTCACTCATGAAGCGTCAAACTCATAGTGGATAATGATGGGACCCACAACCTCAGAATATTTCCGTAAAATAAGAGTCATTGCTTTTTTGGGTTATCTTTCATCGGGTGAAGCGATAGCTTAGTGGTTACGCATTGCACTATAAACCCAACGACCTGAGTTTATAAGTAACATCAGGGACGAATGATATCCGAGACGGGCCTCCTTCGCCTTCTCTCCACTTTGCCAACCCACACTGGACAAGCAACTCCCATGTCTGGTATGGCATGGAGAATCTTTGATCCAGCAGTAAATTGGCAAGGGACTGTTTATTATTTTCACTATTTTAGTCCTAGAATGCAGAAATAATTGTGCTGTATTATTTTTGCTCCTTCAGCCGATGAGTGACAAAGTTTAAAAAATAAAAAAACATTTTATTGAATAATCTGTAGGGTCCCAGGAGGAGAGGCGACACCTCCGCACAGATATCCTCCACAAGCAGGTCGACTTCAACGTCATTGTCACCACGTGAGTCGCCACCACGTGACAACAGTGACTGGCTGCCGCCCCAGAAGAACCGCAGTCGTCTCTTTGTTCGTCGTTGTGATAACTTGTTTTGTCGTTTGTACTTTTTGTTTTCGTCCCATGTCTTAATTTGTGTATTCACTGTTGATTTTGCTTGGTAGTAGGGTTTTCATTTGCTTATTATGTGTGTGTGTGTTTTGGGGTTGTTTTAGCGCCTTACGTAGCCAACCGCCTATATGGAATTTGGTTCTTATATATAATTAATGAACAACGTTGTGGGATGCTTTTGGCATGAATGACGTTATGTAAAGTATTATTGTTGTCTCACCGTGGTGGTCATGGCAAGAATTTCATTTGTTTTTTAACCGTTTATCTTCACGTGTTTTCAGAAAAATATACCTATACTTATTGTGTTTTTATCATGCCACAATTAGACTGTTGATGTGAATATTTTTGCTGCTTTGTCTATACTTACGAGTTTAAATAACCTCATTTGAAAGTTCTGCAAGCTGGAAGTAAACGTGCTATAGCGAATTTTGTTTAAATTTTGCCATTTGCTGGGTTTCCAATCTTGTATTTTGGGTCACTGATTAAGTGTCAAGTTGAAATAAATTACATGTGACATTCCATCCAAAGGCAGAAACGTATAATTAGGAGCAAACTTGTAAAAGCAGTGCATAAATAACTGCACGATGCCAGTACCGGAGTGAATTGAATAAAAAAAAATCTTATTGGAGCTCGACGACTCATTTGAAATCCTTATTGCTGCTGATGCGTTCATAATGCAACCTGTTTTGTCGTTTGATACACAGGTACCAGTGTGCCATCACCAATGTGGATGACCGAAGCCTGTTCCGCCGGTTGCGCATAAACTGTGCCGTGTTTGATGAGGGCCACATGCTCAAGAACATGGCCTCTCTGCGCTACCAGAACCTCATGACCATCAACGTGAGTGCAGCACGTGAGAGAATGTCAATGTGTCATTATCTTCTTTCGCTCTCGGTGGCAAAAGCCCTTCATGATTCATAAATTAACCTGTTATTATTTTTGGAAGAAAAAAAGAATCACCTTAAGCGGCAACTCTAAGCCTTTTTTTTATATGGTCACTCTCTATTAAACTTTCTTAAGTAAACTATTAAAAATAATCGTGCGGTTTAAACCCATGTTTGGAAACCTTCCAAGAGGTATGGAAAATACTTGTAAATCCTGACAGCAAAAGCTAATATTTGAACAGTGTCTCACGTCTATGAGTGGAAGAGGTTAACATGTTTCTGAAAAGCATCCCGTGTGGCATAGTAGTTGTGCTTGCCTTACATAGGTGCTGATTTTATCCCGGGTGTCTTAATCCCGAAGCACCTTGTCTGTTGCGGACACGCCTCATTGCCGCTCTTCCCGCAGGCACGAAGGCGACTGTTGCTGACGGGTACTCCGGTGCAGAACAATCTCCTGGAACTCATGTCTCTACTCAACTTCGTGATGCCGCGCATGTTTAGCAACAGCACGCAAGAGATCCGGCGCATATTTGCCTCCTCGTCCACCGTACGAGAACTCTTTAACCCTGGCTTCCCTGCCACATTCGCAACAAGCGCTCGCATTTTTCTTCCGGTTGTGAATGTGTCGTTGTTGTTGCCGGAACACCGCCCGTGCATCCTCGTGTGTGTGCCACAGAAAAATGGCCAACGGCAGAGCAAGTTCGAAAGGGAGAGAATCCATCAGGCGAAGCAGATCATGAAACCGTTCATCCTCCGCCGACTCAAAATAGATGTGCGTACAATTATGGCTGTCAACCACGCGCGCACATTACCGCCGTTATAATTTGCATTTGGTTTTTCATGTTGATGCTCTTGGCTGAAGAAATTTCCATTCTTAATTGGGACAAAGCATGTCATTGTTTTTCCCTTCAACAGATGCCACCATAGTGACCAATACACAGGATTATAATATGATCATACTTTTTGAAAAATTTAATTATTTTACAAAAAATTTCACTAAAATATTTCTTTACTCAGGCATTGCAGGTTCACTTCCATAATACAATATGACAAGTATAAATGATGACATTGCTTGATTTGCCTAACTTCTTGGTTACATTGGTGTTAAAAAACATGTGGCAGAAAAATACAAAATAATCCAAGCTTATGTTAAACTTTGCTAATATTGTTCCTTGACCCTAACCCCATTATGGTGAAGGGCAGAGAGAGGATTGGGCAACACAGGGGTGGAGCCTCTGTTTTATGTTGGCATCCACAGCATGGGGAGTTGGGCTCAGGATCTGGTGCTGTTCCTGGGTCAGAGCTGTGCTGGTACGAGGCCAGTTTCTATTGGTCATGGACATAAGGCGTTATATACATCAAGTCCCCGCTAATCGAGGGGTTACATTCCTGAAAATTGCCGCGTATATCGAATTTGCGTTAAGCGGGAGTCCTTTTCCCATGAGGAGTGTCATGGTAATGGTGGGGGAGCTGTTCCAGCATGTAATGTTTTTATTTGACGGTAAACTGTTTTACATGTTTCTTTTTAAATGTGTTTGTGTGTATATAGTATTTCTATAAATACACCATGTGTGACGGTCATATATTTAAGAGAGAGATATGGCGAGTGAAAAAAATAATAATTAGGGAGCGAGATGACGCTACCCACTCCAAGATGCTGGAACAAAGAGCGAGGAAGAGGAAGGCCCGCCGTGTATCACAGCGAGCATCGCTAGCAGCTACCGGCATCACCGAACAACGCTACCGAACACCCACGCTCCGTCGCGTGCCAGACTCGCGTTGTAGCGGGCGCGGTGCGCGTTAAGCGGAAAAACGTTCCGTGAAAGAAAATCGCAGATTTACTGTGTACACCCCTTTTCCTCTGTCGCAGCTGAGCCCGAGCCAAAATGTTGCGCTCACGTTTCGAGTTGTTTTTTTTCCCACTGGCTATTTGCTATCCTGAGCCGTGGATAAAACCATGATATGCTCGCCTGTCAAGACATCTGAATGTGGCTCGGGGCTAAATAGGGACAGGAGTGGGGCCATTGACTACATTAATTCTGTGTGATGGCATTGAGTACACCGTGAGGACATGGCGTCACCAGCGTGACGCCTACATTCGTCTCGACTTACTGCGTGTGACAGCGGCAGTGGAAAAACAACACCTCCATGAGCCACACCGGGCTGGCTTTGCCACGGCCCCAGTGCAGATCAGGTGTGCGGTGGAAAAGAGGTAACGGCGTCCGACGGTCTTACGCACGCGAGGACAGGTGCTGCAACATCTGCCGAGGAAGTCTGAACGGATGGAGCTGTGCCCGATGTCGGAACGCCAGGCTTCGCTGTACACACAGCTTGTGCAGAGCTTTAAAAAATCCAGTGACGGAGGTGGGCATTCACTTCTTTTCCTGCATGTGCATGCATTGAATGCACATAATGTTTTTGCCCATGTGCATTTTTCGTTCTTGCACAAGGTAATGAATGGAAGTTGTACATTGTTAGCTGTTCCAAATTCGTCACAATTTCATAATTGTGTCAGTAATCAGGAAGCATGGCCTTATTCAAAATGGGCCACATGATGTATCCCGATAGATAGTCCTTGGATGTTGGAGCGGAGATTGTGTGGAGGGAAGTCGACTTAGATGAGAGGTCAGAGGTAGGCAGGGGCAAACCAGGCAGGGTTTTGATTACGGTGAATGCAATCTTGAAGTTCCACAACTGGATTTAGAGCTTGTGAAGGGGTCACAATATTGGGGTGATGTCTCATTTATGGGCATAGGCAAGGAACAGCAGCAGAGTTTTGAATCGTCGGGTGTTTGGAGATGAGGGATTTTAGGAAGAGGTAGCAGAGTGAGAATCCCCTCAAGGTGTGATGAAGGCATGGATGAGGGTCTGAGTGGCAGCGGTGATGTGTCAATTGAGATAGAGAGATGGCTTGTGTGGGAAGAGAACATGAGCTCAGGATAGATGACTATCCAATGTTTTTGCACAATCTTCGCCAGTATAATGTCAGTTTAGGAGGTATACAGTCAAACCCGAAGTCTTTTACGGAGTGACATTTTGTGAATGGTGCAATACTTCAGTTTTGGCAACAATTAGCATGAACACTTTTCCCACTAATCCAAGATGAGACTGTCAAGGCAGTATGTAAAGGGTGGATGGTGATTCTTGGTTCATCGATCCAATGGCGATGTGGAGCCAAGCGTCTTCGGACATAGAAGTGATGCTTGGCATAATTGTTTTTTTTTGCCAAATGATAGATTATTTGGGGGTAGCCATGAATGGAGCCTTGTGGGACACCATAGCTCGGGGTTTATGAGAGGAAGGTAGTCCTTATGAAGAGACTTAGGAGTGATTTGTAAAGTAAGAGGCGGTCCTCAATTATGCAACCAGCCTACAGATGGGATAACGGTCTTCCTTTGCATATGTTTGTCCCTGAGCTAATTTCTTGGCCATGCATAACATCAGTGGCAAGTGGTATCAGAACCTGTTCTGGGCCTCTTCTAGGCTGACTCGGCCTTGTATGAGTACCCGGTTCAAGGTGGAACATCCGAAGCGGGGAAGCAAACGCATTTGAGCACAGTCCACTCCTTAGTGTGCTATTTCATTCTTAATTGGTACTTGCTAACAGCACTTGTCCAAACAAGTGGGTGGGGGTATGTGTGTGTGTGTGTATTTATATATACAGTCATACCTCGGTATACGACCGCTTTGGAATACGTCGAATTTGGTATACATCGTGTTTTGACGAGAAAAACATGTCTTGGGATACGACGTCTTGCTTGGGATACGGCACGCTTGCTAGAACTTGTATGGGTCGGGATGAGTCACCGCGTACCCGCGTAGACCCCGTTCACGACTGAAACAAAGCGCCGCTCCTCAGTCTGCCTGTGGATCTCGTTCAGTGCACAACCCTTGTTATAACTCTCTGTGAATTTTCACGTGCTTTTTGTCATTTTAACGTGAATTTTCAGCAAGGTAAAGTGATGTTCAATTTTATTTTTATTTCAATTAATTTTAATTCATGCATTTATTTTAATGTATGTATGCATTTTAGTAATAAGTAGTGTCTACATTATTGTATACAACCCCATTAATGTATAATATGCCATATAAAATATAATTTCTTATACTCTGGAACGGATTATTTCCTTTCCCTTTATTTCTTATGGGAAAACTTCGTTTGGTATATGTCATTTTCGGTATAAGTCCTACCTTCTGGAACGAATTAACGACGTATAACGAGGTACCACTGTATTTGTAATCCACATACACTATGTATGCACTGTATATATATGGATTAATGTGCTGTGTCTCTGCCTTTCTGCCCATCAGTTAAGACGACAGAGCTATGTAACGTTATGATGCAGCTGAGGAAGATGGCGAATCACCCGCTGATGCACCGTCACCTGTATACAGACGATAAAATCCGGCAGATGTCCCAGCTCATCCTCAAGGTGCTACCTTTAACGTGGGCTACATCTTGTGTAATTGTTTTTTGCGAGCATTGAATGATCGTCACGTTGGCGGAAGTCTAGCTGAGTGTTTCTTGGAGGTTGCAAATGACTTAAAAAAGAAAGGGGCCTGTCATCTAAATAAATATATAGCCATATATATTTATGACCATCGAATATGGAAAGGAGGCGTATTGTCTATTTAATTAGTTTATTTCGTATGAGTTGTGGAGTAGTAGCGGAGTTGTCTTCTGACGTTTAAAATCCAGGTGTTAGAGATAATTTTGAATTATACATCAAACCACATGCTTGGGAAGATGATCACACTCGGGATTTTGTGAATCCTTCAATGAAAGATTATGACAGTCGGAAATACATCTCCCGTGTATGGTTTAAATTGACGTTTTGCATTAATGCTATAATTCACAAATAAGTCCTGCATATTATAGCCACATGGTTGCATTGGTGGTGGTTTTATTGTTTTTTTTGTTTATTGTCCCCCAATTTTATCTCAGCTGTGCTAATGATATCGTATACTGAAATTACAAATTCATTCGGATATCTGGCAGAGCAGTGCAACCGTGCACATTAAAAGAACGTCCTACCGGAGTGGATCTGAAAGAATGACTTACGAGACCCCTTAAGGTGTCCTGTGGTCAGCGCCATAAGGGCGGGGGGAGGGGGGGTTGGGGCACTTTTGTACCTGCCCTGCTTAGCATTGTTGCTCATTTCATGACAAAGTCAAAACGCTGTTTTAAATTCCCAGAGCGGAGATTTTGCTGAATTTAGGCACAGACCCAAATTAAACACGAGTTTTTGTGCAATCGTTGGTGACTCGGATAGTGGCCATCAACCCACTTGAGAACCCGCGTTTAATCGCCAGACGGCTGCATGAATTTGTAACTGGTTTTGTTTTAACTTTTCACAGGAGCCGACCCACTATGATGCAGACCCGGCGCTGGTGCAGGAGGACATGGAGGTTCTCAACGACCTGGAGCTCCACCGTCTGTGCCTCCAGTACCCCTCGCTGGCTTCTCACAGCCTGCCGCGTTCCGCCATACTAAGCTCCGGCAAGCTGCAGTTTCTCTCAACGCTATTGCCGGCCCTCAGGAGCAATGTGAGAGCGCGCACGCGCGTGCTGAGCGCACATCATGCACTCTGCCCCTGGGTCACAGGCTGTCGGTGCTGAAAAGGTGGTGCTGCTGTCTTTGCATCAACCCACTAGGTGCCACAGTGTTTTTGAAAATTGCTCATCGGGTGGGAAAATGCTGTTGTCCCCCTATTATGTACAGAGGCTACTTGACATGTATCTGAGGTAGCTCTGTGGTGTCCGCTTCTGTGGGCCATTCTCTAAACACGAAGGTTTACACTCCTGTGCGAGAGGTCCGTATGGACACTTAGTCTCGTATTGTGACACATACCACAATCGGGATAAAATTGTGGGTGGATAAATGAATGAATATGTACATTTCTCATTCACAACTGTTCTGTGTGGTCTTATCAGCATGCATAAGCCACTCATGTGTTTTGTTTTTTGTCTCGTTTGCTCTTGTGTGGCTAGGGTGATCGCGTGGTGATGTTCAGCCAATTCACCATGATTTTAGACATCCTGGTACAGTTCCTGGATCATCACGGTTACTCTTACTTGCGTATGGATGGCAGCACTCGAGTGGCAGAGCGGTGAGAAAATGACGCTAAACTTTTGAGTTGCTTCGCATGAGTAGTTCCAATTAGGAGTGGAACAAAATAATTGGTTTCTCGTACACAAATTCAATGCTTGTATCTTGAACTTAAGAATAAATATGCATTGCTGAATCAATGCATAATTCCAAACAGAAGTTTACATGTTTTTTTATACTTTACAACTCAATTTGAAACTATTAATGTATCGGTTCTCTCCATCTGTCTGACTAACCAGAGGGATACGATAACTAAAAAATCCCATATGAATTAAACTTATTATTAGATAAAACAGGACATTGACAAATGGTTGACCCTTCTCCCCAACAGAGCGGCTATTTGAGTCCCGTTTACATATTGCTGCCGAGTCACGTACCGCTTCATGTGCACCTGGCACTAGCGCTACCGGCATTTTTGGTAATTGAATGACCGTTATGGACAAACACATGTTGGAAAGCGATTATAGAATCATACGTGGCAGTTTTCCCACTCTGTTTTTGTTGTCACCGTGAGCGCCCATTTTCTCTTACAATTTTTGGTCGTGGTTGTGTGTGCGTGCGTATGCGCTGCGCAGCATTGGGCTCATCGACCGCTTCAATGAGGAGCCCGAGATTTTTGTGTTCCTGCTGTCAACGCGTGCTGGTGGCCTTGGCCTCAACCTGACGTCTGCCAACACCGTGATCTTGCACGACCCCGACATGAACCCCTACAATGACCAGCAGGCCGAGGATCGCTGCCACCGCGTGGGACAGACACGGTAGTTTGCGCTCGCGCACGTGCTGGCCGGAAACTCGCGTTGCATGTGGTGTGTGCATCTCATTGGCGGTTGATGTCGAGTAAACATGTCAGGTGCTTTCCTTGCTGGGTTGTTACAACATGTTACATTTGTAGTTGGCAACAAAGCTGAAGATTTCGGTTTTTGCATTCCAGTACCATAGTTTATTGGCCTATGTGCGTATGTATGTTGATCTTCTTTTGAACCATACGTAGCCAACCATGCTAATTTGAGAAAAAAAATATCTTTCATTCAGGCTGTTAATAGTGCATTACTACTTTGGTCTCAGCCTCATTTTATGGCAAATTTCAGGCTCGTTACTCCCTATTATTACAGTTTCTAAAAGGACAAACGTCTACGCGTGTAATGTCCTCTAAATCCCAACCAGGTATTATCCGATTAGTTGGATTCATCGCACGTGGGGAATGTCTTTTGACTGTCAACAATATTGAACCTTTGCTGATAAGGGGACTGTGAGGCTAGGTCACATTTGAGAAGCGTTGAACGTTGCGCCACTGATTGGAATGCGTCAACGGAAGCTGATGTGCACACGTGTGGCAGCCCGGTGCAGGTGATCCGGCTGATCAGCGCTGGCACGGTGGAGGAGGCCATCGTGCAAATGTCTAAGCACAAATTGCAACTGCAGCAGGATATAACGGTCACCAACAACAGTAAGTTTGTGAAAGTTGCAGGGGACAACACACTTAGTGGTTTCCTTTTAAAGCCATGGGTTCGCATTCAGTTGGCTGCATGTGATTTAAACCGGATTCTCAATTGTGGCGCGGTTATGGTCTCAGTTTAATCGCAAATTACTGCTCAAAAAAAGAACCATCATAAATTCATTTGGTTCTTAATTTGGCAAACATTTTAATCTCGGATATAAAAAAAAAAATCTAAATTATTTTTTACTCAAATGATGAATATCTATACAGCTGGGTATTTGGAAAACTTCATTGACCCCTAAGTGTGAATGATGCTCTTAATGGATTTCAGAAATAGATCTGTGACATCACCTTTTGTGTGTGGCTCGCTAGCGCAGGTGGGTTACACTGCTCTGCTTAAGTTCTAATCGACGTATGTCTCATCAGGTCATGTTGATAGCATGTGAAATAAAATGGGGGGGGTGGGGGCGGAAATACAGAAAGTATTTTTTATGGTGATTACATCGTGCATGTGTGGCATAAAAACAATACATTGACGTCTAGTGTGCCTTCCATTATTAGTGTTGATGAAGTGTTAAATAAACCTGTTTACAGCTATTGGAGGACTTGCAATGACACTGTCATGCTCATTCATTTGTTTACGGGATAAAGAGAGAGAATGCAGAGTATCATGGGTCAATAGCCACATGTACCATGACTTTATCCGATAGTCAATATCGAGGTGCATTTGGCAAAGACAACAAGATTGTTTAAAAATCCCAACATGTGCCTCTAATTTATTAAATTGCTTGGCATTCGGGGTTGTGGTGGGAAACTGAGCAGTGCAGCAAGATGAATAGTTGTGCTGTACTCCTATATCTATGCTTCCCATTTTCACCAACCTGTGCTGACCAGTATGGTGATGTTTGACAATAACCCCCACCAACCACAAAGTATCGAGGGGCCCGCATCCAGAAGTAGATTTACTGAGGGTTGTACATGTTAAAGTGCTTTTATTGCATAAACTTTAAACCAAAAGTACGTGACGCTGAGGCTTTAATGTACACATCATTCGTATTAGTTACCAGTTTATTTAAAGTGTTGTGTATATTACTCATGCCCTGATTGTTTTTTTCCCTTGTTCTTTTTTTACTTCTTGCCTTGAACCCTTGGGGGAATAAAACAGAGAACATAGATAATGAACTGCCAGCTGAGCTTGCCTCTCTGCTACAGCAAATGCTGGGCCAATGAAGAGATTAACTACGAAGTTTTTCTTCCGATGGGAGTCGAAACAAAGTCTGCAATGAAATGTCTTGTATCTAAGTGCACATGGGTGTCTTGTGTGTGTGTGGGTGCGCGCGCCAGTCCATATGTGTCTTATACATACAATTTTTACAGATTCATTATTGTACTTTTCTGGATAAAAGTGCCAGAACTGTGGGCCAAGACCAAAACCCGTGCGAGTTTTGTCTGTCTGTAGACTTCAGTTGCTTCATTATGTGCTTGTGATTGGTCCATTGCTCCATGTACTCCAGCTTATATTTGTACTCCAGCATTGCCTTGTGTCCCTGTAGCAGTGGCATTAAAGTGGGGTTGATGCCCCGTTTCCTGTGATAAGTGGAATTAATGACAGTAGTTGCCTGTAAATACTTGGAGGACCTGAGTAAACCAAACAAAAAAAACTGCTTATTGATGTCGAACTTTGTTGTGTTGTTCTTATTGTTATCTTGATAATTGAGCCCTTGCCTTTTTTCTTCATTGTAAGTTCTTTATATATTTAGTCTACATTTAATAAAGCTGAACCGACAAAAGCTTTTGTATTTGCATTTTCTTTCTCCTTTCGAACAAGTGAATGGGCACATACATACATGAAAAGCACAACTGCTGAAACTTATTTTACGTCCATTAAAGTCTGAAAAAGTGACGACATCTGCAGTGCTTACATAATAGATATATGCTTCGAATTATAATAATTGCAACTCGTAACCTGCACAGCAATATTCGCTCACTCTCGAGGAGACAACAACGTGAAGGTGTGGGCAATCATAGATGAGCAGGAAGGCAGCCACACGGTGAGACGACGCCAAAAAATTACTCGTCTCTGTGGTCCCCTACATATTAAGATGGTTCCAACCAATGTAATGAATGTTTTACGTGTGGGAGGAAGCCGGAGCACTCGGGAGAAAACCCACACGCGCGCCTCCCACGCTTCCGATTAGCATGGCAGGTTTCGTATGGTGCAAAAGAAGTTCAACATACATGCGAGAAGGTGGGGGGGGGGGGGCAACAGTCTATTCTACACACTATGCTTTCACAAATCCACCCTGACCAGCACGGGGAAATACGGTCACACAACTCCCATGACCGACACTGCGTGGGGGAAGCCTTCAACAATGGATTAACAGCGGCCCAACATGGCAAGGGTGTCATTGAAGGGGAGTGGGGGGCTCGGGGGGGGGGCTGTGGTTTCCCTAAGTCACACGACCCAGTGGGTGTGGCGTACTGCACTGGTGACGTTAACGGCTTGTGGCTAAATGAGTGCGGGCTTCAAGAGGAGAGTGCAGGCGTGAGTAGAAGGCGGGCAATCGGGTAAGCGGTGGCGGGACAACTTTACAAAGCTGCACTGAACTCTCACCCAACGCGGAGTGTTTGCGTGCTCCATTGCAGAAAGGCTCTTTGGTTGGTGAGTGCATGCAGCAGACATTAATAAAGTGTACGTATCTTATCGATACGAGTGTATCTTAAATTGTTTTAATTGTAATATGTTAAATGCAGATGTTATTTTAGTCATTGATGTCGGTGGAGGAAAATGCATTCATTGAACTTCACCTTGATAACAAATTGGAATTCGAGGACTGTTTTGTGCGTGCAGTGTTAAAATATGTATTTTGTGATATATTTTTTCTTTCCCCGAGGTACACTAATATGGTACCCATAATATCAGGTTCATGGTATTCGTTTAAGTGCATGCACGGTTTAAATTAGTCCTCAAAGTGTAAGATTAATATTTGTTTTCGTGTTTAAACTGGTCTGCTGTAATGAGGTTTATGGTATTCTTGTGATTATCTCAATCCAAACCTATTAATATTGCAACCTCGATTCAAATTCCATGAAAATCAACTTATGGGATTACATTTGACACGTTAATTTTGTGCGACTTCAAAGTGCAATGGCAAGTCGGTATTAATAAGCGTCATTTGACACGGTAACTTCGCTTTGAAAATACGAAACACTTGCAGTCAAATTGTGAATGTGCAAAAAACGCGAGCGAGGCTGCCCTGAAACTTAAAACCTGCAAAGCTTCGCCGTGAATCTACTTGTCTGTTCGTGTTGACCGTTCAATTGCTCTGTGTGTGCGTGATAACACATCGGTGTACTTGTTAATTTTATCAAATGCTCCAAAGGCTACTCGTACCTTTTAAGGCTGGCGGGAGGGATGTCTCCCCGAGCCCAATTTAGCTGCCCCTATTTTTAAACGTGCGAGGTACTTCGTACTAGCCGCATCCTGTGGCCATCGTTCTTCCTCATGCAATCTATCAGCCGTCATAAAATAAGCCCCTTTAATTGTAATTGATGCAGCTACACGATAGTCACATTAAGTAACACCGTGGCGCGCGTTATGTCTCGCTCGGGTCATCCTTAAGCTCTTGTCGACACGTGGACTTCGCTGTCGTTGACTTTGACGAATATAGAAAACAAGTTTCAAAAAGGGGCGCTATGCTTTGTTCACAGCAGTAATTTGGAGTTCCGGTAATTGATCCTCGTTTACCGACAGCCTCGTGTGCATTTGCAACCTTATCTCACCAGATTTAAAATAAAATTATAAAATCCCAAGTAACGCAACTCACGCAACCTTTCATCTCTCGGCACGGCAGTTGCACCAATGGTGCAAGTTTCTTAAATGCCATTGCCTCAGCAGTATCCATGGGTACCCTACAGATGGTCGACAGGTCATGTGTTGTGGGGTAAAGTGTGGAGAACTACCACCTATTCCAGTGTGGAAGGGAATGTCAAAATACCCTCCAGAGAGGCTCTCTAGAGCTCCCTCTAGCGGAGGCCCTTCTGCCAGCAGTGGTGTGAACAGGCAATTGCAGGGCTGCACCTTTATAATTAGGTAATGGAATCTATTCTGTTCAAAGGGCACTCGAACATTTGGCAGGCGCAAAGTGACACTTCACATGCGGTGTTGTCCAAGGCAAAACGTCTAATTAGTTCACAGGAACTCGGATAAATATTTCTCGTTGCGAGCGTCGCTCTCCCTCCCTCCTGCGGTCTTCTCCACAGGGATTTGGCCAAGGCAGGCCGAGGGAAGCAACCGTCTGTCTGTGAGGAGAACCGTGAGGCGCTGATTCGGTGACGCTTTTGAGCAACAGCGGAGGAACCATGAGCAGCTACTCGGTGACCCTGCCCGGGCCGGCCCCCTGGGGTTTTCGCCTGCAAGGCGGCAAGGACTTCAACATGCCGCTCACCATCTCCCGGGTTAGCTTCCCGTTTTTGGGTTGCCACCTGTCCTGGGTTTTCCACCCCCACACCCCTCCCACCCCAAGCCACGATTTTCCTCTTCTTTTGTTTGTTTTGAGGTAGCTCTCTTTCCAAGGGGAAATCAGTAAAGCCTTCCAGGGACACTGCTGGCTTGTCAGTTGCGTAATAATATACCGCTCAAGACGCTTCGTTTAAATGTAGTCCTCATATTTTCTGGTATTGTGAGATAAACTTTTGATATATCCTGGGTATTTTTTTGTTCCTCTGATGCGGCGGCCTTAGTACTCGTCCCACCGCCACTTTCAACTTTGGACCACCGATTGTTCTTGACCTATATCTCGGAGGGGCCCACGAAACTTGATGGATAGCATCGAAATTGCAACTGGATCTGCTGCACAAAAACAATGCATGGATTATTTCGGGGCAGTCAATTGGTCAGTCCGAGGTAAAGAGGAAAGTTGAACCTGGACTTGCACAGGGGCAGAGGGTCCGACAGCACTTGCGGAGGGAAGGAAGTTCCTGAAGTTGGAAACAAAACAGCAGAGGAGAAAACGAGTAGCTGCACCAATGTTTATCATCGTGATATTATGGGAAATGCCGTAAGAGTCTCAATATATTACCGTGGCAGCTTTCAACCATTTCCCTATCATGAAAACCCAATCAAATGTTGGCAGAAAATGGTTCTTGACACATGCGTTTCTTTTTTTACAAAACAGACTCCTTGGGGTTTCGAGACTTGTGTGCTGCCAACAAAGCTGGTTCTGACATTAAGATGGCATTCATTGCGCACAGTCCGGTGGCGTTTTCATCCCTGCAGAAATTAGACTGCCACGGGAATGCTAAGAACACGTGCAGATGGGAATCTTCTCTCGCCTACGAGTCACTAGTTCGGAGCTAATCCTTGCCTCTCCAGAGTGGTTGGCTTACTGCTGTTGTTGATTTTTTCTACTTTTTTTGTACCACTGTTCATCATCAGCCTGACTGTAAAGTTCGGCTCTGTGTGTTCACTTCCATTTTCGTTACGCAGTGCTGTGTGATCGATTTAGAAAACACGTGTTGCCACATTAATCATGTTATAAATACAGGGCACAATCTTGAACTGTAAGTATTGCTATTACTGTATTATCGTTTGCATTGTCAGGGTGCTCACAACGTGAAATTCAGACATACTCAAGAACGCAGTGGAGTTGCCGTGGCTGGGTGGCTCATATGAGAGAACTGAGCCAGTACGACTGAGGTCCTGGGTAACAGGCATCCACTCATCATTTAAACCAGATTCTCAAGTCTAGCAAGTTGATCATCTCAGCCTGGTCACCACTGAAAAAAATACTTTATAATTAAGTATTTTTTTTTGCTACATTACGTCCCCGATTAATTAAAATATTTATTTGTCATGCAACAAATGCAATTCTGATAGCAGAGTGTGGTAGAGTGCACCCCCTAGTGTGTAAATATGAAACAAGGCAATTTGACAGGTATTTATGAAGTTATGCGAGAACTCGGAGTGCTCACTGCTCTGGCAAGATTTACGAATGGATTCCTTGCCTCGTGAAATGATGCCTATAGTACACTGCGAATACAATTGGAAGGAAGGCTAAAAACTTTTTTTCTTTTAAATTCAGCATAGCATAACTTAGTGGATATACCGCTTCATTGTGCTAACGAGTCGAGTGAAAATGTGTACGTGAGCAAGCATGTGGCGGTACTGATCTCCGTTGATGGAGCTGAGTCAGCGGTAGAAATGCCACCCTCCCATGGCAGAGGCGAGAACATCCAGTACCTCTGCGTAAATAATACGCCCTCAGCCCCGACCTCACTTCTCCACTGTCTTGGTTAAGTATAAAAAAAAATGTGATGGACAGACCACTCGGCCTTATCTCATCGGGGGAAAAGGGCGGAGTGATCATCATAATAATGACAATAATTTACAATCCCTTTGTCAATCTACTGCTGGATGACGGCCTTCCTGCACGATGTACGTCACTGGGGATTGTTTAACCGTACTTCACCACGCTAGTCTGTGTGGGTTGGTGAAGAGGGAGGCCCCAGGACCGTTTTTGATGTCACTCGCTACTGACGCTAGCCGCGGCCGGTAATCGAACTCAGGTCGCCTGACTCGTAGCAATCCTCAAAGAACGCAGGTCTGCATCTATGGGCTTACTGCTCTGCCCCATATTGCTGGCTCTACGCAGAAACAATGCATGTTATTTAATTAACAATTCTAATTGTAGTGTTTTTTTTTTATTCCACACAGCTGGCATTTATTAGAGCCATGAATTAGGAGGCAGCATAAATAACCCAAGTTGGACCTGGCCGGATTCCGTGATGTTTGCCGGGGTTTGTTGCCGGCGCTCGCCTGTATTGAATTTCCTGCGTGCATGTCTAAACAAAAATAGCGGCGGGCGGAGTGGACTGGACGCACGTCACCACCAGAGAGCTGGGGGCTATGGGGGAGTGTGGGGTGACCGAAATATTTTTGTGCGTCCCTAAATTTGCCGTAGTTACGTCAACAGCCGGGTATGAGGCCTCACGACATTTTCAAAGAGCTTGTACTGTGTGTGCTGGTGAGCATGTCCATGTTGGAGGGGTCCACCTGTCCCCCTCGCCGCATTCAAAACGAACTTTGTAATGCGTTACACAACACTTCCCTGGTGACTCTGCGACCTTTGAGTCAGTGCTGCTGCTGCACGCGAGTCCATTACGTTGTGTCTGCTTTGTATAATTAAATGTTCGAAGCCCTGTGTCAAGCCACTGCTGGATGAAGGCCTTCCTCCCGAAGCGGATTGTTTGACCGTGCTTCTCCATGGTGGTTAATTGATAGTTGGTGAAGAGGAGGCACTGTGACCAGTTAGGAAATCGATCTGCACTTGGCTGGGAACTGAACTCTGGTCAGCAAGTTCATTGCACAGTGTGCCAACTATTGTGCCACTACTGCACCCCTATTCACGTTGGTAGGCTTCAAGTATTTATTTTTTAGCGTTGAAGCATTACACAAACTGTGTTTTATATACTGTACATGTAAGCTTACATAGCGTGTCATTTATTTATTTATAATATGGTAAATATTATAAAGGTTCCATTGTGTAGGGGAATGACGTTGGTAATTCGCATGACATTTTGGATGGCAGTTAATTTGCAAAAGCAAGAAACAAATGAGACTTATTCACTATTTTGGAATTCAATGCCATTGATTTGAGTAAAGGCAGTCTCTGGAACAGCTGTGTTGAACAGCCCTTGCTGCACTTTTCGGATTGCCAAATAAATGTGTCTCAGTGGCCAATGTCATTTTCTTCAGACCATTTACTGCAGTGGCCAAAATTTCGTTTGACCTTCTGTCAGCTCATCTGTTACTTTGTGAGCAGGGTTCGATTTTAAAAAGAAATCAGTTTGTACCCAACAACGTTGTTGGACTAGGCCGATGCACAGAAAGAAGAGGCGGTCAGATTCCACACAAATGGTATTAGATATTTTCCTGTTGTCATCTTATAAGTCGAAGACATCGGAAGATAAAACCTGCGTTTGCTGTCAAACATGTACGACCCCGATTTTGTTGTCCTTTCTGGTTGAGACGAGGCGAGAGCTTGTAGCTGTTGAAAACAGGGCATTTACAAGAGCCCTACTTAAGTTCAAATTCTGTAATCCTCGTGACTTAAAGGTCATCTTAGATGTGACATTTGGCAACCGGCTCGATAAGGTTGTTTGGCAGATTTTTCCTTACATTTCAATAGGCCCGTTAAATAATTTTATTGAAAATGATTGTGCAGATGAAAAAAAAAAAAAACGAATTCTGCAGTGAACATTGTTTACATGGGATCTAACGGCAGTGCGATTTTTAACGGCGGTCACGAGCGGCATCCGTGATCATTTACAAGTTGGGGCGACGTTGCGAACCTCAGTGCTTTCTGCCGTTTGAGCCACGTGACCGGGCTATTTCCGCGCTTTAAAAGGAGATCCTTCAAGCAGTAGCTTGGCTGACACAGAAGGAATGCTAGCGTTCAAGGATGTGAGGTGTAGATTCAGGGACCTTGACCCCGCGGTGTAACCTGCCGGGTGCGCTCGGATCACTGGAGCAAACACTCACGGTGTGAATTTAGAGTCAGCATTTTATATTCATAACAATGGAAAATAATGACCACGGGTTGCACATCAAAATTTGTGAGTGTTGTTTAAACATTTTACAGGTGGACGAATTGGGGTAGAACAAAAAGGCTTGTATGGGGCAGAATTATTTAATAATCCTTCACTCAATGTTGTTTGTTATCGTGGGAACATAGATATAATTTTTACTTTTCGTCATTTATTTCAAGCGGTTGGGGGTCACCTGAGTGTGATCAGTCTGTCCCACACGTCCTGTATCTTCACCAATGTGCACTGCCCAGTGTGGCGAAGTGCGGTCACATCTCTCCCCCAATGCTGCTTTGGGAGGCCTTCATTCAGCTTTAGATTGATCATGACTGATGATGATGATCATTATTATTTTTTGCTGTATCTCTATAGAGGCGGATGAGTTTATTTTTCAAGGTGGCACTGTGTCCTTTATGAAGAAAATTGGTAGTTGCTGTGAATTGTTTCCACACTGATTTGGCCATGGTATACGATAGCCCACAGGCTCTTTTTAAATCCACAATTTAAAACCGACTCTTGTCTCAACGGGATGGAATGCTTATCGGTCCATGTTTCCACAACACATTATCAACACGACATAAATGGGGGCCTGGGATGGTGGAACGTTTTATTTAAATGGCAAGTGAACAGGACCTGAAATAAGTTCCATACTTTACTCAGTGCAAGCGATGTGATGGCTTCTCATCGCTTCAGCTGTCCCAGCTGTGACCATTTCACCCTCATTGCCTCTCCCACTTCACCGCGTTGTCACCTGACATCCTGAACACAATGTCTGCTGCTTCCATGCCCACTCTGCCAGACGCGTGCAATGAGATCAGACTATTTATAGCCGGCTATCCTTGGCTTCCTCAGGACAGGGATTCAGGGATGGTGGAGTTTTGCTCTAGCCCGTTCCCTGCGCACCATCTTGCATTTGTGAAGCAAACCCCATCTGCTTGCACGGCAAACCAGCTTGATATATCTTGCATCGACATGGAAAATGCAATCTCCTCCAGAGCTAAAGTTTCACAGAACATTATGACCTCATGGTGACACCATTAACACAATGGACTCAAATAGCCCATGCTCATTAATCGACTTGTTTTTTTTATGAGTGTACTTCACTGCGATGCTTAGCCATATGGCCAAGCTGTAATGGGAGAAAAATTCTGAAGCCATCGAATTAACTGGCGATGCGATCATTTCCGATGGGTTTTAGAAGTGTCATAACACAATTACATTTTTCCTCATTTGATCCTGGCACTGCAGCTAGACGTTCTGTGTGCACACTCACAAATACTCTGCTGAAATGCTCACACAGCACAAAGGAGGATACCTTGTGCCCGACACTGCCCCGAGGCTCATGTTTCTGTCTACGTAAGCCAATAATATAGCATTACACCGAGACCTCCACACTTTTTGCCACCACGGCCTATAGGCATGGCATGCCGCTTTGAACGATAAACACAGCTGTGTGAGCTGTGGGCGCAGTGCGCTCCCACATGAACTTATGGCGCTGTGGTGAATAACACTCGACATGCGTTCTTGTCCTCATTCGTGTCTACGCCAGTTATTGCACTGTGGTAGTTTGACTGGCAAAGGGGACCCCCCCCCCCCCGCCTAGTGTAGCTTATAGGCTTTTCAATGTCGCAATTTCATACGCATATAACCAACGCATTGATTGATTGTATAATTTTTTTTTATTGCGTTATAATTACGGGTGCCTGTGACCAAATCACCTGGTATGCACCCAGTCTTGTCGGCACTCTGAAGCTCAGCAGGGTTGGGCCCGGATAGTGCTTGGGACGGGCGACCACCTTGCATAACAGGTTGTTATAGGCTGCTGCGGGGTACGTGCAGCGCAGCAGAGGGCAGTGCGGCCAAATCCATAGTTGTACAAGACTCATTTGCTCTCTATCTTCATTAACATTTGCTGACCAGCATGGTGAAGTATTGTCATGAACCCCCACAGCTCGCAAAGGATGTGAAAGTCGTCATCCAGTCACGATTTGACAAAGAGCGTGTCCATGCACAAGCTATAGGTCGTGTTCAATTGTAGCTACATTTGGGCTATAAGAGCAGCACACAATGGGTTACTATAGCAAAGTATTTGCCGTTTTTAAAAATGGCAATTTCACCATAATGAATTACCCACAATGAATGTGTGTAGAAATTATTTTATGTTTTCTTTGAATTCTCAGTTGCTCGTAGATAAGTCACCGGTGAACAATCAGATAAAATCATTGTCAGTGTAACGATTATGCACATCCACCATATTATAAAGGAGGTTATAAATGAAGCACAAATGACTTCCACGGACATATTGAGGGATTTAAAATATATAATTTTGCAGGCCATCGTTTTGTATTCGGTGCCAGGTGTGAGGGCTTTATCTGAATTTGACATCCTGCAGCCAAAGCTGCAGCGACCCCTTCACTCGTGTCCATCAAGTCAAATTTTTCTTCCAAAGGTTGTGTTGAGCTTGACTTTGTAAACGTTATCCCTCTAAGGTGGGTAGATGGCGTGCCCGCTGCAAAGCGACATTTCAAATGGACAGCTGTAAATTCTTTCCATTCGGCAGCGGTGATTCACGGACGCGACGTAGATGTCTGCTACTCCGAGTTTTCCTGGCTCCCGGCCAGCATGTGTAATCTCTCTCCACAATAGGGAAGCAAATGTATTTTAGTCTTAGCACATTTTAATTGGTTAACACGTGTCTGTGAGTGACATTGGTCCCAGAAGTGTTGCATTAAGCAAGTGTTTATCGGTGCCTGTGTGCACGTGTGAGTGTCAGCGCATTTCAATTGCTAGCCCGCGTCTGCTCAATCCGCTCCTAAGTAAATTTATTTAATGTTGCGGCGGACAGATGATATTGAGTTTGTGTTCTAAATTCTAAAACCGAATAATTCTAAAAGATACGGTTTGACTGGTCAATTGTGCATCTAGACAAGACAATGCGACGATGATGAACATATCGAAGCAATAATTGGCAAATATACACAAATACATTATAATATTTAGGCTTCATTTGCACTTGCATGTATTTTTATATATTCGTGGTTAGGTGAAAATGTGTGTATGGAGTAGTTGTTAGTGCCCTGTACGGTTCGAAAGAAGTTCAACATCCATACAACTTATTGTTTCCTGGTCATTGGTGACATCATTGGCACATGGTATCTGAAACTGTGCTGGGACTCTTTTCGTTTGATTCAGGTTTCAGTAAGTACATGCTGTGGTATGTGAACATTATTACTGGCCACACCACTCCTCTTTGTGGTTTGCTAGGCTGAATAGGTGCTTTATAACAGCACACGTCCCAACAGTCTATAATGCTAAATGTGGGATCTTGGAGGTGACTGGGAGGTTCAGGGATCAGACTATTGTGCTGGAATCGCTGAGATCCTGCGTCACAGCCACCAATGATTCATAGAGTTCTCAAGTGTAGAGGTTATTTTTCACTTAATTTGGTAAAAAAAATTGCCGTAAAATATTTAAATATTGGTTGTGCTGTCAAGCGTGTGAGAAATCGTCTTGTCACTTGAAAAAATTTCGGAACACATTCTGTGAAAATCTTGGAGATATCTGAATGGATTCTTCATCTCTTGACTCGACGCCAAATCGGTACATTTGGAATAAAATATTTGTTTTCGTCACACGTGCATATGACAGGGAAGGGTTTCCAGCTCAATGAAACATGACAACCTGTAGGCTCCTTCACTGTTGCTGCCACTCCTGCTGATGCTTGTGCTGCTGCCGTCACTGTGCGTTGTCTGCCTGCGTGTCACAGGTGAGTGCAGGCAGCAAGGCGGCCCAGAATGGCATCTCGGCTGGTGACTCCGTGCACCAGATCGACGGGGTGCCCACGGATAACCTCACACACGTGCAGGCGCAGACCAAGATCAAGAACTGCGTGGGGTCGCTCCGCATGACGCTGCATAAGTAAGGGAGCCTCGCATTCAGCACGTCTGCTCCTGCAAAACACCCCGGCGTTCTGACCCCTCATCCTAATTTCTCATTAGCACCCAGATAATGAATCTTCAGTCCCATGGGATTGATGAACGGGGACTCCATGTTATACGGGGTATCGATTTCTGAAGAGTAAGAATACGTTCAGAATTTTCTTTTTTTTTATCGAACACAAGCGTTTTGGCAGGGCTGCCCAGATGTTGCTGGAGGCCCGGGGCTGGATGGCCAGGACCGAATTTCATGTGAGGGAAGGGACCTCCCTCATTCATTAGCGACAAAAAAATAACAGGCCCTTTGTGGTGCCATCTTTTACGAGATGCCCTTTTTTTGTGGGAAAATTGCCCTGACATGTTATGCCATCTTGCCCACTCCAGCTGCGCACAGGGGGATGGCTACTCTGCACAAAGGGGGCACATAATTGTACCACTTTTTGAGTATATGAAAAAATATATGTATCTTTCAACATATGAATAATAGACAGATGATTATGATGATCAAACTTTTTAAAAATAAATCAATAGGGTAGCATTCTTATGATGCGTATTTGTAAAAAAAGATTGTAGATCACCCATCCATCAGTGGGTGTCTCTCGCGAGCAACCACAATCATTAAACACGTTTGTCTACTCCCCAGATCGGGTGTTAACCTCTTAAAAAACAACATGCATTTTTTATTTAAAGCTTTCGTGACTGCAGGGATTCATATTCTTGGTTCTTTCGGTAGAGTCACGTAGAAGGGAAACAATAAAAATATAAAACAATAAAATTCTCACGACGTTTCGACTGCAACACAAGCAATCATCATCAGTAACATTTTTAAATTATTACCAAACACCACGCCATGGGCAGCAGGGGGCAGTGCAGCAAAACCCATTGTTGTACTGCACTCGTATGCTCCCACATCTATGCACCTCACCTTCACCAACCCGCACTGGCCAGCATGGCCAAGTTCATGTTGGGTTAAACAACCCCCATGGGCTCCACGCCATGGAGAGGACCTCATTCATGTGGTTTGGATTGACAAAGGGCTGTACATTTTTACGATTAAAAAAATATTTAAGAACACGCAATTGGACGTGAAGCATGACATTGCGACTCATTTTAATGGGTTATAACTCAATGGATAATTGAAGCTCGGTTAAGGGCGCCATAGTTGGCGACATGTTAACTACCTCGTCTGGTATACAGGATTTCGTGGGTTCGCTCCCGACCCTGACACCTGCGTATTTTGAGTTTGCATGTCTCTGTCCTTGTGGTCGCGTTTGTTTTTTCTCCGGGTCCCTCCACATTTACAAACATGAGTTTTAGAGTATTTGACCGATATACATTTCCACACGATAAGCCACTTCGTTGAGCTATCGTTAGTGATGGCTGAGTTGCTTCTGAAAAAGAGTTATATATAAAGCTCAGTGGCCCTCGCCTGGTAACATCAAAATATTGAATTGAAAAATCTGCCTCCACACAGATGCAAGCGGCCCCTGCCTATGCATGGCCCTGTGATTGATGCTGCAACCACCATCCCACACCAGAAGGTGAGGCCTTAAAATCCTGAAATAAAATACAATCAAAGCCTGTGATCGCAGATTGTACTGTGTGGACATGTCAACAACTTGTAACAGAAACATTTTAATTACTCCTTTTTATTTCTTTGCATTTCTATAGATTTTATCTCCACATGGGTGAGTGCGGTAAAAAAAGTGTGGCTTTCTAATAAAGAATGTTTTAATCTGAGCACATTCTGTGAGATGAGTGTCATTGGCTTAACTTTAATCACTTGAGACAAATTTGCATGATGGGCAGTTGAATACTGTGTGAATGACGCGTAGATTACGTGGCTTGGAGTGGATTTTAACAAGAAGCATGACATGAACGTAATTCATTATTACACTACAAGCCACTAAAAGCCTGTCCTACAGATGGGGTCCACTATTTTCCCAAACTATAATCCTTCATGAAAATGCATTGCATGAGTGACACTGGGGCTTATATATTACTTATATTCAGTACTGGCTTGTATTTGACATATTATCCTTATGGCAGTACCCCGGGGTACCAAATAATACTAAATGGCCGAGGCAACTAAATATTTTATTTCTGGGACACTATTTTTTTCCAGGGGTGTACTTAACTCCGCGACTGGGGTACTAATCAATCTGACATCGGTGCTACTCCGCGATTTCGAAATGCAGCGAGGACGATTGTGCCGAAACCCTGAACGTTTTCACGTACGCACCGTGGTGGTGCATCGTGAGTACAGCTCGTCGAGATGAGTCGATTGCCGCATCGCCGATCATCAAGATTAAACATGACTGTATCACGGACATTATGGTGCCCCGGGGTACCGCCATAAGGCTGATATAAGCATACAAAATGTATGCTGCCCTCTAGTGTTTGTATAATGTCATGAACTATTTTATATCGTCAAGTATTTTTTTTTAGATCTGAAGGTCAAAGGGGCCTTGTGTCCTATATAGCTCATCAGCAATACCTATAGGTCCTTAGTTATTTATGGTGAAAAGGAGCCTTCAACTCGACTCTTCACGTACAACAAAAATGTACCCAAGAAGATGCTGGGACCGACGGACAACTCGGAGTTTTTCGTTACGAGGATTTGTTTTTTTGTGTCTTAATCTTCCACCGACAGCCAAGATTTCATTAACCCCACGGTTATCAAGGACTCGGCGGTGTCCACTCACAAGCCCATCGAGGTCAGGGGCCCCGGTGGCAAGGCCAGCATCATCCACGCGCAGTACAACACGCCCATCAGCATGTACTCGCAGGATGCCATCATGGATGCCATCGCTGGACAGGCTCACGTGCACGGCAATGATGTCCCCAACGGGTAAGCGTGATGACCTCTTGTGTGTGTGCGCATTGTTTGTGTTGTCACGGGTGACGTTCGGGTTAAGTAGACGTGCAAAGATTAAAACCCAAAGCACATCGACTCCCTTCCTCCTCCCAAATTTGGGATCACAATTGGTGAATTGCTTTTCGTCGTTCGCTCGGATTTTTTTTGTCGTGTCGTCAGCGTTTCTTTCGTCAGTCTCGTACGTTCGTTCTGGCTTGTCCCCAGCACGACTGAAATCCAAAGGTCAATTCTGGGTTTTCTGGCCGCCTTTAATTAATTAACGTTGGTCAACTGCAGCGGTGGTCTCATTTCGGGCAACAATAACTGCACGGATAAAATTACAATAAGTTCAGTTTTTCACTTATTTTGGTAAAATCGCAGCTATGAGGATTAATAATATTTATTTGACTGCCATGCAGGAAACCTTTCTGTGTAGTAGGAGGACATGTGGGACAGTTTGCACGTGAAGGGATTTCAGAAGTAGTCCCGTGATAACTGCTTCTGCGGGTCATTCTCTAAAAATCAGGGTTGCACTACTCTTGACAAGATGCTAGTAATATAAATGGAATTAAATTAGGGGGGGGGGGAAACAGTTGATTTTTACATGCATAATTCATGTATCGTGCGCATGAGAATCAATTTGAAAATCCATTCATCGTTAAATGGCTAAAGCTTAGAGCGCGCGTGGTTGGTGGCTGTCAGGACCTGGCAGATGAGTGGTGTGCACCCACATAAGGCGGCGGTTTATTTCAGGACACTGCCGATCAGTGGATCGGCCCCATCCCACTTTTGTTGCGTCTCTAGTCAGATGTATGCTCATGCTCAGAGATGTTATTCACATCTCGGTATCAATAATTTTTATTTGGTTCCCTCCTTGATCGATGTTTTTATTGCTACTGTGGTCCAACTGATGATGAGACACCTACCCATACTGGATTTTTATTTCTTAACAGCTGCATTTTTTTAAATCCACATTTAGACATCTTGTAAAACTAACAGTGTTAGCAAAATCTGAGTGTGAAATAGCACTTGACTTCAGTTGAGAAAACTTGTCGCTTTTTTGCGTGAAAGGCAACCAAAGCAGTAATGTCAAAGCTGCTACGTCTGCATAATTGTTCTTTGTGGTCCTGCTTGTAATTACCAACATGTGCTTGTGTGCATACATTCACAATAAGTGATGCGCCTACAATTTGCTTCTCTCATTTAGTAATGAGAGCACAGCATTTGTTAACGTTTACGCTAAACTGGTTCGTGCAACCACTCTACTATGGGCCAAGGTACATGTCAAATGCCAGTGAGCGACCCATGTACCTGTTTGCTTTGAGTGTTGGCAAAGTGCTTCGTGATTGTGCTATTTTTCATGATGCCATGTGTTTCTGTAACCCCATACCCTCTATGACAAAATTCCCACCCGCACTCCATTCCTCTCTCTTCTAACCATGATGCAACATACCTCGCCAACCTCTTTCACCGTATTCCAAAAACTCAAAAAAAATGTCCATGGTGCACCACATTTACACGCTACTCTTTACAGTTCCTCCGAGGCCACTGGGGGGTAAGTAAAATGTTACTATTTGTTTTATTGTTTTTTTTTAACAGAAAACTACATTTAACACGTAGTAGGTTTTCGCGAACAATATTAAGGTTCATAATTGAGTTTTGGCTCAGATCGCCACGTGACTAAAATGTGTGTTGTACATCCATCTCCACCTGACATAGCCGATTAATGAAGCTGTCACGTGATGAACAAACGTGACCAATGTATTGCTGCTTCAGCAAACCCGGTGTGTTAAGAGAGCAATCCACAACATTTAACAATTTGGTATGACGTACTGCTGGCAATAACTACTGTATCAGTGAAACGTCATACCATATTATTAAACGTTCGTCGTAGCTACCAGTGAAACTTTATACCAAATTGTTAAATGGCGTGGATTGCTCTCCAACATACGTGTGTGCTGAAGCAGCAATACATTGGTCACGTTTGTTCACGTGATAACTTTATTGTGTTGGGTGGAGGAGGGTGTACGACACACATTTTATTTACACAATCTGACCCAAAAATCTATTATGAATCAAAGATAATTCTGTTCTATTAATAATATCCATTGCCTTTGAACGAAATGTACTAAACATACTAAATGTTCTAATGCCTGAAACTGCGCATGGGATTTTGAAGGAAAAAAAAACCCAACGTTTAAAACAGTGGTGGTGATCGTGGTGGTGTAATTCATGGCAGGAAGTTTGACCCTTAATGGTGAGGATACAGCTCGCACCAATCTCACCCGAGTCGTCACCCCCTATTTCCGTCAGGCTGATCGCCAAGAACCCACAGGTGGACACCACGTCGCACGTGTACCAAGCGGTGGCCAAGACCACCACGGACTCGGACCGCTCCGAGGAGGAGATGCTGCGTCTGGGCAAGGCGCAGTCCCGCACGTTCCGCATGCTCGCGCAGCTCACCGGAACAGAGTATAGTACGTGTCCACATGGTCAACACCCTGCGTTCAGAGGGCATCGGGCCATTAAAATCCACGAACAATCCAACGCGAGATGAAAGCCTCCAAAATACATTGCCGTCTCTCACGGTCTCGCGCGTGCAACAATTCGTCTAGCTCCTGCGCATGAGATTATTTAATTGCTCCACATCTGAGGTTGATATCCTGTTAGGTGTGTTTCCTCTTTTGTCTTCGAGCAATGTGACCACCAGCCGCATTCCTTCTCGCAACGTGTTCTGCCCAAGACCACCGCTGCTTTGAAATGCACCTCCGCATCATTGAATAATTTTCAGCTTTTGTTCCATTTTTTATTTCGATCGATTGCTGTGCTGAATTCATTGAGGACAGAAGTATCTCTAACAACCTTGCGCTTGTTAGTCAGTCAATCTCCTTCCTAATTTCACCATCTCTGGATCTTCTTCCTAGATGCCTTCATTTTGAAAAAAGGTATTCATAATAATCACGTATTATGACTCTATTTAGATGCTCACTTCATTCTCCACTCCAGCACTCTAACTTATATCATCTAATAAATTGCGTTATGTTGTAATGCGTTTTGCCCTCATTTAGTAGTTGGTTAATGCCTTCAAATATTTGGTCTACTTCATCATAATGGCTTGCTAATGAAGCCTCTATTTAAATAATCTTAAACTTGTAGTGATTTCAGAGCTTAAAGATTATCTGATAAACTGCCCAAAGTACTCTTGATGTTTGATTCCCGGAGAACATAGAGTTTTGGACTTTAGGAGAACATCAACTCAGTTGATGCCCAACCCATTGGGAGTTAACCGAACACACAGTTCACATGGTTGTAATGGTGCCCGATTAATTCAAGTTTAACCGTTGAAAGTCCGATCTCTTTCTATGTATATATAAAACGTAATTTTATGTTAATGCAATGTTTTTGTTACTGCCATATATATGTAACTATTGTAAGGTTATTCTTACGTTATTGTGTATTATAATCAAAACACGTATAATGGTATTAATGCAAAATATACATCATGGACATTCAGATTGTATACACATAAGTCATCCTTGGCAATATAACATTCTCGAGTATCATAGATACTCGAGAATAACATTCTCGAGTATCATAGATACTCGAGAATGTTATATTACACAACCCATCATCCCACAGCCTTCTGGGAATGCATAATCGCAGCAGTACAAGCAGCCTTCAAACTGGTTTCAACATTTGGTGTCTCATCAGTAGTCAGGCTTGCTTGAATCAATGCTGGTGAATATATAGCTCCTAGTTCAGTGTAAAACTACAGACAGCATTGTGATCACTGCGATCAACAATCATCGCTATTCTCTTATTTAGTGTTTACTTACACCCATATGTAAATGGACAATTTTGCACAAGGTAAGTTTTCCGAGCAGCGATTAAATAACTCGCCAGTGACTGGTGCCAGCATGTCAGCCTGCAGCCTCTTTGGTCAACTATCCTGCGAATGCTTCTTCAGAGCAGAGCAGATATTTTCAGACTTATCGGTTGAAGACCTTTTCCACTCTGGTGCCTTTAAAGATGACAGGTTTAACAATACTTCAGCTGTCTGTCCTTCTCTGTGCTCTTTTGTTAAGTGTCATTGCCCAAAAAGTGGTAATGACAAACATGGATAAGTTTCTTAAACTAACTCCTGCAGAGGGGTTCTCAGTGCTTCGCGCCTCGCCCGTCACCGTCCCCCCCAATGCGTGCAGATACTACTGACTCTATTGTATGTAGGGTGTGTAGGCATATATGCCTATAAAATAATGTTTTTGGGGGAGGGGGTCGACAATTTTCAGAAACCTGTTGAATCTTTTAACCCCTACATCTGGGGGTGGGGGGCTCACTTTCTGTAACTTCTTATAATTTAGTTGACACTGAACGCCAGGCTTTTATAATACATATGCACCACTGCCAATGTAGTTCCTTATGTTGTGCTGAATGCAATGATAGTTTTACTTAGCTGTGATTGAGATGAGCAATTGAAAACATTCGTGTGAAAAGGATATCTATTGCCATATTAATTTGAAGATAGATTTTTTTATGGTAAATGTTTGGAAATAACTTTCTTTAAATGCAAGTGAATTTGGTGTGATTACATGTAACAAATTATAGGACATACCTTTAAAAGTCCCTTTTTACAGCGACCTTATGCACTTTTAAAGCAATGTTTGAACATGTATGCTTCCAACTGATATTGCACATTGACTAAACGTGGAAAAATTTTGCAGCACTAATTGCTTTGTATATTTTTCTAGTGCAAGATCCTGATGAAGATGCTTTAAAGAGAACCAGGTAAAATTCGTTTCCATAACCCTTCAATTCACCGTTCAAAAGCTGTTGATAGAACATTTAATCGGTTTCCCCATGTTATCATCTGCAATGCACCTGTCCTCCAATCAGTCTCGTGTTGTTGCGATTGCAGAGAGAAGTTTGAGAGTCAGGTGAAGGGGCCACGCTTCAACAAGCTCAAGGAGTGGCACCACGGCCTGTCCGCTCGCTCTCTGCACGTCAAGAGCTGAGAGGGAAGGGTGGCCCATCTCCCAAGTGGCGGCACAAGCAGAGGAGCGGGCAGTAGGCCGACCCCAGTTGTCAGCCGGCTTCACCTCTCCTCTCTTGCCAATCCACTTCGAAACACACATTAACTGCATCCACGTGTGTTGTTGGTAAATTTGCCTTACGGAGTGCCAACTTTCTTCTATTCTTCTGGCTTATATTTTCCCCGATTGTATATTGGTGTTTTTTGGTGTGCTGCAAGCACTCTTAGTTTACCTGCAGTTATTTCTGTTCACCTGCTGCACAAGAAATGGAGATTTCAATAAAGTGTCAATGAAGCTTACAGTTTTGTAGCCTTACACATTAGATGCAAGACACATTTGTGATAAAAATAACATGCCTTACAACATGAATGAGTGCATTTAGAATTTATTGTAATAAATTAACTGGATATTGGAATAAATAAGATAAGGTCAAATACGAACAATATGCACACAGATTTGAAGGACATTTTCACACAATATACAACGGGAGAATACTTAACGATATATTTTTTACACAATCATCCTTAGCAACACTACCTATATGTCTACAGCATCTCGGTCACTGTTAACATCAACCATCACTATTTCCTTCACTACTGTCAATAGCTTTTCCATTAAACTCGTAAAGCAAATGCACCCAAAACCTGCAGATGGAAATGACTGGCTCGCATATCTGCACACAAACTCAATGATAAGCTTCAAAATGGACCAGAGATAAGGATGCTTTCATCATTTCACATCACAGGTGAAAACATATCAATACTGCCGTGTGTGGTTAGCTCAAGAATTCCGTAGATACCAGTGGCAATGAGCAGCTGCATGATGAAAGCAGAGAGATTACCAACAGAAATCTAACAAAAGACCCACTTCATTTGACAAACTACATTTGCAAAAAGAACCGAGTGAAACCAATTTTATTTCATGTAAACCTGCTTACCTTTCTAGCACCCAAACTCTTGCCACCAAAAAATAAAATTAACATTCAATTTGTATTTCTTAATGCTGCGCAACTGGTCCCCTGCCACGGTAAGGTAGGATGCGAGGTGTGATCTGGCTTGGGTGTCTGGTAGGGGCAGGACTGCGTATGTGAGCGTGCGGGGTATGTGTCAGCCGCCCCGGAAGTGCTGACTTAGGCGCTCCAGCGTGTCGCAGCTGTCTGTGCGCATGCTTTCCGCCAGGGCAAGGTACCGCTCGTCTCTGTACACCTTCGCCTTGTAGAGAAGTTCGCTTTCTGAAGAAACAACAGGGAAGCCCACGCATTTATCAGCACAGAAACCGTTACGATCACCGTTGGCTTAGCATGCCTGGCATCAGCCTTGGTGTAAGGAATGAAATGGGGACCTCCTCGCCAAAAAACCTATATAATCATGGATGATATTGGTTGCGAAAGCCTACGTGTTAAACTCTTTGTAGTCTGCCTGACGTCTGGGCCCCTCTGGCCTGTGGGCCCCATTGCAGATGCACCACCTGCACACTCGTTAACCACGTCACTGATGTTCACCACAGTACTGCTTCTGAAGCAACTTCATTAGACCTTAATCTATACCAAGGGCTGTACATTTTATGTCCTGGAAACTGTTTTTGTTGCTTGTCAAGTAACACTAACATTTAAAATTTTCAGGACTGGAATAAGCCAAATCAAGTAAACACCCGCATTTAAAATAATATTCTGTGCTCATATTGATAACAGCTGAGATATAAACTCACTATACTTAACAAATTGCACTTTACAAAATATGGAAAAACTGAGATACCTTGTATGGTCCATTTCTTTGCATTTTGTTTAGCAGGATTGTGAATTTATGATTGCCTATGTGTTTATACATTCAAGTAGAGGAAAGTTTCTATTTATGATACTGTTCCTTTCCGAATGTGAGCTTACATAAGAACATTATTATTATTATTCCCTTTGCACCTTATCAAATTTGTTTCCACACACTGCCAGCCCAAGCTTTATAGCTGTTGTGGTTTTCACAGGAAACAATGTTTGCACGTAAACTATACATCCTCTTTACTTGGACACAATGACATCAGTAACATGCGAGAGAACCAAAAAAAGATTCACCGCCCCAAACCAAACGTGCAGTGCTCGTGCGAGTGCTCTCTGTACGCACTGTATTGGCGCTCGCGCTGGCAGGATGAGCGCAGTCCACCAACGTAATCGTCCTCCACGCTCTGCTCCAAGCGTCGCCATGCCTCTGGGATTGCTTTACCCCGACCCCACGCCTCATCTCCGTCGTCGTCATTCTCCGCCACCGCTGGTGTCCTCTTGTCCGTGTGAATTTGCGCGTCGTCGCTCACAAAGTAACTCACGCCCAGTCTCTGCGTGCGCCGGTGGACTGTGTGTCCCAGCGAGCTGCGTGTTGACAATTGGGTGTAAGTGAGAGCGTTGGTGCGACGGTTATCGCGCTGCGCTACGAACCCGGAGGGGACCCCGAGTTCAATTCCCGCTCACGGCCAACACCAGTGACGGTTATTTGAACCGGTCCTGGGCCTCTGCTAGGTTGACTCGGCCTCAAATAAGTACCTGGTGTGTTGTGTAAACATTGCTACAGTGAGACAAAGGCGGTTGGGCGTGGTGCTGGCCACCCACTCCCTCGTGTGCCCTTGCTGGCCTTTATAGGTGCTCGCTCACAGCCCTTGCCCTAACAGTCTGTTACGGCTATCTGAGGGATCATTGTCTTTGTAATTGAGATATGGCTTGTTAGGAAGCCAGTTTGGTATTTTGTTCAAACGTTTCAGTATCCAGTATAACAAAGCAGTACTCATTTATAAAAGGAGCGTTTTGTTGCAGATCATGTCGAGTAGTGGTACAGCAATTAGCACACTGTGTAAAGAACCCATCGAGTTCCGATTCTCAGCCATGGCTGAAATCAGTGGTGAGCATCATCTGAAATGGCCCTGGCTGCCCCCCCCCCAAACCTTCTTTAGCATATTTAGTTAGTTAGTTCATAGTTCATTTATTTGGTATAGCCCTGTGAGCCATTCGGTTCTTGAATCGGGTGCAACCGCAACAAACAAAAACATGAACAAGAAAACATCTTAAAGTGATTATGTGACTGTGCAAACAGAAAATACAGGAAAAAAATATCAAAATATTCCTGAAATAGCACCGTACACCAACGCTGTGTGCAAAAATCCCAGTGGGATGCAAGTCAAATAACAACAACAACCACAAGACAACTAAGATTAAGGCCATCAGTCTAACTCTGTACTACAATAAACAAAAACATGGCCAAAACAAAAAAAACTTTTCGAAATCACCAAAATAAAAGCCATAAATCCAATGTAACAATGATCATAGGGACTGTGACCGAATTTTTAACAATAAACTACATAAATAAATTATAACACCAAAATCTAGAGCCATATTTTAGGCCACTGAATAGCAGTGGCAGCTAGGGTTGTACAACTCCTCTAGAGCAGTTTTGAGTGAAGATCTCATAGGTAGTGATTCAAGTTGCAGTTTATTGGCAATAGCATTCCAGACCCTGGGGGCATCAATAGCAAAGGCCCTTCCTCCAGTTTTTGTACGGCAATAAGGAATGTGAAGCTGGTAGGTGAGCGAAGACCTGAGGTCAAATTTGTTCTTTGAAACAGAGAGGAGATCCAGTAGGTAGTCTGCGGAATTTTTTGTAAGTACATGAAGTATGGTTAAACAATCTCCGTAACTAAACGTTTGGGGAAGCCTTAATTTGGCAGTCGATTGACTAAGGGCTGTACATTATTTGTTCTGAATGATCATTTCTACTTTTTCCACCACTGGCAGTTAAAAATTATACTGTGGCAACATTTTTACTATAAATTAGTGGTAGGGAACCTCGGGGCCATGCCAATCAGGCTTACCAATTAAAAACATGTACAAACAATATTTATCCATCCCTGCGAGCATCTTAGCTACAGATTACTAACATAACATATGTTAACGGGAATGCTATATTTTTTAAAGGTGCATACTTACGGATTAGGAGCCAGGCTGTAAGTGGGTCGCGAGACCATGAACTGCCCAAGTACAGAAACGACTATCAGCAGCACCAGTGGCAAAAACTGTAGCACGCCTGTCATGTCACCCTGTCAAATACACGGGCACAAGGACACAATCAAAGTCAATGCTTTGCATAGTCTCTGATAATGAAATCTCTGTCAATGCTCTATACACTATCTCATACAAAAGGCCTTTGTTGAAACCGAGGGAATTGGCTTCGACTGAACTGAGTCAAAACACGGCAGTAACCTGAACATAGTGTTCATACTCTTATCCACTGCCAGCTTATGCTCCACAATGTACAATGGTGCCACCACAGAACAGGGGCACCATGATGGCGAGATGTTAACTACCTCGGCTGGTATAAGGGAAGCCTGTATATTTGGAGCTTGCATGTTCTCCCCGATTTTTCTCCAGGTCCTCTGGTTTTTCCCTCCACATTTAGAAACATGTATTTTAGAATATTTTGCTAATATACATTTCTACATGATAAGCCACTTCAATGAGCTATCATTTGTGGCCAGGTCACTTCTGAAAAAGAGCTATACTGTTCAGTGGGCCTTAGCTGGTAAAATAACAATGGTTTACTTTTGTGATTTATTTTATACCCACATGACTTTACCGAAAGAACCAGAGAGTATGGATTCCTGCAGTCACGAAAGCTTCAAATCAAGATCAAATCAAGATTGTTTACTTTTGTTTAGAACAGAACGTCTGCTTCTGCATTACATCGTCCCAGTCTCAGTGCTGGTTTGTTTATAGTCTTTTGTAGGTTAATTAACTGCTTGGGTGACTGCTTAAACAGATGGACATACCAAACTACGCTTGTTTGGAGAGGGAGGGTTTCGTGCTGACTGACGAGGCCGGTTGTTTTCATAAGCTTGGCTCCGAGCTGCAAAAAAGACAAGGTGCATCTTACAACAATCACATATCGAACTATGCTGGTGAAATTGTATTCGCATTAAGAAATGTTAGGTGTCCTCCGTCAAAATATACATCAAAAATCAAAGATCTATGTGCCACTATTATATACTCTTGCCAGGTGTTTCTATTATGGCTAGCCCAGAAGGGGAAATAATGGCCTGTACAATGACCAAGCCAACCTCAAAGAGCACAATTACTTAAATGAAGATGTAAAGGGAATCACCCTAGGGATCCCAGCATTGCATTATAACACAGGAAGCTTTTATGGTTGTTATTTATGAAATTTACAACACATGCTGTGCATGGCCATTTAATGGCCACACTGCACCATGCTGAGTCATGCAGATTGGCAGACTCCATCTGGGGGAGTTGCCTGTCATGGATGTCTTGTTAAGTAGAACCCCATGGATCATCAGAGCACTCAGGCACCTTTGACAGAAGCTGATGCTTAACGAACTAAGCCATACTTTAATACAAAGAACCAATGCATTAATAGACACCGAACTGCTTCCTCACCACTCTGAAAGGCGTGACCAAAAAACATGTTGAAAAGTTCTTCGGGAGAGATGTCTGGGTCGGGATCATAGTTGAACCGCGGGCGCCCGCTGTGTCGCCCACTCCCGGCGTATCTCCCCCCCCAGTTGGCTCCATGGCTGGCCCGTCCCGCAGTACCCGGACCACCGGCCCCATCCTCAGCCCCCATGCGCTGCTCTCGCTCGTTGGCCCGCAGGTCATACAGATGCCGCTTCTCCGCGCTGCTTAGCAGGGAGTACGCACAGCCAATCGCTGGATAAAGCAGACGCAGGGAAGCGTAGTTCAATTGTGTTGTACACCCCGAGTGGTTACATCTATATATATAAAAGGGAAATTTGTGAATGTGTGTCTGTTCGAAGTGTTAAGCATACTTCCCAACATGCAAGAAAATTGAAATTTGGCATGTGGGTAGCTTCCAGACTGTACACAATGCAAAAAGTGTAAAAATAGATTTTTGTATTTTGGGGGGGGGGGGGGCAATAATGGATATATTTTGCACGGCAAATGAGCGGTGATGTCATATCTGTGATGTCACCCGCATGTGGCAGCGTTACGCAGTGTGCCTACTGACGTCGTGACGCATCACCCCCCACCCTCCGCGTAGGCCGTGTATTAATCCAAGACAAGAATCCAAGTCTCGGGCGAAACCGGGTAGTAAAGCTAGTAATGAATAACCACCTCTTTCACACCCCACCACGATTAAATTAGCATGATCCACATTCACAGTTGATTCAAGCATTAATTCGTTTTGATTTGGTTTGCCTGTCCCACAGAATGTCTTCTTCCATTTCAGTCATTCTATTAGTCTAAACATAAAAAAAAACTTGCATATAATTAGTAAATGCAATATTCCGCAATGATTTGATGCATGTATTACGAATATACACATTGATATGAATCACTACATCATTAAAAGTCGAAATGAGCATTTCCTGTGGATGTATGACCAAAATGTATTGCAAAGTCAAGCTTGGAAATACATTGCTCACATAGGTTAGCACTAGAAGAGATGAAATGCTCATGTGACAAAGTACAATCTCCTACATGTTTATGTACTAATCATGGTACCTTAAAGACTACATATAAACAAATCATGCTCGCCAGGAAAGTGACAACACAATGCATTATTTCAAGCCTGTACAGCTTATATTTCTGCTTCGCTTCTAAACAGATGTGGACTGCATGAGCAAGTGCACACCCTTAAAGGCTTCTGTTGCTCCAGGAGCGTGGTTCTTGTCTGGGTGGAACTTGAGTGCCAGTTTCCTATATGCCCTCTTGAGGTCATCGTCCGAGACATCCCTGCTGACACCCAAGACTTCGTACATGTTCCTGCAGCCATTTATCCTGAAATACATCACCCATTCACACCACATTGGATGGGGAATATATAATGCAGGGCTACTATTTGCTGATTTCAGCTCTTCACAGTTCAGTACTGGATATGTGGAAACATCTTTGTCTGCATAAGCAACATGTGGCCTATAGCCCCCCCTAAGCGTTCGCCAGTCAGGTAACTCATACCTCTGGACGCCATACAATTGTTCAGCCGTGTAGCTGCGCTCGGTAGATATCTCCCCAGTTGTCCTGCAATTGGGGTAGGATTTGGCAGAGGTTCCGTTGAGGTTGGCAGGGTCTGGTCCAGAGTGAGCTGTGTGGTAGTGGTGGTGGTGAAAGGCTCTCTGGTTCTCCCAATGGCGATTCTTCCATTCAGCCTTGTCCAGCTCCACCAGAAGAGCTGCCACCAGTATGAGAAAAAAGTACAGTACTCGGCGTTAAAGCTCTGTGATTATAGCTGTGGTCTATAGTTTACGGTTCGAATAATTATTGTTGGTTTAAATATAAATAATTGTTACCTGTGGAATTAATGTCAAATGTAGTCACCCGCCGCCTGTGCAATATGGTAGGGCAGTTGCGCTTTTCGTTAATACAGGACCATAACTACAATGTGCGCTAATCATTTAGTTTACGGCTTAAGAGTTATGGCTGGGGCTATGGTCTATGCTTTATGTGTACATTGAACAATTTTAGTCGTGTAATCATTGATAGCCATCCTGTACTATTGGAAGAACCCTGGTCCTGTCATGCCTTGAGTCGTAACAGGACTAGGCCTGTCGCCCTGAGTCGTGAAAAGACTAAGGCTTACGGCTGTCTTCTTTGCTGAAAATGTTTTGATCTGTGCTTAATAGATGAACAGTTTAAACCAGTGCGCTGAATTGCAAGGCCCGCGGGCCACTGACGGCCCCTGGTGGCCTTTAGTGCGGCCCCCGACTAGACACTAGGTGTGAAAACACCCCCACCACCATCATCATCGTGCTGCTGTCAAACCCAACAATGGTTTCAAACGTGACGGCCCCTCACACCGATTATGTCTTATTGGCGAAAGTGACCGAACCTCTGAAAACTAGTGAACACTGGTTCAAAATAGTATGAAGGATATTTAATGTGCTATGCGGTAGGAGCACCGCGCCTCAAGTCGTGACAGGACCATGACTACGCTTTAAGGCTTAAGCATTCGGTCCGTAGGCTTAGCAGATATGTATTACGTGTAGTGTATATAATAGGTTAACAGGGCAAAGAGTGTTGAATGTAGTCACCCGCCGCCTGCGCCGTGTGGTAGAGCCGCTGGGCCTTCGCGAGGAAAACGCGGCCTCGATCCGAATCGCCGCGGCTCAGCGCGGCCCGTGCCAGGCCCAGGCAACGGAGCGCCTCGTCGCGGTTCCCCTCCATGCTCAGCGCGACGACGTGGACACCGTCGACATTGTCCGCCGCGTTACCGTGTCGCTAAGTTAATAAGTCATCGGCGTTTGTTGGGTTACGAGCGAGCGGTAGCGAGCGGACGCGACCGGTGTGGGGTGATCCTCCATGTTGTGCCAGCTGAGTGGTGTTTACCGACGGCGAGCCGATAGGGACGCGGCTGCGCATTTACCAAACGCGTTTCTAGCTTTTTTGTTGTTATATATTCTTGGTTCTTTCGGTAAAGTCACGTAGAGGGGAAACAATAAAATAATAATTAAAAATATAAAACATTACAATTATTCTTCTACGCGGTGAATTTACCGAAAGAACCAAGACTATTAATCCCTGCAGTCACGAAAGCTTTAAATCAAAAAATGTTGTTGTTGTTTGGCGCATGGCACGATTAATCTTCGACGTCTCATTGTCACAGATTTTGATACTTCCTCTAAGCACTCATTTGCGGAGATGTGGGACGGGTGGTGGGGCACTTTCGCCGATAAGACATCATCAGTGCGAGGGCCGTCACACATTTTCACACCGTTGGGGGTTTGGATGCCTGTAAATTAATAGGGCTTACTAACAACGTATTCTTGTACAGGCGAATTGAGTTATCAGGCCCATACGGCGTACAGCCGTTTCAATGCGAGCACAGAAAGTGCGTATTTTTTTTGTTTGCGTTTCTCCCTTCGGAAGGGACGTTTGTAGGATGAACGTTGAGATATACAAGGGGCACGGGGTTTACCAATAAGGTCTGAAATAATATGTAATGAGGTGGGGCGCTGCATAAAGGGTTAACATGTATGGGTTTGACAGCAGCACGATGTGATCATTGGGGTTTTTCACACGTTGTGCATTGTCAGGGGCCGCACTAAAGGCCACGAGTGGCCCACGGGCCTTGCAATGACGACCACTGCTCTTGCCCAATTCGGGGATTTACCCGCAGATTTCAAGCTAGTCATGCAAAACTGGCGTTAGTTTCACGTCTAGCATTACACCACGGCGAATTCGTGTTAAAACCAGCTGTCAGGGCTACTGCCCCTCGACTCCCCCGTTCTCCTGTGCTCCCACCCCCCCCACGCTCGCTACTGCTCCTCGTAGAAGCACGATTTAAACAGCTGCACGAACCACCTCGCAAATACCCCGCGGTGCCCCTCTCGTACACGCCAACCACGCGCCGCGCAGTGGCGAGAGTGCCCACGTGGGCAGAACACGCGGGGCACCACAACGCGCGGGCTCACCACACCATGCACCACCCCCCCCCCCCCTTTCCTCCGTATTCACAGAGATAACACGACACGGTTTAATGTCTACTGGTGGTTTATTCTCCGTTTAGTTGGAGTTAATCCTCCCGTGTCAGTGTGGACCAGCAGGGCAGATCTAACCTATCTCTCTGCGGTCTAATACCCAAGTAGCCTGTCCTCTCTCTACTCACCCTCGCTATTAGAATTTCCCCCCTTTGCCTTAACTCTCCTCTTCGTACTCGCGATCCGACCCCGTGGTGTTGGAGGTCGCGGAAAGACGAGGCTGCACGCGGCTTTTGCTGGGAACTGGATCTGGCTGCTCTGCGACCCGTCTCACGGACGTTCACGTAGCAGGGAACGATCACCCCTCGGTCCCTCACTCCACAAGATCCCGGGCAAAAGAGCACTTGCTTCCCAATTTCATCCCTTTTATGCTCCAACTTCAAAGCCCACGCGCCGCCGATCCGCTGGCCCCTCATCCAATTAGGAGCCTCCTCTCTGACGCACCGGTCCGCGTGTGCTTTGGGTGTTTCTTCATTGCGGTTCTCAGTGACTTCGCCGTGGCCATACAATTTTAAGTCAACCCACGGCGCCGCAGTGCCATTTGGCCTGGGGTGGGGCCTGCCAATTTCGTGGCCCTGAGAAACCGTGGAGCACCCCCACGAGGGGGGCCCTCGGGTGAAAACTCAGGGGCAAGGTGACCCCCCCCCCCCCACGAGGCCCTACGTGAGTGCGTGTGTGTGTTCATGTAGAGGGTGGTGGGGGAAGTGCTGTGACGGCAGTCGGGTGGCTTCTCTGCCGCAGCACCCCCGTTGCAGGCACCGCTCCCACGGCTTCGCTGTCCTGGCACCACACGGCCAGGTCAGGGGGCCTTATGGCTATTGTCTTGATGGGCTTTACTTGCAGATTCATATTGACTCGTTCCAGATCAGCCATTGGTACACACATTTTAAGAACTATTATCAATCAGTTTTTTTTACATTTACTTTACTCCTCAGAACGGATTTTGGATATTTGTTTAAGCTGAAGTGTAAATAATACAATTACTAATTCAATAAACAGACAGGAGTGTGTTTTTTTTTAAACAGACAGGAGTGTGTTTTTTACGGTACATGTTTTACCAGGTAAAACATGTACCGTAATTATATTGGCAATCTGAGATCTATTGTTTAAGAGCGTCTTATACGTCTAAATAATTATAATTCTTTGTGCCTTCTACACCAATTTTTTTTTCCATTAGCATTTAAGAAACCCCTCAACTGTTTTTTTATTTGTAGATCGAGAAGTGTTGTCCATCGGTTTTGCAGTTTTCTTTTTCCAAATGTGCCAACTGTTTTTTTAGGGTACTTTGGCCCCTTAAAACTGGTTCCATAAACCAGCTGACTCCAGTACCACATGCATTTGATTTCAGCATTGTACATTGATGGCTCCAATGTATTACCATTGCCATTTTACAAAGGAGTGATTCAAACATTGATACGTTTTGGTCTCAGCACTGTAAAGCACTGTTTACAGACACTGGGCTGAAACTATTTGATCTCAATCAGCAAATATTGTACTCTTTCGTGAGGTAGAAGCATGTCTCGTGAAACTTAAGCTAACATTGGCTCGCAATCTTGGCTAGCAAATGGCTAGGTTTGTTCAATTTTGGAAGTGTCAGGAGCATACTTGTGTAAACTGCTCTTAGGTAGTGTGATTTTATATCATATTTTCCTTGCAAATGAGGTCTTACTGGTCTATCAGCTTATAAATCCTGTAAACTGAAATTAACCAAAACATGTTCTCAAAACCGCACGCAGAACCATGCTGGGAAATTCAGTCAGGAAATGCAAACACTTTCCTGGGTATTTTTTTTTTTTGCAATTACAGGATTCCTTTGAAATACCAATTAAAAGTATATAGGTGCATTAAAATGTTTTGAAAGTTTAAAACACATTTATTTTCAATACATCTGTAGTGTTGTAAATAAAGGCGGAAAACTTCTTGTCTTCTTCCCGGGCCACTTTATTACAGTCTGTTCTATAACACTTGGTTTTAGTTATACCGAGGGTCCGCCGTCCGTCGCTCGTTCGCTCCCTCACTCGCCGCGTCCCGATCCTATTCTATACTTTCCTTCCCGATCCTATTCTATACGCTCATTTTCTCACCCCTCTCGGCTGCCGTGTCTCGCTGTCTCAGCGGGTTGATACCACGGCAGCCCCGGGGGTCAAGCGTGCCGACGTACGGACTGCGCTTGCCCCTAGCGACCCTATCCTAGCCTACCCAGGTCCACACAGGACCACTTTCACCCAAGAATACTCTAGCTAGCTTGGTGGGTCCGGCCACAGCTTCTCTCGTCTTCTGTCTTCATCATACTGCCCCTCGGGGATCTTCTGGAGAACATTCTCCAGAAGATCCCTCTATGATTGGCAGATACCGGTCTTTTGAATTCCGGTCCACCTCCACCCTTGTTTACACCAAAGGTCATCCTGACCCTGGCTGCTCTCGACGTCCCCATGATGATGCTCACCAACCGCCTTCTCCTGGCTGCCGAGCACGGACATGCAGCCCTAATCAAATATGCGCGCGTTGAACCACTGCACATCTGTCACAGCGGACAAACCGCAATGCTGATTTTGGCAGAAGGTGCATTTAAAAAAATGCGCGATATCAGTGCGTAAACACTGGATTAAATTACAGCCCTTCGTTGCACAAATAAGTAATCCAAACAAACCAATTGCTGACTTTTGCACATTCGGGATCCACGTGTCTCTTCATGACCCCCCCCCCACCCCTTCAAAGCCCCCCTGTGAGGGCTGCTCAAATATGGGAGAGAGAGGAGTTCGGATCCATTTCCTCTCCCATGCAATTAAACTCAATAGTAGAGGGCACTTATGCGAATATTTAAGCGTGCATTAACGACGGCATCAAGATAGACACAATAACTCAATCCGGAAGAGGCCAATCTTGACCGAAATGTAGAATCTATTAACTTTGCCTCGAGACACTTTGTCCAAGGACGCGAATCAAACAGCGGTGCATAAAATTGCGTGCTTTGAAAAACTTTGCTTTTTTTTACTAATTTTTTTTTTAACCAGTAAAACTTTGGATTGCGAGCATAATTCGTTCCGGAAACGTGTTTGTAATCCAAAGCACTCGTATATCAAAGCACTCGTATATCAGTTGTGATCACGTGACGCTCGGCAGACAAAGCGTATACGTACTACTCGTATTGCAAGACCTCGCTCGTTTATCAAATTCATATTTATTTAAAAATTTTACTCGTCTTGCAAAACACTCGCAGACCAAGTTACTCGCAATCCAAGGTTTTAGTGCAGACTAAAAATATTAAAATTCTCACTGCCCCCCCCCCAACTCCTCCCACCACCACTTGCGGTTCGTTAAAATACAAAACCGGACACAAAGTGACCACTCAATCCCATACCTGTCAACCCATATGGTTTACCCCGTATTCTTGTGTGGTGCTGTAAATAAAGGCGGACGACTTTGTGTCTTCTTCCCGGGCCACTTTATTACAGTCTGTTTATATAACAATTTGTTTTAGTTATGCAGAGGATCCGCCGTCCGTCGCTCGTTCGCTCCCTCACTCGCCGCGTCCCTATGGGGCGGTCCATATAAATTACGATTTTTGACCCCCCCCCCTTTGTCACACGACGTCACAAAAAGTCAGACCCCCCCCCTCAAATATGACGTCACAAAGCTCTGCCCCCCCCCGCAAAATAAAACATGCTTCAAATCGCTTTAAACTATTGTCATTGTGGTGCGTATTTAATGTGGCGCTGCACTCTGATATTGTAGGAGAAAACATTTATTTAAAAGTATATTTAATTAAGTATAACATAATAATAGGGGTTTTCCCCTTTTTTCTGGCAACAAAACTGAAACCTTTTTACAAGGATTCATGTCTGCATTAACCACAATAC